ATTATAGGCCTTTCAGCCTGAAGTCTCTTGCCCATCTGCTAACATCATTTCCATTTTAAAGAAAAGGAATTGATAATCAGTCGATGGTGAAGATGATAGATCGCTGCCGTGATGGAAGAAGACATTTTCATAAACAGGACGACTGCTAAAAGGCACTTTTTTGCCTCAATGTAAGTGTGAGATGCTAATAGCTTCAAGTGTGCCTGCGAGCTCTAACCCAAATTAAAGAGGAACTTTCTCTCAATGATGACCCCATTGTCCGACAGTTAGAATGACAAATTCAATGACGTTGAAAGAAAAGGTGGGAGAAATTTCTTAAGTCCTCCTTTTTGTGCTATTAAAGATTGCAGGCATTTTTTGAGGGGGTTTGGTTGGCATGAAACAAAATTTCCATTGTACGATTGTTCTTGAAAGATCTGACGTCATCCAAATATAAGTTGATTCCTGTTGATGCGCAGGGCTGCATGAATGTACAACTCATATTTTGTTATTTAAACTTCTAAATATATTTAATAGATTTTTAAATATAATTTTTTCTCAGACCTAAGCTCCATCCTATAAAAAATACTCCAGGGCCCCGTCCTACAAAGAGTTGATATCAATCGTAACTTATTTGCGATTGATATCAATCGTAACTTATTTGCGATTGATATCAATCGTAACTATGTACAAAGAGATAGGAGACTGCAAACTTGCGATTGATTGGAGGACTTACAATTGATTTGGATCGATCGTAACTCTTTGCAAGACGGGGCCCAGATCTCATTCATCTTGTGACATCATCTGTCAATCATTAGTGAGCTAACAAGAGACAGTGGTATGTAACTTCCCCCAGCTCAGCACATGTTCACAAAAGAATTGATGATGCTACAGCACGTCTGACATGGCAACTCCTGTGTTGGTTTTGTATGGTCTATTTAAACAGGTGGTCAGCTCCGGCGAAGCTACATACCACTGTCTCTTGTTAGCTCACTAATGATTGTAGTTGCAGTAGTGAACTTTATTGGATAACTTATTTTAATAGCACAAGGCTATAGTCTGCCACATGTAGTTGATCTGACTAAGCAAGCAATCAAGGAATTATTTTGTAGCATGCTTTTCTTCACACCCTGTAGATCTGACAAACACAAGTTTTATGGAAATGTATTTTCTAATACAGTCAACACTTTTTTATAATTTGTATCATAACAAATGGTACTGTAATCGATGTTGCACTTCCCCACAAATGAGCCTTAATTTTGTTTTGATCAAGCTCTTCAGTTAAGCCCAGTTAATTGATGCCTAGTTTTTCATCCCCTAGTCCATAAATTCTCTTTTCAACCCACCTATTTTTGTTGTCATTTGACATACATGTACAGTAGATCTTCTTCCTGGACACGATCCTAAGATCTTAGATCATATATTGACAATAAACTAAGAAAAACATTCAAGTACAATTGCAACATCTGTAGTTCATGGACAAATATAATTGTATTAAAAATATTCTTGAATTTGACTACACATTATATTGTTGTGTGAAAGGAAAACAATCAACAATCTTGGAACCCCCCTTTTTTCATTTTCAAAAAATTAGTCTAGAAACAATGATACAGTTGTACTTGCCCTAAGGGTTCGAGATTCAAGAAATGCTCAGACTCAAATTGGCATCACTTTACATAAAGTACTGTGACCGGCTTGCACAATTTAACCTTTCAGGCCAACTCAAGGAGGAAATATATTAAACCGGGAGGCAGAAACGGAAATGTTGGGGTAACATTTTGTCAGGCCGTCCCTCTCGAAAAAGGGTAGAATGTCGAAGCCAATCAATGCTCTGCAATTCTTCAAGCGTAAGACCTTGCTACCAGGCAGTACAATCAACAGAATGATTTTGGATGTTGTTTACTTTTTCAGCAAAACAGCTATTTTTTGTTTTCCATGTTGTGATTTGCTGAGCCCCAAATTGCCTTGTTCCATATTAAACTCAAAAATTCAGTTAATGGCAAACAGCAAGGTTGAGTATTAAATTTTAATCACAGGGATTTGTATACAATTTATTTCATTTGTTCTTTAAAAAAAAATTACCAGAGGTTCTTACAAGTAGTTTTTTTTCCCTACAATAACCAAACTCCTACCCTTAACTACAAACAAATCACTATGTTTAAGCCTTATCCTTGACCTATGGCAACTATTGCTTATATAATTCTGACAAAATAGAGCTCAAAGTACATTGAGTAATAGTTGTTGAAGCAAATCACCCTCTACTCCCATGTACAGTATTTCTTTATTTCATATTGATGATTTGGTATCACCTGTACATGGGAGGGGAAAAGTGTACTTTAATAAACTACAAGTTCAATCCACTGAAAAGTTGAGCTGATTAGATGGACAAAAATCTAAAGAGCCCAAATACATGTATAACTTGGCTTTGGAAAATGGTGCTCATACTTATTTTTAATAATTTTGTTTAATGAGCAAAAAACAAGTAAATGCTCGAGCCGGTTCTACCCCACAATGCATTTTTTGTGCCTCAGGATGTGAAGGTGCCCCACTTCACAGGGATTTCCCCTACTCTTATTTGAATAGAAGCGGCGGGTTCATATTAAACCTGCCTATCCAACAAACACAGTGTTTTCAACTGTAACCTACATGTGTGTACATTCAGCGAGCATCTATTGAATAGGAGGAGGGGCAGAAACAAAACACAAAACAGGCTTCAGTCAACCACCTGGAGGTGTTTCACAAAGATCCTAAGTTGAACGTATCTCTATACACCAGTTTACAGTTGTATCAGTGCGCATGAGCAGACAGTTGACCTCGGGTCATTGGCCCCGGAACAGGGCCAAATTGGCCCTGTTCCGGGGCCAATAACCTCTGACCTCTGGTATTTATGCGTAAATTAAGATTGCGCCCATGCAAATGATGATATGCGCGCACAACGCAGCGCGCAGGCAGTGATATCATCATAATTTGCATGGGCGCAATCTTAATTTACGCATAAATACATGACCTCTAGGTCATTGGCTTTGTTTAAAATGGCGCACACAACTGTAAACTGGTGTATACACCAGTTTACAGTTGTATCAGTGCGCATGCGCAGACAGTTGACCTCGGGTCATTGGCCCCGGAACAGGGCCAAATTGGCCCTGTTCCGGGGCCAATAACCTCTGACCTCTGGTATTTATGCGTAAATTAAGATTGCGCCCATGCAAATGATGATATGCGCGCACAACGCAGCGCGCAGGCAGTGATATCATCATAATTTGCATGGGCGCAATCTTAATTTACGCATAAATACATGACCTCTAGGTCATTGGCCTCGTTTAAAATGGCGCACACAACTGTAAACTGGTGTATTAAAGTTGGACTTAACAATTATGGAAAGCTGTTAGCATCTTTGAAAATATGTTGTAAAAGTTATTTTAAAAGGCATTAAATGTTGATTCAAATTTTTCTTATTACGGGCCTCTTCTTTCTATTAAAATTGGAGATTTCATGTTCTTGATGTGGAATTTATTTAAAGTCTAAAATACTAAAATTTTGGCTTTTGAATATATTTAATTTAAGGCTAAAATGGCTCTCCATAACTTTTAAGTCCAACTTAGAGTTAAGTTCAACTTAGAATCTTTGTGAAACACCCCCCTGGGCTTGGTTTGAACCCATGATCTTTGGTTCAACAGGCAGACGCTTAATACCAACCTAGCCAACTTGCCTCTTTTCCAATCCAAGAGCGGAGGAAGATGAGAGAGAGGTAAAGCTTCTACCCAGATACAGGCCTCTACCCTGATCTAATTAGATGTAATCAACAGAACTGGACTGAGTGATGCGCAAGACTTTGGCATGTTCCATTGCTGTCGATATGTGCGGAAATGCATGTTTTTGCAGGTATGTTTTGAACAGAATGTTCAAGCAGTAACTTAATTCTCAAGGGCCTTTCCCTCTGGATTTTTAGCGAGAGTGATTTTGTCAAATGCTTTTGAGCATAGTCTACAAAAGCACTTGATCTATTTACAGAACTTCATACAATAGTATCTCTAGCACTTTACAAAGATGATAATAGTATACAAATAATGAATGGTTATGAGTTCAATAGTGCGAATATTTTCATGAGTTGAAAGATTAACATTCTATTCAACGAGGCGTCAGCCGAGTTGAATAGAATCAACGTTAATCTTTCAACGAATGAAAATATTCGCACCATTGAATGAATGAAAAACATTCATTATTTGTTTTATACAACATCGAAGAAGATCTAATACCTAGAACGTTATCAACAAATTATGCTTTACTCCTTATATCAAAGATAAATTAAAGTTGGAGTCAAGCCTTCTCGATTACATTCAGATTGCCTGCGCGTCAGATACACGCAGGGATACGCGCGCACGGCTGAGAGGAACGCAGGCTGCATATAACCAAAATTGCACGGCGCATATAACCAAAAATGCACGACCGTGCAATATAACATCTATTGAATATCATGTGACCAACAATCCTCCAATCAAATGACAAGGATCCACGTAGGTGTTGTATAAAGAAAGTTAATCAATCTACTGAAAAAATACTAAACAACAACAATGGTTTGTTGTGCTTCTATCACAACTTATCAATTGCAGTAATACAAATCCTGAAGAAGAACTCAATATCATACTCCCCCTCACACCATATATATTCTAAGCCAGAAGGGTGTTTACTTGGATAATTTTTAGCAGAGTTTAATGCCTTCTGGCAGAGGATATCTACTCAAGAAAGAGAGAAAAATATAAATAGAGTTTTGTTGTGCTTCTATCATAACTTATCAATTGCAGTAATACAAGTGCTGAAGAAGAAGCTAGAACACAATATCATACTCCCCTCACACCATATACTTGTTTTTAAAAGCCGGAAGGGTGTTTACTTAGATAATTTTCAACAGAGTTATTACGCCTTCTGGCAGAGGACATCTACTCAAGATACAAAATATATTTTATACATTGATATGTTTGGCACCATGCATGACGTTGCCATGATGATGAGAGGGGACCTACCTTCATCAAAACGGACTCGCTGAGCTTCTCTTTGTTGATGATTTTTATTGCCACTTTTTTCCCTGAAACGCAATGGACGCCCAACTTGACCAGTCCTGTAAACACGAGAGATAGAGAGAGAGAGAGAGAGGAAGAGTGAGAGAGAGATATAGATAGAGAACGAGGGGAGAGGGAGAGAGAGAGAGAGATAGAAAGGGAGAGAGAAATAGAGATAAAGAAAGAGAGAGAAATAGAAAGAGAGAGAGAGAGAGAGAGGGGAAAAGGAGAGAGAGAGAGAGTGAGAGAGAAAGGGAGAGAGAAATAGAGATAAAGAAAGAGAGAGAAATAGAAAGAGAGAGAGAGAGAGAAAGAAAAAAAAATGAGTACTCATAATTAAAGCTATATATTTCAAGAAATCCTTTTTTTAATTCCATTGTTATCATGCACTAATACTAGAGTGTGGTTTAGTTTCAAACCAACAAACTATGATTTAAAGAACAAAAACAAAATATGAGACCAATAAAAGTAATTGCCTCTTAATCCTTTACAAAGAGAAGGGCAATAGTAAAGCTTCATTTCAAGAAACCTTGAAACAACCTTCATTGTCGCCAGGCAATATATTTAATTATCTGGACAGTAATAAAGTATAGTTTACTGCTGCTACCTGTGAACAAAAACTTGCAAAAAAATGAATGGTACAATTTTCTATTATTATGACTAGATTCTCTGTACAGTGTATCTGACAATAATCCTAAAAGACTCCCGATATTGTGATACAGTAAAGTTTATTTTGCCGATTTGGTATTAATTGAGTACTCATAAATGTAAATGTACATAAATGTATCAGTATGTTATTAAAATGCTTGAGGACACACATGTGTTAAAGAATACCATCCCAAGCACTATCTGAGAGATCTGAATCTGAATCTGAGAATTTACTCCATTAACTGAGGACCTAATTTTTCTGTGCAAATAGAGTTCTTACCTAACATACTATATGTACATGTACATTAAATAAACGTACCCCTATATGAAAGGGCATCTCATTCGCATGGTTCGCCATCAGAGGTTGACCTCATTTTTTGAGTGGTCGTCACAGTATAGGTACAGTTCTTACGAGTGTCCTCGGTACCTACAAACACGCACACACACATACACTCAATTCCCAAACAGCATTGTCCTGGGAATCTATTTCAAGAATCCTTCACATGCATCTGTTGGATCCCCCCCCCCCCAAAAAAAGAGCATGTTCATGCTACATGTAGGTATGATCAAATTATTATACATGTACTGTACCAACTAGTTTGTCAGCCATCCTTGCACTCTACATGTACATTTATAAATTGTTGCACCCACCCCCCTCCCCCCTCCCCCCTCCCCCTCCCCCCTCCCCCTCCCACCCAAACAAAGAAATTACATCCCCCATCATTTGATAACCTATCAATAGGAATATTCCTATGACCTACATGTACATGTAAATGTACGTCTAAAGGTAAACTGAGAGTCACGAGGATGTATCCACTATAAACATCAATGATGAATGAACTTGGTGGTCCTTATATATACAGGTTGAATATTGAATGAAAATTAATCAAAATCAACAAAGGAGTCAAGGGCAGTCTCAATAGACATTAGGTTTACAAGGACGTTTTATGGAGGTTTCATGTTCATTTAGCAGTTTACATCACAAATGCACTTCAGCATATGATCAATATTCATTGTATTCTTTCAACACAATAGCCAAATTCACACGACAGCCTGTCAACTTAATGTTAAGGTTGTGGTTTTTAATTTTTTTAGGTAACCTTGTAGTTATGACACATGTGAACACAACATACTCTGGATTTACTCAAAGTTATTAACTAAATGTTATCTTAAGGTTAGTGCGATTACTAGGAGTCACAGGGTCTTCACTTGAAGTCATGTTCCGTGCGAACCGATTAACTTTTAGGTATAACGCCAGTTTGTAGTGAAAATGTCTGCTTGCTCCGCTTGTTGCTAATGCAAGACACTGCCAATAGCCGATGCTTGACACTGCTATTGGAAATGGTTTTTTGCCAATGCAAGTGATTTTAAGCACACAGTCCCATGTGAACATACTTAATGCAATACACTGCCAATGCAAGCAGTTTAAAGCATACATTCCTATGTGAACATAGCTAATGCCATACACTGGCAATGCAAGTGGCTTTTAGCACAAGGTCCCGTGTTAACATAGCCAATGCCATATAAGCTGCCAATGCAAGCGGTTTAAAGCACACGTTCCTATGTGAACACAGCTAATGCCATACACTGGCAATGCAAGTGGTTTTTAGCACACGGTCCCGTGTAAACATAGCTAATGCCATACGCTGCCAATGCAAGTGGTTTTTAACACATGGGCAGGGCTTTTATTACTATTGATTGATCTGGTTTATGCTTAAATGCACTTTAGTGCAAACAATCAATACAGCTTTCTATTGAAGCAGTATGCCAGAAAGTGACAAAAGTAATACATCAATACCTTTACTCTTGTAGTCAGAGTTGGTTTATCAGCGACATGATACAACCAGCAAGCATCATATAGGACGAAAAGGATCAAATAAATAGAATACAAAAAGGTATGAATGAAGATGAAGTCAGATGGAACTTGAAGAGAACTACAATGCAATGTTATTGACTAAATGTCTACTAAAGTTTGTGCATACATGAACAGTGTACAGTACGTGTGTACATGTACATTTACAGGGTTGTTACAGGCAGGTTTTCTTATGTACACTGTACAGGTTCATTTTAATAGTACAGGTTCCTTTACTTTTTTTAGTACAGCTAGTTTCAAAGAGAAACCTTTTACAAAGGAAAAAAAAAAAAAGTTTTTTAAAGACAGATGGTCATCCTCTACAGGTGGTCACTAAAGCAGGTTTGTCAGTATCAGTCTATTCAACTAGACTTACTCTCTTACAGTACATGTATGTCATTGACATCCAGGTCAATGACGTGCAGGTACCTATGAGACCATTGACGACTTGACGTCACATACCGATCAATATGTGATACATCCGACGTATAATTTGATTGTACCTGTACATGTACATGTATATTACACCTTTTTTAATTCATTTTTTCAAGTTGTCAAGGTACAGTGTACATTGCAGAAAGATGAAGGCATAAAATGTTGATTCAAATCATTCATATTTTCTATTATCATGGGAGATTTCATGTTCTTGATGTGGAATTGATGAAAAGTCTAAAATACTCCAATTTTTGCTTTTGAATATATTTCATTTTAAGGCTCCAATGGCTGTCCATACTTTTTAAGTCCAACTTAGTGTTAAGTTCTACTTAGGATCTTTGTGAAACACTCCCCAGGTGTTGCTGACCTGTTCAATGATCAGAAACCTGTTGACTCCTGAATTCTCTAATTGCCATAGGCTTAACACAGGAACCACCTGGATCTCATAGGCAATGGATTAATACAGTGAGCGCTAGCCATTTTCAGTGGGCCAGTCCTTACCAATCAATAACAACAAGAATTGCCTGTTACGCTGGCCTCTTTCCTAGTATCTGCTGCTTCATAATGAAGACAATCGTGAAGGAAAATACAGGCTGAAGAGATTGATGAGGAAAGGGAAATTTATGTGATAGCCCGGTACTCAGAAAACTAATTTCAAAAGGGAGGCCCAGCTCCGGATTCGGTCTATTGGTCAAGAGGCGATTGACCCTAAACAGTAATTGGTAGCGAAAAGAATTGTCTTACAAAACTTGCCTCTTTCCACTTGCCTCTTTCCAAGAAGCTCCCGATTAGAGGTCTAGAAATTTTGAAAGGTGTGTCTCAAAATACTCATGAGCATAGAGAGGGCTAAGGGCCCAGAACTGGGAAAACTAAATATCCCCCCCCCCCCCCAACGAAATGCCAAAAAGAGCCCCCGGAAGTCATAAAAGAGCCCCCAAAATGTGCATAGAGCTCAATGCAAATGAAATTAAAGAGTGTTATTTTCATGCACGCAAGCTTGAAAAGTAGCCCCCTAAATTCGTTTAATATTTTTCCCTGGAATGTATTAAACATACCAAAATACTCTCTTTAACTCACAGAAAAATAAACTCCCTGTGCCACATTCTATTTATCATGGGATAGATGGATTTAAGATTAAACAAGTATCAGTGCAAGATTATTCAACCGTTTTAAAGATCAATCTATACCGCTGTTAAAAGGGTTTTCATGGAGCTAGTGAGATCGGAGATACATTATTTTCCAATGCCTTTGTTTTGTGCAAATTGTATACTGTAGCAAATGAGCGACCACACAGAGAGGCAAAGAAAGCAACCAAAATGTTATTAAAGTTGGCCTCTTTTCAACAATCTTCACTGATAATGTAGCTTAGACAATTCTGAAGGAGAAATAATGTGTCTGAAGACAATGAAGAGAATCATGTGGATGGGCAGGTATTTTAGCTGGAAAACCAATCTCAAAAGAGAGGCCTACTGTAGCTAGGGGGAACAGTACTGTTATGGATTGGGTAGGATGAGTTTGCAAGGCAATAATCGTGTTTTCATAATCATTGTTGAGCTGTGAACTGTATCAGTTATCAGGAAAGAGAGACCCAAAGGACTCATAGTGATCACAATTGCTTTTCCCCCTCCCCCACCAAGGTGACACTTCATGTGAATCATTAAAACACTGTTAATTTGTTCAACAATTAACAGCATTTGACAGGGGATGGAAAGATCAGTCCAATTGCCCTCAGGTATTCAGTTGACAATACTTTTTTAATTATAAAATTGTCATTCCATCATATTTGATTTCAAAATGGGATGAATGGATCCAAAAACTGAGAAATATATTCATCTTCAATTCTGCTATCCTCTTCTTCCTCCTCCTTTCTCCTCCTCCTCCTCCTCCTCCTCCTCCTCCTCCTCTTCTTCTTCTTCTTCTTCTTCTCCTTCTCCTTCTCCTTCCCCTTCCCCTTCCCCTTCCCCTTCTCCTTCTCCTTCTCCTTCTCCTTCTCCTTCCCCTTCCCCTTCTCCTCCTCCTCCTCCTCCTCCTCCTCCTCCTCCTCCTCCTCCTCCTCTTCCTCCTCCTCCTCTTCCTCCTCCTCCTCCTCCTCCTCCTCCTCCTCCTCCTCCTCCTCTTCTTCTTCTTCTTCATTTTAAAGCAAGATGTTCAATCATGCGAAGATGTTGTAGGCTGATGAAATAGTCAGCCTTTAATAATAGAAGAATGACTGAAACATACTGCATTATCAGACTACAATGTGCCAACAACAAGGATTTGTTTCATAACTACTTGATTTCCTCTCCATCCATACACAATCCATGCTTGAATTCATCTCTTTCCTCCAGTATACACCTGTATGTACACATGGGCTAGCTGTACTAGATGAATACAAGTATAAAGGGATACTTCCTCTTATTCTGACCTACAGTAACCTACGTGTAATTGCAAAATGTACAGTAGGTGTGCAGAAAAATAAGGAACTTTCAGAACAGGAAACTTTGAGATCCTTGTAACATGTGTGAAATGGTAAAATGAAATTGGTTCTTGGCATTGCAGGGTTAATACTAGTAGTAGGGTTATAGGTTTCTGGTTAGGGATATGGATAATAATTAATTAACAATAACATTTATGCTGTAAAAAAATAATAATAATACTCAGTTTTTATATAGCGCTTATTAGAATCACTAAGCGCTTAATAGCACATATCACATTATGATAAAGTCTCTACATTGTACATGCACTTCCAAAGGACTTTGGATATTAATATTACCCCAGCTTTTAATAGCTCCTGCGACTGTAGTGCTCAGCGCATTTAGTTCAATTGGCTTTAAGTTTATGACAGCTCCCTAGCAAACTTAAGCCAATTATTCTGGAGGAGGTGTCGATTGGCAGATCATGGTTTTTGCGGTCATCGTAAGCTGCGCACAATTATATTAGAGTACATTTAATGCTACAGTAAGTGTTGATTGCATATTATTTTGGATTGACAATGTGACATCACAATGCCTATTAGTAAGTGTATTAGTTATTACCTTTAAAGTCACCTTACTGAAGTAAAATGCAAAGTAAAGCATCGCCTTAATTCACGTACTGGATTGAAAACAGCCCCTGGTTGTAACCTTGGCTGCAAGTTATACTTTGTTTAAACATAATTTATATCACATTCACAATTTAAACCAAGGGCTATTGAATTCTTTCACTTTGATTTATGATTAATACAGTAGCCACCCGGTTCCAGACTTCCAGGAGGTGATGCCTGGGTTAAGTACACTGTACATGTATGCGCAACAGTGCCGCTTACCCCGTCCCGCATCAAATAATGAGGGGGAAAAAGGACGGCAAAAGAGAGTGGAAAGGCAACAGAGATGATACAACCGCATTTCACCCTCTCCTCACTCGATGGTTTCCTTTTTCATTCACCTCAACGTTGAAAGACAAGGTCCACAAAATCCATAAAGAAAAATTTAAAAAACTTGGAACTTTACATGCATGCACAAAACTTCCATGACTTTCATATCCCACATTTCCAATTTCATTTGTAATCAAAAGGATCCACAGACTTATTTACAAAGCTGAATTGTAATTCCTGTATTAAAGTTTCTTGTTATTCATGACTCCTCGACTCTTGAGCCAAATCTTTATGACTAATAATTAATTATTATTATTGTAACTTGTAGCTGTTAGACTCTGAAATAAGTTCATACAAGCAACCTGGGCAGAGGCCAGTTTTTGGTCAACCAACAAATCACTGAAAAATGATTTCAGACATGTCATTTGCCTGTTTTTACCAGCAAAAAGAATTCACCCAAACAAAATGTTTTTGCAGGTGTTTCTTTCTGAACAATGTTGTTACAAGCCAGCTGCCAATGGTTCAATTAAAATGTCAATAAGGGGACCAGTATTAAGGAATAAATAAGAAAATAAAGGAACAATTGGACTTTTTATTTTTCTCAAGGTCAATCAGCCTATCCCCACCATTCATGCGAGCCATTCATTCGTGCAAGGCAAGGCCCCCGAAATCCCAGCTCCATCATCAATTCCACACAGTATACAGACGGCTAAACCAAATTCTGTGTGTAAAGTCAATGCGAAATCCAAAATCAAGATCGTCATCCCTTCACTACAAAATACATACCGGTTTGGCCCTTTCCAAGGGTTTTCTCCAATTTATATGGTCCAACATATTGAGTATCTCCACTAGACATTGTGCTCTTTTATTTGATTCGAATATTGTTGACCTCTGTTTTGCAAAAATCGGCAAAAGGGCTGTTTTTCTGCGGTGCTATTCGCAATAGCAGTCTACATTTTCCTTTCTCTTGCCCAAACACTTTCTGACCTTTGGCGATAGATGGCGCCATAACTTTCTCCGCAAGCTAAATGCATAAATCGGGTGAACTTGGGATGGATACTAAAATTAGTGCTGGGGATTGTATAAACAAAGTCTTTGAAGTATATCTTACTGACTTTATTCCATTCATATTCATTATTCATGAATCCCTCCTTCTCTAGCTCTCTTTCTGTTCCCTTTTTTTCTTCTCCATCTCTTTCCCCTCTTTCTCTGCCTATATAGTCTCTTACCACCTTTTCCCTATTGTATTTTTAGGTAGTCACACATAGGTACTCCCATCGTTTTTATCTGGCCCAGAGGGGACCCTACAACTTACAAGCTCTGCTTTTACCAGGGTCTCCTCGTCTTTCTTTTTAGTTAACTTTGTTTTTATCATTGCCATAATTTGTTTTTCTTTGCATTGTAAATGTGTAATGATTTAATGTTATGTTCTATGTGACATTTGAAAGGAAGACTAGTAAATATCTTGTTATCTTATCTTTCTTATGATCACAATTGTCATCTTTCTCAACATTATCACAATGCAGATCATCATTACCCTCTTTATCATTATAATCATCATCCTAAACATTATCACTGTCATCATAGATCATTTTCACAGCCATCATCCCCATCACCAGCATCTGTACCACCAATCTTTGTCATCATCACCATCATCAACATCATTATCACAATCAGTATCACCATCATTATCACCATCGACATAATATCACAATCATCATAACCCTCTCTTTATCATCATTATAATTATCATCGATCCCCATCTCCATCATCATCATTATATCACAATCACGGTCATCATCATCATTATCATCATCATGATATCACAATCACGGTCATCACCATCTTCATAATCATCATTATATCACAATCATGGTCATCATCATTATATCACAATCATGGTCATTATAATCATTGTTATATCACAATCACAGTCATCATCATCATTATATCACAATCACGGTCATCATCATCATTTTAATCATCAGCCACATCCTCATCATCATCATCAATATCATCATCACAAAGGAAATGGAGCCAGACAATACATGGTACAATCCTATAATAATATTACTTATTATTCTTCTCAAAAAGTGATTTTACAAGGAAGACAGATAATAGAAATATTATCAGAAAGTAAAAGTAAAATATATTGATTTATATTTCAAACCACTGCTAGGAGTACATTTTCAGAACTTCATTTATCTCTTTGCCTAATCTTACGAAGCATGAAATTTAATTCTAAGAGGGGGGAGGGGGGCAGAATCAGACCTGTGGATACGCATCAAATATGTTCAAAGAATTTTTTTTTTTTTTGCGCCTTACAAGCTTTTATGACTTCATGTCCTAGAGTCTCTCACACATTTCAAACTTACGCAAGTTTGACCTACGGTAATCCCTCAGCATCCAAAATTGTTGCACTTTGCATTACTCTGTACATTACTCTATATTAATTGTACATCATGCATATTCCAGAACTGTTTGAGATATAGATATGAAACTTTATGGGCTTATTCATTGGAAGATGTAAGTTTTAGAATGGTTTATTTCACTCAATGGCCAAGATCAGCTGAGAGACCACCAAAATAACCTGGCCTGCATAGGGTTAATTCGTTTCAATAATTGCTGAGGAAAATAAAAAATTTCATTGTAAGGTCATTAAGTCAAATGCCAATAGCTGAAATACTGACTTACAAAACCACATAATGTAGCTTAATGTAATGTAGCTTAATGTAATGTAGTGGGTAAGAAAATAGGATTCCAGATCGCAAAATGTAATATTATTCAAAATCATAAATCTACAGCAGAGAGGGAGAACTATATCACGACACATAGCTGGTTAAATACTGTTACAACCTTTATTAGTTTTGTACATCTTTCAATGAAATTTTCATTGAGATATGTCAAATCACAATTTTGATTAGATTTCACTGGTGTCACCAGCAACTATAATGTTTTGTGTTCCAAATGTGTCTCTTTCTGCAACTTCTCTTTTTTTGCTAAAAGTACCCACATACATCAACTTCTTTTTTATTACATAAAATTATAATTCTTGTTAAAAGCGTCGTATATTAGCTTTTACACAATTTAAATTTAGAACGTAACTAGAATGTATAGGTAAAATAACTCTTGTGTAATCCAATGTGGCATATGGATATCATTTCAGAGGCACAGAAAGAGTCAAGACGACTTGGAAATAACATGCAGACTGACAAGTTTAAAGATAAAGTTGAGTTCTGGTCATGCGATTGCATTGTGAAAGAAAGAGTGTGGAATCAATCAAAAAAGTTGATCATGTAGCATATAAGCATTGGTGTGTACTGCAAGGTTCTGGAGTCATCAAAATGATAAGAAATTTGGACCAGTCTTGGTAAAGAACAAGCACTGTACACAGAAAGATGTATATGGGACTACACAAACATGTTGCATACAAACCAGGCCTCGTTTTTAAGCTGTTACTCGTCATATTCAGAATATGAAGGCATTTGAAGAGCCATGCTTTCCAGGGGACATTTTTTCTCTGATGTCCTGAAATGCTCACAAAATATTCTTCACCTCTCCCCAGAACTCAACCTCTCTTTAACAAAGGGCTTGAAAATAGGATTTCAAGCATGAGACGCGACTCGCTAGCAGCGGAGATCTGAATAAATATAAACAATTCCCTTTTCTATCAGTCAGTGTCCTTAATCTTTCTTTTCTTCTTCTTCTTCTTCTTTCCTTGTGTCTGGTGTGCTTGGTCTTCATCTAACGGTGTTTCTCCCTTCTGGGACAGGGTACTGAAGATGGTTGTGATTTCATCGTTGTCAGCCGTCGCATCCTCCTAAAAACCATGAGAAGGAAAATAAACTTGTACAAATTTGCTCAAAGTAAGTAGAAATTCTACTTTTACAACATCTAATATCCAGATGCTAGCAGAGGTAGTTCAACCAGAAGTTTCAGCGACATGACATTTTTGAGAATTGTAAAGGAGAGCAATTTTAACGGCAAGAAATTTTACTGTTCTGTCAATTGTAAGTCAAATATTTCACAGCATGAATCTTAACTTAAGTTCCTAAAAATGCTATGCCTGTGGAGGTCTCTTTGCTTTACAGTAGCAAGGTTTGATAAAAGGAAACTCTACAATTCGCATTATAAACATCTGAATAAAGCAGAAATGCATGTGATTTTCGTTGTATTGAAGCATTACATCACCTAAATAAGACAATACAATCTTTCCCCTCTTAATTGTGAACTTAAATCACAGACAACTTTCATCTGGTTGGTCATGTGACTTGAAAATTAGTTGAAAACAGTAAATTTTATACTGATTGTGAAAAAATAACTAATTTTCTAATTCTGTCACAAACCATGCTTGCAAAACTACAAAGCACTTACCCCTGGTTCTTCACCTAGTCTTGAATCCCCAGACCCAGTCAACATAGCTATCTCCTTGGAAAACATGTCTTCTTGTCGGCCCTCCTCCATTGCCTTCTCTTTCTCTATAAAAAATTGATTAAAAAAATACAGTAAATTATACAAATATTTTCAGCTAATTTAATGGATCAAAAATGAACCAATCAACTATTCACATCTTATGGACATTTATGTTGCAGGTGTTACAAGGAATAACATTTTGGTAGATATGGCACTGAGAAGGAATTATGTTTGGTTGATGGGGTCAAAACAAAATAAATTCTTGAAACCATTGCATCACAAAAAGAGGTTTTAGAGGATTAAACAGGACCCATCAATAAAGTCAGCAGAGATTAAGAAATTCCTGAGAATTTGCAGACATACTTTTAGTCTGGCTATTTTCGAGCTGACCAGTCATACCGAAACATTGAACATTCATCAATGATTACACCTGTATAGAAAGACCACATTTTCTGTTTCCCTTGAAAGTGGTATATAATTGAGACACATCCTAAAGGAACCTGTACATAAAGACCACCTGCCTATAAAGACTCCTTTTTGTGTGTCCCTCGAGTGGTCTTTATATACAGGTTTCACTGTAATGTAAGACTGATTTGTCTTTGTGGTTCCCTGCTAATGATTTCTACAAAGAGTTTTTTATTCAGAACCTCTTTATCTTTAAAGGCATCGTTTAACAATTTTAAATCTGAGATGCATGGCCCTACGTGTTATTAGTGTCTGTGATATTGTGTATTTAATATTAAAGCCCTACAAAAATTGCGCTTCAAAATGATCACGAAATGCCTCAAAAGAGTAAAAATTTGAATAACCAGTTTTACCATACTCATTCTCCCCAATAGACTGTAGTGTTATAAAAACCATTAGGAAAACGGTTTTTGTAAAAGTGATGGGGTTCCTGAAAGACCTAATGTCTTATAATTATCATTGCAGCATATAAAGCTAACTCCCGGATTTTGTGTCTGTATCTGAGAAAGATACCCCAAAGATACCCAATCACTTTAGGACTGCAGTTATACACACTAGGCTTTTGAAAGAAATGAAAAGGTAAAGCAATATATTGGTAAGTCAATAACCAAATTCAATTAAAATGCTGATTTCTTGTTTTCTTACTTGGTGGTTCCCGGCCGACGATATCTGCAAACAATTTCCTCTTCTGAGCTTCCTTCATCTGAATGCTCTTCCACTCCTGCTTCCGATTCCGCAGATGACCCAGGGAGAGGTTCCGATGGACGAAGCGACCGAACGTGTGGGAGAGGAGATGGCTCTCTCGTTCAGCAAGGGTCTCGGCGATGACGAACTTGCTCTTGATGGACGATGCCTTGAAGATGCCTTCTATCGTCCTTGAGCCGTGCTTGTTACAGGCGATCTGGAAACAACTCCCCTGAAAGATATACGAAACGTTTCACAGATAAAAAAAAAACAGTTAACTAAAATCTTACTGATTAGCAACAAAGAAGTCCTGAACAGAGCAAACAAAGAGAGGGAACTGATTAACACAGTGCAGAAGAGAATACTAGTGTATGTTGGTCATGTGATGAGAGGAGGAGGATGGTAGAAGATCTTGCTGAAAGGAATGGTAGAGGGTAAACGAGAAAGGGGGTAGACAGCGAATCACTTGGTTTGATGATGCCAAGAAATGGACTGGTCTTAACTACGGAGAGGTTAGAACAAGGTTACACGACAAAAAGCGACGGAGGTGCATAGCCGATAAACCACTGGGACGGCACTAGATAATGATGACTGATTAGAAATAAAAGGAAACAGAACCAACCTTAAATTTCTCCACGTACTGGTCCTTCTTCTTCTCGCCTATCACAGTGCTCTTCATGAACGCCTCCAGGAGATAGCTCCCAGACGGATGGGTCGCCATGGATACAAGCATCTCGGGGGTCATGGCCATGAAACTGTTGAGGATGGAGCCATTCTTGGAGAACTTGAGCATTTCTTGGAGGAGCAGGGAGCCCTGGAGCTGGATGGGAGGAGGTGCCTGAGGGTCCTCCTGGGAGCGAAGGAGGAGAGGGAGGGAGAGAGAGAGAAAGAGAAAGAGAGTTGATTTTTTTGTCTTCATCCAACGGACTTTCTTCTTCAAAAGCTTGTACAGTTTGCGAGTACAAATTTATGAAATAAGATCTATGATTAGGTTCTAGGACACCTATCCCCTGGACATCCACCCCCGGATAACCACCCCCAGTCAACTACCCCCTAGGACAACTAACCCCTAGGGCAACCACCCTCTAGGACGACTATCCCCTAGGACAACTACCCCCCAGACAAATATCCTACAGAGTAGTTGTCTGGGGGGTAGTTGTCCTAGGGGGTAGTTGACCGGGGGGTAGTTGCCCGGGGGTAGTTGTCCTAGAGGGTGGTTACCCTAGGGGCTAGTTGACTGGGGGTGGTCATCCGCGGGGTGGATGTCCAGGGGGTAGGTGTCCGGATACGCTATCATTTATATGGAGCTAGGCCTACACAAATGTTGTAATGCCAGCTCTGCCTGAAAATGACGCAATTCAACATTAGCATTATCATTACCATTAACATTTTTAAAGGAGTGATCATAATCATTTCCGGGGGTACAAAAAGTGTTTTATTGTTATGCTAAAAAATATATATGTACCTTTGTGTCATCCTTCTCTCCGAACATGACCTCATAGGTTACCATGGCAGCAAAAAGGGGTACGCAGGAGTTCTGCCTGTCTCTCGGCTCATGACAGTGGAATGCTTTCATCAGACACTGCAGGAAGGGAACTAACAACAACAACAAAAGAATGTTCTCTCATTAAATTGAAAATAAATAAGTGATATGGATAAGTCAAAAGTGTTCTTGTGTTTTTTTTTACCTGAGATTTTTAGTATATCTGATAATTGTATTAAAGCCCCTCTAAATTGTTGGGGCCCAGAAAATTCGATGGCAAAATTTCACTTAAATTTTTATCATAATGTGAAAGAGGATGTCAATTAAGAGTAATTTCTGCAAAGGTGTTTGAAGTCGAATATTGATGAAAGAACACAAAATTTAGGTTTTCTGCGTACAACAGAAAACCCAAATTATGTATTCTTTTATCGCTATTTGTCTTCAAACACACTTTTTGGGGGGAAATCTTGGCAGAAGTGTGTCTTAAATGACATCCTTTTTCACATTATGATACAATTTAAGTACAATTTTGGGGCTCCCAATGCTTTAGAGGGGCTAAGCTGATATTCCAACTACATACCCGGGCAAGCTAATTAGTGCAACCAGTGTTTCAATAAAGTATTTCCCTTCTTTTTTGTATTATATATTGTTTTATCTTAATGCCAAATGAATAATCATGAATAAATCAGAAGGGATTTTCCTACCCTGCTTGGAGGTGTGGCTTACACAGCCTGCAGCCAATCGTTGAATGACACCAAGATGATTGACAGCTAACACACTCTCTATATCAGCAACGATCTCATCAAACAGCTCCTCAAACTATAGATTTTGATTTTTGAAAAATTAATGATCATTAAACTTTATGGAGAGTTAAATACAGGAATTTGGTGTCACAAATATCCAACAGTATTTTGTTGAAAAAGTCAACATTCATCAAGAGGATACCAAAGAATTTGAATATATTTATTTACATAATTCTTCTTCTTTGTTTTGTTACTGTTACTGTATTGTTATTGCATTTGTTGTTACCAAACAGTGCCTCACGGAAGACCACCATATTGGTGAAAAATGTGCTATTCGACACAAAATTTCAGAAATAAATAAATGAATAAATACAGTGATGCACCTGCATGGTTTGGAAGCAATGGGAGAACGTTAGGCACATAAGAATTGGTGTAGACTGTGATGTTTCAGAGTAGTCATCATATTTTGGATGTGAGTGTACACAAAATTCAATCCTTTACAGGCGACATTTCTTCAATGATAGTCTACCTCACTTATATAAAGAGAACAACAAAATTCGAAAGTTATTTTCACCTTTCTAAGAACTCAATCTTCTCTTGAAGATAAAATATGATGTAGGGGTTGGATCAACTGGTATTAGACCACCTGGCAATATATTGTAAAAGAAGAAACTCTTATGAGGCCGGTTGATTTTGCATTAAGGACCATGTTCACAAAACTTGTCCTCAGTGACAAATGACAGTTTTTGTTATAAGCTACTGAAATCCTTGCTTCTGATTGATTGTCCGCAGATTTGTCGCTAATTTTTGTCATTTGTCATCGAAAAAAGGCTTTGTCAAACGGGTCCCTGAAAGAATTATACCAAGCTTACCACAGGTAGGTCTTTGGTTCTTTCAAGCAATCGTTGGAGAACAAAATTGGCAACACCGTGCATGGCCAGTTTGATGAGTTGACCTTTGAAGCTCCGACCTATGACCTTTAAGAGGAGGTCATCACCAATGACCTTAAAAATGACCTCAAGCAGGTGACTGCTGATTGGGTGTGTCATAAGCTGAGCCAAAGATCTAAAAAAAAATAATAATAATAAAAAAAAAAAAAATAAAAAAAAAAAGTAAAAAAAATGGAAATAACACAAACTTACAAAGAAAAAATGAAAGAATTGTGGTTTAAAAACAATTTCTTTGGTGACATATGCCAAATTTGGTATCATCAATGTTACTTATTTGAATTTATTACTTGGGTTGAAAACAGGGTTAGGCTTAGAGGTGTAGCATTGAGTCCCAAGTTGAAGTTAGGATTTTGATTAATGTTTGAAATCGACCCATGAACAGTAGTTGTGCAATATAACTGGCTACCAGCCTTTACAAACTAGTGTACATCTATAATCTTATGGTGGGTTTTGTGTCCAAGTCAACAAAACAACATGCAATTACAGTCAAACCTGCTTTAGTGACCACCTGTATAGAAAAACTGCCTGTCTATAAAGACCACATTTAATTTCCCTTGAATATGTTTTCTCATTGCAACCTGTACGTAAAGACCACCTGCCTACAAAGACCACTTTTCATGTTCCCTTGAGTGGTCATTATTTACAGGTTTTACCGTACAATGCAATATGTAACTCTTGACAGTTCATGTTTAATGACTGAATAATGTGACCTCTTACTCTTAGGAAGAAAAGGTTAAATAATTAAATGCAAACTCTCTCACCTTTCTTTTTCTGTTTCTGATGCCGCTCCTTTGCTCAAAAGTTTGGCTTGCTTGAGAAATATCTTGGTGAGGCGTTTACATAGCTCTTTGTTGGTATGGTGAAGTGCTAGCAATAATACCTCTAGGACTGGGCCTGCTGTCGCGCTGGTGAAGTATTCTGAAATAAAACAAGGAACGATATCAGAGGTGTCGTGGTCGAGTGGATATGTCACTGAACTGTCGATCACAAGGTCCGCAGTTTGAGTCCCGCCGCGCCACTAATGTCCTTTGGCAAGACATTAATCTACATTTGCCACACTCAACCCAGGTGTTGTAAATGGGTACCTGGCAGGAATTCATTCCTTGAAATGCCAGAGCGCCATATTGGCAGCCGTGCTAAAGCCAGGGTAATAATCAGGAGCGCCAGGAGTGTCAAGTCTGACAGACATGAGCGCTATACAAGAACCCACTACTACTATTATTATTATTAAAAGATCCCTCTGTGCGCTTTGAGATAATCATGAACTCAGTAGGTGTATCTAGGGGGTGCATAGGGGGCCCTTGTAGGGGGCGCTAAAAAGGTGAAAGAGCGGAAAAGAGGGGAAATAAATTCTCTCAAGTTACACAAATTGATTTAGCTCCTTTTGGAATTAAACTCTCCATATATTATATAATATAAACAGATATTGTGGGCAGTTTAGATGCCGATGGATTTGCCACTTACCATTTAAATCATCAACTTCCATGATGGTTTCCGAGATCTTTTCCACGCATGAGAGAAAGTCCTTTGGTGGTGAATTCAAAATGACTTTGGTTTCTAACACCAATTCTGTAAAATGAAAATAATGTTCATACAAGGGCATTAGAAATCACGGAATGACAGTCAATAATTCCACTTAAATTTATACTTTCCTTGTAAAGTTGGCAATGTCTTTACTGCATATTGTTAATTTTTTTGAAGGAAATGAATTAATCACTATAAATTTTAAAAACATATATGTTTACAAGTTCATGAGAAAAACCTTGTCTTCTAAAACCCTCCACACGTGTAGAAAACGTTTTAGTGACACTTTTTACAAATTCGTATAACGTTAGGAAACATCAAATCATCATTACAAAATAAACACATTTATAGCAAAAGCAAAGCGAAAAAACAAAACATGAAAAACCAAAACATAATGTAAGAGACCATCAAGTTAGATAATGAGATAGAACCCTGCACATACAAAGAAAAATATTCTTGGTGATTAGTCTCCTGCACTAGTTTGGTCAGGATGGACGAGACCTCTCTGTATGGTCTCCGACATGTGGTTATCTCATCAAATCAGCTCTCCATTAACATAAGAAAAAGAGGATCATGGGGAACCAACAGTCACCGAGCATTGTTTGCTATATAGAGGGCGCAAGTAACTATAAGTAGTGCAGTGCCACTCTCCACCCAGGTGTTCAATGGGTACCCGGTAGGATGTGAAAGCTAATGTGCTTAGATTCGCAAGTGTGCGCTTGTAAAAATGACGCCTGGCTGAAATGCTACCCAGGGAGTGGAGAATGTGCATACATTGTGTGCGGGTAAGCCTTAAAGGGAAAGTCCACCCCCAAAATAAGTTTGTTTCGATAGAGGCAGAATAATAAAAAAATCAGGTGAGTGAAAGTTTGAGCAAATTCTGAATGAAAATAAGAAAGTTATGAATTATTGAAGTTGTGATCAATCAAATACAAATTTGCAACTCTGTGACTTATTATACGAGCTCTCCTTCATTTGCTTTGTGCATAATATTCCATAAAATCATGTTTTCTTCGTTATTGATGACGGAATATATATTTGTTCCTTGCAGGGGGAGTATAGAAACATATTTGCAATTATTATATTTAGGGTGCATGTATGGTTGAAATTTTTCTTGAGGGAAAATGAAAATTTTAGATTTTTTTAGTACTGAGCAAATGGAAGTTGAGCTCGCATGATACGTCATAGAGTTGCCAATTTTTGTTTGATTGATCACAACTTCAAAAATCCTAACTTCCTTATTTTTAATCGAAATTTGCTCAAACTTTCACTGACTTGTTTCTCTCATTTTTCTACTCCTATTAAAACTAACTTAATTTCAGGGTGGACTTCCCCTTTAATCCGATGACCGGGGTAATAATATGATTGAAGGGCCCTCAGGCAGAACAGTATAAATACTGATGAGGCTACCCTGGGTAAACAAGACATATTGTTATTATTATTATTATTATTATTATTATTATTATAAAAAGTCAGAAAAGAAATGATGATGAACCTTTATGTTGTTGGCCTCGTGATAGTTTGCTTCTAGAGACATTCTCTGGAGCCTGGATGCCAGCAAGGCTTGCTATGAGGGTCCGTAAAACATGGCTAGCATACGTGTCCAGTATCACCTAGGAATAAGACAGATAATAAACAGCATTATGATAATAATAACAATAATAGTACATTTTTATATTGCATACAAGTCCATTCCATGGGTAGCCTCTTGTCGATGGCCCTGGCGCTGTTGGAGTCCGTAAATTCTGGCGAGACCCGATTTACTACTGAATTATGCATTAAAGCCCTGGGAGATACATGTAGGCGGCCAGTCTCACTCTCACGGAGGACATTCGCACAGCACGTTAGATATTACATCATAGTAGCTCTCTCTCTCATTGGATGATTTTCACCGAACTTCAGTTGGGTCGGAATATTCGCCAAACAATGAAAACCAAAAGAAATTCAGATCACTTGTTAAGAGATCCTCGGCGCAAGCGGCCATCGACAAGAGGCTATTCCATGGGATGTTCGAGGCTCATCCAAAGTAGTATTTTTACCCTGGCCTTAGCCTAGCTGCCCTAAGGTATTGAAAGCCTTCAAGGTATAAATTCCTACCAGGTACTCATTTTCTACACCTGCGTGGAGAGTGGCATTGCCATGGATACATGTACACCAAAGGGCAAGTTCAACATACTTTTCCTCAAACATTACCAACGTCATAGGAGTTTGTATAACAATGATCAATGACAGATCTACTAGCACATTGATCTGACCACATAAGAAGGAAAATTCCATTTAAAATAAATAAGTTGTTGTTTTCTTACTTGGTAATGCATGGATAGCAAATGACCAAATAGTTTAGAGTTTAGAATGGCCCCAGACACGAGACACTAAACATACAATTAAATAAACTGCTCGTATAGATTTCTTGTAACATATATCCATGTTCTCATGTAAGTCCTTTGGCAGGACTTTACTATAAGATTGTCACTTTCCACCTAGGTGTAGTAAACAGGTTCCTTGTAAGTTCCATGACTAGCAATGTATTCTGGATATAAGAAATATACAAAACTAGTATCCATATCATCTTAACCATTGTCACCACCATCATCATTGTTATGATTATGATTGTGATTGTATCATCATAATCATCATCATCATCTACTGCATTATTTAACTGAAAATTCTACTCATAAAAAATACAGTGTATCCATCATGACAAATAAATTTCCTTTAAAAAACACCAATAAACATACACCCCACCTCTTTGAAGTTCTCTGACATTTCTTTACATATTGTGCAAAAAATCCCAGGCAGATCTACCCCTTCCTCTGTGCCTACATAACGCAGGGCTTCGATCATGGTCGACTGTAGAACATGGCTTGCGAACCGATCAGTGGCCGAGGTCGAAAGGTCAGAGGTCAATCCACGGAGGAAGGAGGTCAGCTGTTCAGGTTCCGAGAGAGGGAGGACTGTCTCGAGAATGCGGCTTACTGTCTGGTTTTGGGAGAGTCCTATTTCATTGCCTTCCAGTTCAGAGTAGACGTTCCTCATAAACATTGCTGAGTGAGAGTAAGAAAGAACTTGCACTTCAAATTTATACAGACATTGAAATTGTAAATATTTTGTTCAACAGGAAAAAATTATGCTTAATATTACCAAATTATTTTACAAACAAGTTTATGAAGCACAACATTTGTCACATGTACAGCCGAATTAATTTAACCATGCTAACTCTTACCTTCACCATGTATTGCATAATGCGTAGTCCTGCAAAAACGCCTAAAATTTGATCAAATTAGTTATTCTGCAGGTAGGTATTTTTGATAATTTAAAGTATTTTTTTAGTCATTTTAGTCTTATCAAGAGCATTTTAGGATTTTCTGGAAGTTTTGTCATTCACCGTTTACTAAATGTTATCGTTAGCTGGACGAACTGGAAATGCTGGACAATGTCTAATCAGTAGGGGCGCTGGTCTGAGAATAAGGATTGTCTTCGTAAACGCAGACAGACGTGTCCCCAAAAATAAGGATCGTTCGCAATTTTGCGGCAGATTCACATTTCCGATCCAGGCATTGGCGATGCGAAAAACGGATCCACGATGATGCTCCTTGATGCATTTCACATTGACTTTGTACAGAGACTTTCACCTTAATAATAATAATAATATATAAAATTTATTAGGCGCTTAATACAGGTGTTTCTAAGCGCACTATTGTCTGAATTAAAATTACCAACTAAAACAAAAAATATAAATATGTTCTTTATTCAATAAATCATGCATATATAGAATCTAATAACAAAAATAAAAATGAGATCAAACACTATGATCAAACCTTATGAGCGATAAATCCTCGGGAAGACGGAAATTCCATAAAATTAGATGTTGAACTGGGGGTATTCAATTACGGGGAATCCCTTTTTCACATTGCCAGCGCCCAGTTCGGGAACCCTACACCCGCAGAGCGCAAAAGAAAATAAAACGTCTGCAAAAATGCGGACGAACCTTATTTTTTAGGGCGTGATTTGTCTTATGCTTCCCTACTGCTAATATAATCTGGCCTTCAACCCGGTGTAATAGTCCACCTGCACACCCCAATCAGGCCGAGTATACGGCCGAGTATACGGCATCTGCAAGAATCTTCAGTATTGAAGGAGGCAGATTATCTTGAAGAAGAAGAAGAAATTGATCTTGGACTTGGGCAGAAATTGTAGAATTAGGCCTAGAGTAAAGGAGCCCGTTTTCGGCCACTTAAGACAAAATCCTATTTTTAGGACTCTTTACTTCCTATTTATTATCATTTCTTGTTCAAATCATGAAGCAAATATTATTATTATTTAAACAAAAAAAGAATCCCAGAAAAAAATCACGAATTGCCATGACAATATTCATTTCAATTTCACTGTTTTGGAGCCCGTTATCGGCCGAGCGTTTCAGTTTACGGCCGCATGTACAAAGTCAATAGGAAGCACTCGCGCGCGCCGTGCGTTTCCGCGCTGATGTACAGCACAAGCGGGCGGAGCAGGTATCCCACGCCGGAGCTCCCTGGTGCTCGCCTGGCCGAAGACAGGCACAGCGGTGATCGGAAGTTGGAATCTGAATTAGACAGAGATATCGTGTGTGCGTCGCGGTGTGCGGCTGCATTGATTTAATACATACTTTTGAGCTTGCGACCAGCACAAAATCGGGCTTTAAATCTGAAAAATACTTGAAATAAAGCTCATTTTATGGTACCCATATTTCTTATACACACGCGTAAGATACTCGATTTTTCAGATTTGGGTAGCGGGACCGGCGATTACATCGCTAAAATGTGATATTTTAGGATATATTTTCCATTGCAAATGTGGTTCTTCAGTGACACTGGCATGGTATGGTATGTGTGGGATATGTGTTATGCTATTATGCGATGTATTTTAGAGTGATTTTACCTTGCATCCAACCAATCGGCCGAAAACTGGAGCTGGCCGACCTTTAGTCTAGACTAGATCTACCCATTTCTTTCCATCTAAAAGTCTAAAGAAAGAAAGAAAAGACATATAAACGAAAGAAAAACAAACAATTCACACTCACTCCTATGTCTGTAAGTCTACAGTCCTACTCCGACTAAAAAAAAGTATAAATAAGCTAAAGTTTCTGTTCTAGACCTATAGAATTTTTTCTAGACTCCAACACAAAATCCAACACATGGGACCGTGTCCTCCACAGTTCACAAAATAATCTACCTTTTTCGTCAGCGTTTTCAAATCCTTCCTGAATCTTATCGGAGACCCGCCGATAGTAACCCATTGTGGGCTCATCAAGACGTCCAATCCTTCCAGTCCCATCATCCTCGTTCTTTGTTTTATCAGTTTTTTTGCTCATAATTTCAGTTGGTGACGACGTTCCCAATCACATGTGGAGCTGTGTTCACATAAAGATTTGCATGATATCACCACAGAATGATCGTGATCGTCAGCGTAGTATGTACGTTGTTATCGCCCGCCAATCCGTTTGCTTTACCTTTGAGTGTAAACAGCTCTCAAGATCTCAACTATGGAATGCGTATTTTTCTAAAGTAAATAAATTTAGATTTAATTTTATTTATTGTATTATCGAGAGCTTAATACAATGAGGCCCTATTACAAGCAGGGACAGGGGCGGCCGAGCGACTTCCAAAGTGGAGGGGGGGGGGGGGGCAACAACAAAAAGGGGTACTTTCTGAAGAAAAAAGGGCCTCATAAAGCGAAATTATACAATTTGTTAGACATTTTTATATACCCCTACATTGTGAATACATAATTATCAGGGATGATTTTAATATTTGTTTCTCTTTATACATCATACAATATATTGCATAAGCATTGTACTTTTCAGTTGGGTATGATGTATGAATATTCATTTGCGAGTGAGATTTGTGAGGTAGCAGTGCGAATAATTAAATCTTATAAAGAGGGAAAACAAATCCTGATGAGCACATTCTCATAACGGAAGACTGAAATGACCTCTGATAAGTAACATATATTTATAAATGCGTCGAGCGAGCGAGCCCAGCGAGCATTGGGGGAAATTGCTCTAGTAGTCGCTTTAAATTGGGGGCACGTTTAATGATGAGAGGAAAAGGGGACACTTATCGACAGGGATAAATAGTCTATAAAGACAATTAGAAAAGAAAAGGAGCACGTGTCAAAGTACAAAGGGTGATTATCAGAGGAGATGAAATAGAGGCACTTAATTCTTACCTAAAAAGAGGCACTCACCCGGGATGGAAAAGGCACTTTTGGGAATGGGAAATGGGCAATTGTTGACGGAAATGGGGTAACCATCATATTTTAATAGGGGCATTTAAAAGAGGTGAAAAAGGATTAGGTCCATTATTAGAAAGGAAAAGGGGCACTTATATCATTGTAAACAGGGAAATTACCAAAGGTGAAATTTGATTTAGCTCATGCTGCAATGATAATTATAAACCTTTAGGTCAGTCAGGAACTCCATGACTTTTACAAGCTGATCGCCTGTCTGATTATCAAGATATTAATAATTAGAATTACAAATTTTGAAAACCGTTCGCCGAACGGTTTTCATAACACTACAGTCTATTAGGGAAAACACGTAAGGTAAAACCGGTCACTCAAAGATTTTTACTTTTTTGAGGCACTTCTTGATCATTTTGAAGCGCGATTTTTTTAGGGCTTCAATATTACACCATATCACAGACACTGATAACATGTAGGACCGTGTATATCAGATTTAACATTGTTAAACGATTCCTTTAATAAGGGCATTTATCGGAGGTAAATTATTGCAAAGGAAAAAAAGGAAAAATTGTCGAAGGAAAAGGGGCACTTATCAGAGGTGAAAAGAGGAGGGGCATTCTTATAATGGAAAAAGGCACTTCTTACAAAGTTAAAGGGGCACTGTGTGGGTTATTGAACAAGTGCGGGGCATTGTGCCCCCTGCCCGCCTCCCCCGGAGGTCCTCCTCTGTACAGCCCCCCCCCCCCCGCCAAGGCGGGGCTCTGGGGTCGACCCGCCCCTTGTCCGTTGTCATGATTGTACTATTTCATCTCTGGTGAGTGCCCCTTATTAAGTGTGAGGAGTGCCCCATTTTCACTTTTGGTAATTCTTTTTACTTTAACATGTGCTCTTTTCTTTAATTTAAAATAAGTCTCATTTTCCCTTTGGATATTGATAGCCCCCTTTTCCTTTCCCTATAAAATGTGCTCCTAATTTAAAGCGATTAAGAGCCACGCTTTTTTATTTAATTTCACGTAAATCTGGCTCACTACGCTCGCTCGTATTTAAAGTTGATATAATTATCTTTCCATTCTTTTATGATTAAATTGTGCTTAAAAGTTAAAACCCCCACCAGAATGTTTTTTTCCCCTCCTATAAGATGCAATTTTGTTGCACTGCTACCTCACAATATTCATACCATCACACACAATTGCAAAGTACATTTTTCTTTAAAGTACATGCTATCTTGGACCATGTAAAGACAGAAACAAACATTGAAATCAACCCTGATAATATAATCACAATGTAGGTGTATGTTACACCAATGTCTAAAAATTGTATATTTTTGCTATGAGGTTTTCCTTTGTAACGGTGCCCTTTTCCCCGGAAAGTGCCCCTTTTTGTTGGTACCTACTTTGAATGACACTCCGCCGCCCCTGGTCTGCTGAAACCCCTATCTATACACGCTAGCCATATTATCATATACTTGTAGGCCGATATATCAAAGTCTCAATTAAGGGCAGGTACGTACGTACTAATCAAATTCTATTTTGAAATGTGCATATTTTCTGGTGCTTTTATTTAATCAGGGAAGGTTTTCAATATTTGATGCCATTATTATAAAACAATGGACAATACCGTCCAATCCTTCGAGTAAGATAAATTTATATATTGGCTATATTCCCGTATCATAATGTAAGTCTGTAGCAAGATTGAAGTTTGTTCTAATATAATGGTTTGCCCTAGAGTGATATATTTATGCACGTGGTGCAGTTGAAGTTGTTTCGATCTTTGATTAACTTCAATTAGCTAGACCAGCTTTAGAAAGTTCACTAATATGGCCAACATGCGTTTTGGGGTTATAGAACCGTTGATGAATCGGTAGATTATGTAATTTTGCAAAGTTTCACCGCAGAGGATGCTAAATTGTTTGGCTCTCCGCTTCTTCGTCAAAATCGTTTACGAAAAGCTTGTGATTGGTCACATGTGTAGCAACGCCATTGGCTTAAAGTTTATGCAGAGCGACTGGTGCGCCGGAGCCGTCTCTCTTTCGGATTTTTCCTGCCATATCTAATCAGTCGCTACGAAAAACGGGTGCTGCCGGGAGGACATACGCTAAAATTGGTCTTCCTCGATTCGGCACCATTCAGTATTGAGTGAGATTGGCACCATGCATTCATAATTTTGTATTGTTTTGTTTCGGCAATAGGTCAATGAAAGCAACAATTGTCGAGAAACTTGCTTGATATTTGCTGTGGTGTAAATATACACCTAGCTTTCTCAAATATTAATGATTTGCAACATTATTTCTTTCATTTACATTTTCCTATATCTGTCTCCACTTAAACCAACTACTCTGTCTTTTGTTCAGTGTATGCTTTCACACAATAATGTATTGACTTGTCATGTTTATCTCGCTTTTAACTTGAGTTTCACGTTTTGATTAGCATATGTTCATCTATTCTCATTTCATAAAAGGTAAAATGTTTGGTGGCGGAATGATTTATAGCCGGTAAATACTATTTCATCTCTCTATTCTATGCATCTTTATCCCACCCTCTCCCTCCCCACATGTTTCTCTGTTCCTTCTTCCCCCTCTCCCCCCTCTTCTTATCTCGCTTCCCTCTTATTTTCTGTCTCACTCTCTCTCCCTTCTCATCTCCTCTATATCCCCCCTCTCATTCTCTTTTAAATCTCCCCACCTCAGCATACCCCCTCTCTATCTATCTCTCTCCTATTCTCTCCTAATTATCTTCGTTCTCTCTCTCCCTTACATCCACTAGCAGTACCATCTCTCACTCACTCTCTCTCATTAAGTAACAGCTGAATTCATAAATGAACTTTTCTCTCTCAAATAAATCTTCAAAGCTGTAAATAATAATTATTTGATATGCTTGTCCGAACCGTCGCACCTTTCGATTAATGGACCGCCTTTTCCCCTGATTTCTTTTCTTTTCTCTTCACTGAAATATTTCTCTTCATGACAAATTCTAACTACTAACTGTAAAAACTCGCATGTTTACATGGTTAATAGCCGTTTATAATGCACAAACAGTATTATTCACAATTGTCACTTTCCTAGCTAATAGGTTCGCTATAGGGAAGTTGATCTTTGTTTGAATTATCGCGAAGATTCAAATCGAAAAGTCATTTAATTGCAAGTCTATCTTGGTAAAAGGGTTTATTTGTAACGATGTAAGTACAAAAGTAGTGACGTCACCTAGATTATTACCAATGAAATATAGAACATCTTAGCCGAATGGGAGGATTGAAAGGCTTATTTGTTTCCTGTTAGCCATGGGGATAATTCATGACTTTGTATAATATCAATGGGACAGTGTTGAAAGAGCTTTGAGAAAAATAGTGACTGATTTGGTACCACCAAAAATTAGCATTTATCATGATAAGTTGTATGATTACACAGTCACTCACAACATCATTACTGTGGATCACGTTTACACTATTAACTCGAACACGTGTAATCCTGATGCTAAATGAGTGCATTTCAAAACAACAGGGTAAGTCTGCTCCTGATCTATTCGGTGAAAAACAATGACACTTAAAGAGAATTTGGAGACATACGAGTGGTTGGTGCTATAATTATCCATTATTAAAGGTACCAAGTCCAATTTATAGGCCCAACAAATGAAAAAGTTAAATTCCAACAGCATTTGAAAGATAATACTAATTTAGAACTTCCCTTAAAACGAAAGGGCTTGAAAATGTCTTTATATAAGTGGGAAAATAACGACCATTAGTTGTCGAACCGACTATAGTGCTGGCAATCACGAAAGTAATAGTCTGATTTTCAGACCCTTGTACCAAATGGTTGTTTGTTTTGTGCTGCGCAAAGATTCAATCAGTTTCATTTTCGCCATTAAAAATTGGGTTATTGATGTAGACAAATGCTCATGTACCCTTTACAGCTCATTTTATGTATGTTATTACCAAAGAAAAAAAAAGAAGTCAGTCAGTCACTCAATAGTGTCCGACAGTGAAGTCTAGAAAGTAAACGGGTTTCCTTGCATAATGTAAATACTGTACACTGCTTAACGTTGAAATTTCAAAGACAGGACATACGTGACATATTCATAATTCCTGCAAAGTTTTACAGTATGTGATGTTGGCTACAAAAGGGACATAGTACTTTAAAGTCTTATCATTGATTTCCTGATACATTGCGTACGTCGTGCAAAAGTTAACAGTGTCTGTATAACCATGACAACCATTCCATAGTACAACACTCACGATCAGAGCACAAACCACACGTTACAATATTTTAAGTATGATGCAAAATATAGTCCTTTATTCGTAATCGGGAGGTCCCTGGTTTGATACGAAGTCGATGCACTAGTGCTCTTTGGTAAGCTCACACATAGAAGCATACACATGATTTCTTAGAAGTCTGAGGTAAAAACAAACCATCAACCAATATCAAAAAGACTATTTGTGGCAATTATAATTACTGCAGACTGGTTGCCAAACAAATATAAAAAATACCAGCAACGACTTTCGTCCTTCTTAGGTTCTGTGCGAAGGCACTTTCTAAAGTTGTCCTGAGTAATTTTTATCTTTATATTCCTGAACCAATCATTCATAGAATACTTGGGTAACTCCTTTTTTTAAAATTTTTTAAAGTGATTAAAAATAAACAGCTTCACTTCAACTACCAATGCATCTGTAGGCCCGGTACATTAACATTATACATGTACTACCAGATTATAAATATTTATATATAAAATAACTAGACATCGTCATAGTTTTCATCCGATTATAAATATGTAAGCTAAAAAAAGACAAAACCCTGTCTCTCCCAAAAGCAAGTATTCATTGCCTTACACATAATTATTGCAATATATATATATATATATATATACCGGTATATAAATTATACATCAAATAAACAAACGAATGAATGAATAAATTATTCAGCGGAAGGTTATTTGATAAGCAGATTACCAACAAAAACTGCTCACAAAAAAATGAGTGATGCAAATATCAAAATGGCGCTGCTTCAAGATAAAGAACAACAACAACAACTTATGTCCTTCTTAGGGTCTGTGCGAAGGCATTTTCTAAAGTTGTCCGACATATGTTATCTTTATACTCCTGAACCATTAATTTGTAGAATACTGGGTAACTACTTACTTTTTAAAGTGATTAAAAATAAATAGCTGCACTTAGACTACTATTACACCTGTAAGCCCAGTACATTAACATCATACATGTACTTCCAGATTAAATATATATAACATAACTAGACATCGTCATAGTTTTCATCCGATTATAAATATGTAAGCTAAAAAAAGACAAAACCCTGTTTCTCCCAAAAGCAAGTATACATTGCCTTACACATAATAATAGCAATATATATATATATAGATATATGAAATAAATGGATGAATAAATTATTCAGTTGCAGGTGATTTGATAAGCAGATTACCAACAAAAATGCTAACACAAAATGAGTGATGCAAATATAAAAATGGCGCTACTTCAAGATAAAGAACAACAACAACGACTTATGTCCTTTTATGTTCTGTGCGAAGGCATTTTCTAAAGTTGTCCTACATGTTATCTTTATACTCCTGAACCATTCATCCATAGAATACTGGGTATACTTCTTACTTGTTTTAAAGTGATTAAAAATTCACAGCTACACTTAAACTACTGTTACACCTGTAAGCCCGGTACATTAACATTATACTTGTACTTCCAGATTAAATATATATAACATAACTAGACATCGTCATAGTTTTCATCTGATTATAAATTTGTTAGCTAAAATCAGACAAAACCCTGTCTCTCCCAAAAGCAAGTTTTCATTGCCTTACATATAATTATAGCAACACTACATGAAAAGAATGAATGATTACATCATTCAGTGGGTGATTTGATAATCAGATTAAGGAAAAAAAATGCAAATGCAAAATGAGTGATAAAAGTAACAAAATGATGCTACTTAAAGATAAAGTTCGGTTCTGGTCATGTGACTGGATTGTTAAAGAAAGTGTTTGATAGTGATTGGAAAAAAAGTTATGCAGTTAGCATAGAAGAATTGGTGTTTTCTGTTAGGTTTTAGAATCATCAAAATAATAACAGATTGCCTCAGTATTGCTGAAAGTCCCAAAACGTTAGAATTTTTTGGTCAAAATTATGTTGAATATTTAGGCATTTTAAATGGAATTTGTTTCAGGAGGCACTTTTTTCCTCCATATAATATCCCTACAAACAGCTCATAAACAATTTCTTAATCTTTTCCAGAGCCTTCTTAAAAAAATAAAAAATAATAATCATTGATTTCCTGATCCAGCGTCTGATACATTTCTTCAGTAGTAGAAAGGGTTCCGTTCAACCCCACGCTGTTAAATATATAGTCAAGGAGAAGAGATAAGTTAAGAACATGAAGAAAACAGGAAGAGAAGAAGATGAAAAAGAGGTGAAAGAAGAAAAGAAAGAAGAACAAAAAAGATAATGAGAATAAGAGGAGAACAAACAAATATTTTAAGCACATTTAAAGTTTTTCAGTTTTGTGTCATGAATACTTCCACGCCTAAAATTATCGTGGAAGTGGAAATTTCCTCATAAATGAGTTCTGACTTAAACACAGCCATTCAATAGGTTAGTTTGAGGTCAAAGTAATTTCTGCCATTGATTTTAATTTTTTTTTTTTTTTACATTTTAAGATAGTTTATGGGCAAACTGGAAGTCCATCTAGATAGTTACTTTGAAATAACCTACCGGTAACCCAATAACTTCAGTACCAGAAATTAGTGCATTCGACCGGCCGAAAATAATCTATTGTGAGTTGTTATGGCATTTTCATTATTGCTTGTAACAACCTCGATAGCCGTTTCATCTCCCCCCAAAATAAATTGACAGCACAGTACACTTGAAAAGTCCCTGAATGATATCATCTAGCTAATGTAAAGTAAGTTAGACCTACTTACATTGATTTGGGCACTCATTTTACACTAGTACATCAGTCAATAGCTTACTAATATTGTCCCACATAGCTATGAACCTATGATGACAATACTGCTGTTCAATTATTGATTTGCGTTGCGCCTCATTGAACCTTTATTAAACATGATCGCAAAGATTTTCAAAAAAAAATGTACTCAAGTGAAAATTTCAATACCCTTTTGTTATCCCCAAGATGTAATGTTCGGATACATTATTGTAATTTTGGCACATTTACAGGGGGAGTCCACCCTGATATTAAGTCGTTTGTAATTAAAGCGGGAAAATGAGATATACAAATTAGTGAAAATGTGAGCAATATCTGATTAAAAATAGGAAAGTTATGGAATTTTTAAGTAGATATCAGTGAAACACAAATTGGTAATATTGTGACGTATCTCGCGGGCTCCTCTCCAACTTGCAATGTACAGAAAATTTCATAAACTTTCACTTTCTTAGTTATTGATTACGGAATAGATTTGTTTTTGGTACAGATGTTGTATAAAAACATGTTTTCAATAATTATTTTTAGAGTGCATGTATTATCAAGAAAAATAAAGATTCTTTTTGTTTTTTAGTACAGGGCAAATAGTAGAGGAGCTCGCAAGACACTTCACAGAGTTGCCAATTTGTGTTTGATTGATTGCAAGTTCAGAATACATAAATTTCTTACTTTTAATGGGAATTCGCTCAAACTGACCTATTTCTCTTGTTTTTCTGCTTCTATTAAACCAACTTACTATCAGGGTGGACTTCCCCGTCACTTGGTGATAGCTAAGGTTATTGAATAGGATGATTTTGTACAAAAGTATTTGCGATTGTGTTACAAGTTTACACGCAATTAGCCTCTACAAGAGGATATATGTTTAACAAGTCATTTTTTCTTCTAAGATACTCACATTGTAATCTCCTCCAACGACGTATGGTGTCTGGAATTGATCGTTCTGAAAAAAAAGAAAATCACATGAAAACTTTAATTTTTAGTAAAATGTTATCCAAGTCACCTACAAGAAAAAACTAGATGGAATTTTGACTGCGCGCAGTCGAAAATGATGCCTCCGCCATAGAGCAATTTAAACAAGTTTGGAGTTTAAATCTCCAGTGGTTCTTGAGATATCATGATAACAATCTCAATGTATGGAATTTCATAAGTTGACCTCTGTGACCCTTGACCTTTGACCTACGTGCTCCAAAATCTAATCAGATTGTCTTCCTATGGTGATACACACTATCATTAAGTTTGAAGTTTAAATCTCCAGTGGTTCTTGAGATATTATGATATGGTGATACATACTATCATTAAGTTTGAAGTGAAAATTCTCCAGTGGTTCTTGAGATATCGCGATAACGATCTCAATGTATGGAATTTCATAAGTTGACCTCTGTGACCCTTGACCTTTGACCTACGTGCTCCAAAATCTAATCAGATTGTCTTCCTATGGTGATACACACTATCATTAAGTTTGAAGTTTAAATCTCCAGTGGTTCTTGAGATATTATGATAACAATCTCAATGTATGGAATTTCATAAGTTGACCTCTGTGACCCTTGACCTTTGACCTACGTGCTCCAAAGTCTAATCAGATCGTATTCCTATGGTGATACATACTATCCTTAAGTTTGAAGTTTTTACATCTCCAGTGGTTCTTGAGATATCATGATAACAATCTCAATGTATGGAATTTCATAAGTTGACCTCTATGACCCTTGACCTTTGACCTACGTGCTCCAAAATGTAATCAGATTGTTTTCCTATAGTGATACACACTATCATTAAGTTTGAAGTTTAAATCTCCAGTGGTTCTTGAGATATCATGATAACAATCTCAATGTATGGAATTTCATAAGTTGACCTCTGTGACCCTTGACCTTTGACATACGTGCTCCAAAATCTAATCAGATCGTCTTCCTATGGTGATACATACTATCCTTAAGTTTGAAGTTTAAATCTCAAATGGTTCTTGAGATATCGCGCTAACAAACTCAATACAAGGAATTTCATAAGTTGACCTCTGTGACCTGTGACCTTTGACCTACGTACTCCAAAATCTAATCAGATCGTCTTCCTATGGTGATAAATACTATTCCCGAGTCTTAAGTTTAAATCTTAAATGGTTCTTGAGATATTGTGATAACGGTCAAACGGGACGGACGTACGGACGTACGGACGGACAACCCGAAAACATGATGCCTCCGGCACCACCTTCGGTGGCGGAGGCATAAAAACACCTGCCATTTTCCTCTAAATTTAATTTTCTAGTATAGAATTATCCAAGTAACTAACCCCTTGTCTGCGTTCACGGTCGTGTGCGAGTCTTTCTACCGCTCGGCTAACTGCATATTCACGGCGATCGAGAGAATTATAGCTCGCCGAATCCTCCCATGGATCATCACCGTAAAAAGAAGGGGCAGGGGTTTGCCTGCTGTATGGACTTTGGTAAGTCTCTCTGTGAAAAGAAAAAAAATGGCAATAATAACAAAAATAAAGAAACAATAACAAAACTAATACCAATAATGACATTAACAATACAAATGATAATAATAAGACTATAAATACCAACAATGATAATAAAAATAATAATAATATTAACTATAATAATATGTTATTCATCATTTTTGGCCATTCAGTAAACGAAAGTTATTTACAAATAAAATATTTTAGAAATTTCCCCTGGCACAATCCCTTGTCAGTCACTGTGCGTAACAGTGTCTGCACTGTCAAACTAGGCTGACGGCATACTGCATATGCTCTGTACTTTAGCTGCTCCGGATCGTATTTGATAGAATCAGAGACTGATGGAGCTAGGCTCTACTCATGGCTCTAAGAACTGTGGTAAAGTATCACTGTGCCTGCAGACTCCCCACCCCTGGATTCTCAGTGGTAATTGGCTTACCCTACAGCAAACTTAGCTGCGTTCCTCCGCGATGCCTGTATCAAGAAACCACACGAGCAGACGATGAGGATAAGGAGACTTGCAAACACACCCAGCACGATAGCGATGATCGCTCCATTAGACAATCCTCGTGGCTCTGCGGAATGAGATACAGAAATGAATAAAACTAGGTTATACCTCTAAATGCTTGTTATAGATTAAAAATAAGAAGCAGAAGAATAAATAGAAGATGATGAAGAAGAAAAATAAAAAGACAAAAAATAGGAAGAAGAAAGCAAAACAAAAAGATGTAGAGTGCCTACCTGTTGTTGTCTCTGTTTGCATTGTAGTAGGCTCAGGAGCTGTTGAATGAAAAGAGACAAAAAAGAAGAAATAATGAGAAGAATACTTAATAGGTTTAGCATCCCTCAATTAAAAGCCGGGGTTCAGATAAGCTTATATAGTTTGCTTTTCCCTTCCCTGACACAGGTGAAAAATACTTAAAACAACACAAATAATAATAATAATAATAACTACTACTTCTATTTTTGGCTCATACTGGGCATTGCTTCATGAAACCCTCAGAAGTACAAGATCAACAAGATCCCATTGAAGCGTAACACGTGCATTTATAGAGGTGTCGTGGTCGAGTGGATATGTCAGCCGACTGTGGATCACAACGTCCGTGGTTCAAGTCCCACCGCGGCACTAATGTCCTTTGGCAAGACATTGATCTACATTTGCCACTCTCCACCCAGGTGTTAAGTGGGTACCCGGTAGGATGCGAAAGCTAATGTGGTTTGATTAGCAATGGCACTTGTAAAATGGCGACTGGCTGGAATGCTCCCCAGGGAGTGGAGATTGTGCATACCTTGTGAGCGGGTAAGCATGAATCGGATGACCGGGGTAATAATATATATCTGTAAAGCGCATTGAGAGGGCCTGCGGTCCTAAAATGCGCTATATAAGGACGAACTATTATTATTATTATTATTATTAAAAATCAACACACATTTCAATGGAATGTCAGTGAACTTCTTCTTAATTTATGACGGTTTTGTGACACAATGCCCCGGCTGTTAAAGGTTCGTTCAGGTATGAAGAGGTAAACCGTGGCAGTGTCTCTCACTAACGTGTACATGAATGACAACTGCGCACAATATAGGTCCTGCCCGTAATTCACTCAGCTCTGTGTTTAATATCAGATACCGGAAATCTGAAGCAAACACTTGCGTTATTATTATTTTAAAAAATGCTGCATTTCACCGAACAGGATTTTACTCTTCCAAGATCATAAAGTGAGGAAAAGGTACATATTCGATCTTACCATTTGAGCCGACGCCAATTGGGAAGTATACTTCGGTGCCAACTGCAAAATTTCCTATATCCATCGCGGTAACGTTTATGACATTATTCATGATGATCTGTGCCTCGGAGGCGCTGTCAGCAGGGAAGGTCAGGTTAACATCTGCCACTATACTGCCGTTTGTGAACTTTAATATTGCGCACATGACATCACCACTCGTCAGGCTCCTGAAATACTCTGTCAACTGTTTAGAAAAAAAAAGAAAGAAAAACCTATTAAAGCTATACAATAGTCACTACATTTTTGCATGACCGATATCTCACAATTTTTTGTTTTAAGTTGTAAGTGTTAAATTTATTAGTTTCATATATTTTGGTAAATGTTTTTAGAACAAGTATCAATATATAAAGCTAGTTTGAGCTATCTTGGTCGGGGAGGAAATTTGGTCTACAACCACATTGCCCGTTTTTCAAATACAAATTATATTGCTGTGATTGCTGGTCCCTTTAAAGAAAAAAAGCCTATCATGAAATTAACTATAACACACAGGCAAAGCTTTCCCCATACTAGCTGGTATGCCACGTCATATTTTACTCTTCTTTTCTAGTTGAATCTTCTCTTTAGTTCAATCTTTAAATAATTACATTCAAACATATTGATATGAGGTACTCACTTTCTGCTTTTGGTCTCTGTAAATAGAATTCATGTTTATTTAGACCATTTGATTTGTGAAATTATTGCTAAACGAAAAGTGTATGTGAAATATGATTAAAACAATAACAACAAAAAACTGAAACTGAGAGGTTATACTGTTATAAAAACTTACACGGTTGCAGAGAGCATTTGCCAAATTCATGAACGCAAGAGACGATGAGTCTGCGAGATCGCTCGTGTATGTGTTACGGAAGGTGATGACAATCAAAATCACAACATCTGAAATTGAAGGGAAAAATCAGTAAATAATGATGATAATAAATAATAACAAGAATGATTAGAGTAGAAAAAATGATAAAAATAATAAAAATATTAATAATGATCATCATCGTCATCAGGATCGTCATAATAGTCATCAGAAACGAAATTTTAGCCAAGTGGCTCCTAACCCCCGACCTAACCAACCAAGGCACTTCCTGCATTATTTCCCAAGTCATTTGCTTCAATTACTATTCCGCACATTACAGTGCACAATGTCCACTCCCTGGGAAGCATTCCAGACAGTCTTACTTTTACATAGACCATCGCACCCTACCCATTTAGCACCTGGGTGGAAGGGATCGATGCAGATAAAATGCCTTGCTCAGGAACATAACTACCGTGCTGAGGCTCGACCACATGACCTTTTAATTTCCAGTCAAGTGATTAGACCACTCGTCTACGTCATCTACATAATCTACCACATTAGTCAGTTATTGCATAACTAAGTTCCAGTTCAAATTCATTTTCATTTAATCCCAATAAAAACAGAGCAGATGTAAATCATTAAAAATGGAACCAAGGGTACCATATCCAAGTATAACTGTATGATCGATATGTCAATCATGGCTGCCAAATTTACAACTTGTTCTTCCAATAAAAAGACATTAATTTTTTTATTTTTTGGGTACTAATCACTAATCAGTCAAGACACTGATAATTGTGAAATCTGTTAACGCTGAAATTATACTCATTCTTAATACTACATCACTATTATATTAACATGATTAACATCTGAATTTGGGGATATAATATTCCACGATAGATACATTTCTAAAATACAGGTAAGTTAGCTTTTGAAGCAACATTGAAGTCCCTTCCCTAAAAATTACAAAGCTCTTTGCAGTTGATTGTAAATAGTGAATAAATGCATCACAATCCACGAACCAAACTGCCAATTTGAGGTTTGCATAGATTTAGTGATCTCATATTTCAAAGACTCATAATTTTCTTGATATTTGTCCAATGATTTCACACAAATGGTATGTAGTCCATTTGTCAAATCGCTCTCTAACTTCTGGGGTGCAGTTTCAACATTTTACTAAAACATGAACAATGCTTTCTTTTCAAACTCCTTTATAAATATGTGACAATAGTTTGTGTGACCTTAGTACGCTATCTCAAAAATCTGATACCACTAATGGAAAAAGCAACCTAAATTTATCCAGAGACGAAATTTTCTATAGCATTGGGTGTTAAATTATGAGAGTTGTTAAATTTTAAAAATTGTAAGTAAAAGTGGTACCAACTGCTTGTAAGATATTTTACCTTGCAAAATGTGCAATTATCTTATGTTTAAATGATAGCTTTTTGTGATAAATCAGCTGTTAGCTCCCGTGCAGGAATTAAGGTCTTGTCTTTTGTAATGACCTTTTCCTCGATTTGCAGCGCATTCCGATCCTGAGATCGGGATAATTCTGGAATTCTTTGACGATAAATTTTCCAATGGCACTAATTTGTAGTAAAAAACTTTGTTCTCAGTGTTGTTCGCGAGAGAAAAATTAAATGTTAAATGCGTCAATATAGAACCAAACACCTGTATTCAAGATTTCTGCGTGGTTATCAGTTGCGGTTTGGCATTGGAAATGATATATATCATGTGTGACAAATGTTCAAGGCTGCTTTTTACAGAAGGAATATTAAACTAGATGACATTAAAAAAAAAAAAAAAAACTTGAAACTATCCTGTGTTGTACCTGGTGTAGTACCTGGAGTTGTTCCCAGTGTCGTATCTGGTGTGGTTCCTGGTGGTGTTTTAGGTGCTGTATCCGGTGTTGTTCCCGGTGTTGTTCCCAGTGTTGTTGCCGGTGTTGTTCCCGGTGTCGTTCCCGTTGTTGTTGCTGGTGTCGATCCCGGTGTTGTTACCCGTGTTGTTCCCGGTGTTGTTCCTGTTGTTGTAGCTGGTGTTGTTACGGGTGTCGATCCCGGTGTTGTTCCCGTTGTTGTACCTGTTGTTGTTACCGATGTTGTTACCGGTGTTGTACCCGGTGTTGTTACTGTAGTTCTTACCTGTGTTGTTCCCGGTGTTGTTCCCGTTGTTGTAGCTGGTAATGTTACCGGTGTCGATCCCGGTGTTGTTCCCATTGTTGTACCTGGTGTTGTTACCAATGTTGTTACCGGTGTTGTACCCGGTGTTGTTACCGTAGTTGTTACCAGTGTTGTTCCCGGTGTTGTTCCAGGTGTCGTTCCCGTTGTTGTTGCTGGTGTCGATCCCGGTGTTGTTCCTGATGTTGTTACCGGTGTCGATCCCGGTGTTGTTACCAGTGTTGTACCTGGTGTTGTTACCCGTGTTGTTCCCGGTGTTGTTCCTGTTGTTGTAGCTGGTGTTGTTACCGATGTCGATCCCGGTGTTGTTCCCGTTGTTGTACCTGGTGTTGTTACCGATGTTGTTACCGGTGTTGTACCCGGTGTTGTTACCGTAGTTGTTACCTGTGTTGTTCCCGGTGTTGTTCCTGTTGTTGTAGCTGGTGTTGTTACCGGTGTCGATCCCGGTGTTGTTCCCGTTGTTGTACCTGGTGTTGTTACCGATGTTGTTACCGGTGTTGTACCCGGTGTTGTTCCCGTTGTTGTAGCTGGTGTTGTTACCGGTGTCGATCCCGGTGTTGTTCCCGTTGTTGTACCTGGTGTTGTTACCGATGTTGTTACCTGTGTTGTTCCCGGTGTTGTTCCTGTTGTTGTAGCTGGTGTTGTTACTGGTGTCGATCCCGTTGTTGTTCCCGTTGTTGTTACCAATGTTGTTACCGGTGTTGTAACCGGTGTTGTTACCGGTGTTGTTTCCGGTGTTGTTCCAGGTGTAGTTTCTGAAATACAATTTAAAAAAAAAAAAATGGACATAAATAGTCCCTGATATATGTGACATCAGTAGAGCAAGAGTTAAAACTCTTACATAGTGTTGTATTCATTATAATAAGTATACTGCAAGGCACAACAGATAAAAAATTGAAAAAGAATCTAAACAAAATATTGTATTTCTGTATTTTCTGAAAGCAAACATGGTATACATTGTGGAGACAGCTTGTTTGACCTCTTCTACTATCTCTGTAAATCAAATCAAATTCATGACATCCTTACTGATGCCAAGAATGCAATCATTATTTAATTCTTTTGTTGCCAATTTGAGGTTTGCATCGACTTAGTGATCTCATATTTCAAACCCTCATAATTTTCTTGATATTTCCCCAATGCTTTCACACAAGTTGTATAAATTAAGTCCAATCGTCGAAATTGCCCCCCTCCAACTGTAATTGCTGTGCCAAGGGTTTTTAACTAAAACTTGAGAAACGTTTCCTTTTTAAACTGCTGTATGGTGGTGTGACCATAGTTTGTGCGTGACCTCAGTTTACTATCGCAAACAATTGGTAACATTACAAAAATCTAATACCTCGATTGGAACGCAGATGAACCTAAAATTACCCAGAGACGAAATTTTCTTTGGAATTGCGTGTGAAATTATGACAATGTAGTATAAAGTAGTGCAAAACTTTCAATTATCTTACGTTTGAATGATAGCTTTTTGTGATAAATCAGCTGTAAACTCTTTTCATGTTAGTTCCTCACTTGTTTACCATTAATAAATGCATCTAAGAAAAGAAAACATTTTTTTCACCCATAGCAGTCAAGAGTTTTCTAAAGTTCTACATGAATCAGCGTTTCCTCTTAAATTGGCAACAATCATTTGTTTTCCACTCTTTCATAGAGTTAAATAATAGAAATGGATGTTCAATGAAAGTGTGAATGAAACTCATCAAGAAATTGCCAATGATACACAAAAATGGTGATTATAAATTTCACTTTGCATCGCTAATTTAGAGAGTTATTAAAATAATCATTTTCAATTAAATATTTATTATTAATGGTACAGTGTACTGCCTGTAAAAGAAGTGGATTTACATTTTCTAGTGTCCTTTGGACTTTATGATCATGTATAACTAGTCAGAGCATTCTAGAACAAAAGAGTTTTAAAGAACTAAAAGGTGACACTAATTTGACATTACGTCCTTACCATTGCAAGTAATGTTATCATTGCTCAATTCATATCCAGGGTTGCATGAACAGTTATAAGAGCCGATTGAGTTCATACATACTCCATTGTCAGAATCACAGACAGATGGAATTGCAGAGCATTCGTCAGTATCTAGGAAAAGTAAACATATGTTCACCCATAGCATCAAAGTGTTTTCTAAAGGTTAGATAATTATGTTTTCCTCCAATAATTCGCAGCAATTATTTGTATCTTCACTCTTTCATCGAGTTAAAAAACACAATTGGATGCTAAATGAAAGTGTGAACGAAAGCTACAAAAAAATGGACATGAAATTGCTAAATTCTACACGAAAATGGTCAAAATGGTTTAGAGAGTTAAATGATCGCTTTCAATTTAATTCTTATTATTAATTGCACAGTGTACTGTCGATAACAGGAGTGGATTTAAATTTTCTAGTGTCTTTTGGACTTGATGATCATGTACAACTTGTATTTCAGAGCATTCTGGATCCATTTTATCGTTAAAGATGTCACTTACATGTGACATTTATTTAACATTACATCCTTACCATTGCAAGTAATGTTATCATTGCTCAATTCATATCCAGGGTTGCATGAACAGTTGTAAGAGCCAGCCGAGTTCATACACACTCCATTGTCAGAATCACAGACAGATGGACTTGCAGAGCATTCGTCAGTATCTAAGAACAGTAAACATTAGTTCACCAATAGCATTAAAGAGTTTTCAAAAGGTGTGATAAATCAGCTTTTCCTCTTAAATCCGCAAAAATTATTTGTATCTCCACTCTTTCATTGAGTAAAAAAGTAAAAATGGATTGAGAAGTATGAAAAATCTTCAAGAAATTGCTAATTTGTACACAAAAATAGTGATTATAATTTTCATTCTCCAATGCTAATTTAAAAATTTGAATGTCTATATCAGATTTAATCGTTATTATTAATGGTACAGCTCGTTTACTGTCTGTAACAGAAGTGGATTTAGATTTTCTATTGTCTTTTGGACTTGATGATCATGTACAACTTGTATTTCAGAGCATTCTGGATCCATTTTTTTAAAAGATGTCACTTACATGTGACATTTATTTAACATTACATCCTTACCATTGCAAGTAATGTTATCATTGCTCAATTCATATCCAGGGTTGCATGAACAGTTGTAAGAGCCGACTGAGTTCATACACACTCCATTTTCAGAATCACAGGCCGATGAATTCCTGGAGCATTCGTCAATATCTAAGTAAAATAAACATTCTTTTTTTACATTTGGCAATCTGACATTTGCATGTTGCGGCTTCAAGTTCACAAGGACTTTTAAAAAATCACCCCAAGATTATTTCACTAGCCTTGTTCATCACCTCTTGCAGTGTGCGACCGTTACAATGAGTCATTACAAAACCAGGTATTACAAACATAAATTCAATGGGCATGGCAATAGGGTTTTGAAATTGCCCTTGATTTAGTTTCACAAAAGTCTTGGTGGGGATATTAATGTTGTTTTAGTAAGAAAAAAATAATATCAGAAGATAACATTTTTCCAGGCGTTACTTCCCTGACTTTTTAAACATTAAAAGGAAACTACATGTACTTGCAAAAAAGAACAAGCAAGCAAATGGTGTATCATAATCAGAAATAGCTCAAAGCAAATTAAACCAAATTCTCACTAGGACATTATAAACAAAAACAACCACCAACCTCTTCAATGTCTCATCAAAATGTAACGGATGATCGCACTTCAATGAAATATCTTCTTCCAATAGGACATTAAATGATTGAATACCTGGAATATATGTATCCAAATACAAATTTCGAATCACGCTTAGAGGGATCGTTTCGTTACGAGTTGAATCCACTTCAAAATACTAGTTTAAACTATTCATTTGAGCGTGGATTCACTATTTTGTACGTTGATTTCCACAACAAAATGTGTGAAAATCCACAAAAATATTACTCTGCAAAGAGTGGATTCCTACACCTGTATATTCAAAGAATACATGAAAAGTTTTCCAACCAAGTAATAAAAGATAGATAGGCTACTCACAAGCTGCTTCTATATTAATTTGGAGTGCATTTAAACTTGCAAAATCTCTTTACAAAAGTAACATTCATGAATATATTATGGCTAGAGTACTGTAACTTGTAACATGCAGAAGATTGTAAGTGGAGTGATGGAAACACAATCACATGAAATTGGTGTTTGATCGAGCCTACCCGTGCAATTAAATTCGCCATCCATCTCGTATCCATCCGAGCATGCGCATGTGTATCCACCATCCGTGTTGTAACATATTTGCTGGCAGTCATTCTCCTTCAGACATTCGTTTATATCTGTTCATCAAAACAAAATGTATACAAAATGCATTTGCAAAATCTTCATAGACATAGATTTAAAGATAAGGTTGAGTTCTGATAAAGATGCAAAATTATTTGTGAGTTTCTTATTGTTTAGTTGGAAGAATATCAAAGAAGAAATGTCCACCGACAAAGATTGATCTTCAGATGCCTTCATTATCACTACATGAAGAGAAATAGCTGAGAATGTTTGGACCAAACAGATATAAATAAGTGCTTAATGTCAATGACAATTAAGCTCTCAGCCAATCAAATGCCACGATTTCAGTAGCTTTTAACAGTTACTTTTAACTTATTATTGACAACACGTGCATGTGTGTATTAGACCTTCAGCTAATTTTGAGTCGATTTCTCATCATTTTGTTTCTGAAACATTACAATTTCCAATGCTTTTAGATCATAAACAACCTTTCTCAATATAAATGTGTATTGTCGCCTACACCAGCTGTTTTTCATTATTCCTTCTTCACTTGTCTATTTTTCGTCAACCGATGCAGGACTATTCTTATTCTTATATATATATATATATTATATATATATATATTGCCTGATGATCGCTTGCAAGGCGTGAAACTCGGAGTTGCAGCCATGTCCCAACTCCCATTAGTCTGCCTTACTCAATATATATATATATATATATACATATTCATACAGATGTATCTAATTGAAATTTTTAATGAATAAAATTTCATCTCGGCCAATGTCCAAATTGCCAAATTAATTACAAAATGAAATTACACAATGAAATAAAATAATTACAGGCTAAGAATAAAAATAAATAAATACGATCATGACTATCATAACATATAGGTATACAAACAATCATAGAAGAACATACTATTTAAATAATGTACTGAAAGATACAAAAGAAGCCCAATTCCATTCTTGGTCGACCTATTGAATGATATGTAACTACGATCATCAGACATAGCTACACTTTTCGCTTTTCACTTCTTAATATATTTGATTTTTTTTACCAGTTTGTAACATGATATTATATTTTTAATGAATACTATTCAGTTAATTGACAAATCATTGCTGTATCATTCGTAACTGCTAAACTTCTTTCCCTCTTCCATTCTCTCCTCAGTTTCTAGCACTCTTTCTCCCACCTCTCTCCCTCTCTCTATCTTTTCTCTTTCTCATTTTCCCCCTTCTTTCCTATTGTATCCGTCACTCTGTATTCATCTCTATTGTAACGATTTGAAATAGCTGGCCCCGTTTACAAACTGATCAGCACTTTATCCGTATTAAACCCATGAATATTAAATGTACATCTATATTTTGCTTTCGTAAACCTTAACTTATTCTCTGTCAGATTGAAGTAAATTCCCAATGTATCACAGTATTTTATTGATCTTTTTAATCTGTTAAAATCACGCAATTATTCACTTTTACAATCTACTGCTATTTTAAAAGCCGGTCTGCATGGTTACAAACAAACACGGCCCGTTAAAAATCAATGAAGATCAGAGAGGAAATATTATTGCATGTTCACATTTATATATATCTTTATATTTTATATTTTTACTATGAACTTGAACAAATTTTGAATTTATATCATGTAATGTCTGATTTCATATGTATTTATCGTATTGTAATGTTTTTATCAATTTGTAAAAAGTCACACAATTCAGCCTTCGGCTGCAAGATGATTTTTAATAAAACAAACCTTATATAATTTTACTTTGGATTTAAAGGAAGAATTAAATACTAAAATGCAGCTATAGGGGAAAAAAAGTAATGCAGACAAAATATAATCCATATCCAGATGACTATGTAAATTATTATATATTATATATAACTGTAGTTCTTTTGAGTGAAGCCAGTTAGAAGAAATTAACATTCAAACAGGATGGGGAAACAAAGGATATCTAATCAAGTCATAATGACAAGCAACAAATCTCTTTTGATGCAAGATAAGAGAAAAAAGATTTCAGTACTATTCATTATACCTTCAGAAATAATGTAAAAAAAATGTTTCTACCTTCACAAGAATCTGTTCCCGTTCCGAGGAAGCCTTCATTACACGTGCAGTAGAAACTTCCATCAGTGTTTGTACAATCCCCATTACGGCAAGCATCGGAAAACTCTTTACACTCGTTGACGTCTACAACATCCATGTGAGATGAAAAAAGTATTAAGAATATTGATGAAAATAATAATGGTCTTCTCTACCCTTCGTAAGTAAATTTGTAATTATTATTGGCAATTACAGTACATACATGTATAACATGATAAGAAGTACTTTTGAAAAATCAACCTATCACAATAAATGCAATTTTAATAGCCTGTTATTTCAACATGATAACGTGTATTATATCTTATGATTAGGATATCTATGGGACATACAATTGGGTTTTGAAATCGCTCTTGAGTTTAGGAAATGGTTGCTGTTGCATTACCCCCCTACGTGTGGCGGAGGCATAATTACATATCTCACCTTGTGCGACGATCCGGTTATTTGAACCAAATACTCGGTTAGGCGGAAGGGAGTCAGTGAACACAGACTCTAAGAAGGTAGCGTTCAGTTCAGAGTTGAATGAGTCGATCCGGAACTCGACGAAAGCGCTGCCACCGACCACGGTATAATTAGTCACAATAACATCTGCAAGGTTCCCATCTCCAATAACAGATGTACTGTTAAGCTGGTTAAACACCTGCGATGCATGGGTTAAGCATTTTGAGTCCAGACATATTTTAAGGGTTTCTTCATGAACAAGTTTTCTTTAAACCACCAAATTCATAACTTTAATACTCATTGAATAATTAATTTCATGAAATGAAAAAAACATCCATTCATCTGAAGAAAAAAAAAAAAATATATATGTATATTGCCATTTTTTAAGTATTTGTATGGAATTCTTTGTCCTCCTCGCTAATAGAATTCCCATTTCTAATTTATGTAAGAAGAAAGCTTAAATTAAACCTGTTATTTTCTTATCAATAGGTATAAGTTGGTTTAAATTCAATTTTCTAATTAAATACAATATCAATTCAATAAAGAGTACTAGGCCATATTTTATCATAAAACTTGTTATCAATAACTACCGGTACTCACAATAACTGTTATAAATAAATACTACTGAAGCCATGGTATTTGATTGCATGAGAGCAAATTTGTAATAGCAATTTACCCAGGAAATTTAGCATTTATTGTTGTTAAACAAAAGACATGAAGGAAGGTCTGTAGGAAAATTTCATGTAATATGACAGGATGAAGATTAGCGTCGGTCTAGTGGTATATTCACTTGGTCAGCTCTCATTTTTTCACCTAAAATCTGGTTCAAAACTGAGTCACGCCTTCCAGCTGGTGATGTTAAAAGTTGGTCTCCAGACGTAAAAAATCATATCTGATTGATTTGCGTCCTCAAAAATCCAAATACATACACACTAACATTGCTTGGTGCCTGCAACAAGTTTAGCAATCCGGTAGATACCAAAAACTACTACAGGTATGTGATAATGTGCCTTACCTGTTCGGCTAGTCGGTTCCGGTTTTGTTCAGTGTCTGTATAATACTGGATTGCTATGTCGTTGATGAAGTCTAACCTCAGTTCCAGAGTTAACGATGTAGCCGCTATCAGTAAAAAGTTATATGAAATACATTTTAAAGCAGTCAGCTCACCCTCGTTAGTTGATATCAAAGCGAAAGCATTATTGAAAGTACACAAGAAATATCAAATGAATTTTTAGATAGATTAGCAAAATGTTGTGGTGCAAAAAGCTGCAACTTGTTGACCTAAGAACGGGGAAGTCAAATTAATGAGCGCACTTCATGCACGCAGGTTTTACCCCGGGGGACCTGAAGCTCCGAGTCCAAAAGACGGAAAGGTTGTTTTTTTTACAGGAATTCAGCGATCAACGTTTTTCTTTTCTCCACCTCATGCAGACACACTAAAGCTACATAGCTCCCTCTACGGCTATATTTTAAAGTTCCTTTCCTTCCTTTTTGTACCGTGTCGTAGGTTCTACAGGCATGGAACTATAGCACAATATTTAGGAAGTATAGCCGGGAGATATTTTAAAAAGGATGACAATTTAAAGGTGCTCTAAGTTACCATTGTTCCCGTCAGGAATGTGTTCCTTTGGTACCCACCTCCCGATTAAATGGTGAAATTGACCTTCTTCGCAGACAATAAACACACAATAGGTTTAATAGACATGGAGTGGACTCACTAACAAACCTATGATATATGATACAGAAGCAGGCGGTTATGAAAGGCTGTTCCATTCAAAGAAGCTTATTGTAAATTTAACAAATAGGCACTGAAACAAATTATTTGTTTTCAGCAATGTATCCCTCCCTGAATTTTTTCAAAATCCTGTTACCTGCCCTCTGTAAAACTAGCCCTTTTTTATTTCTATGAAATTAATTATACGGTTTATAAAAGAAGTTTTTCAAATATGAGCCAGAATATGAATATTTATACCTAAATAAATGTGAAAATATTGTACTATATCAAAGCTTACATTCGCATGATCCGTTGACAAGGGCATAACTCGTATTACAGATACAGGTGTGGTTCCCCACGGTGTTCATGCACACACGATTCAAAGTTCCATTGCACATGTGGTTGCCAGTAGCACACTCATCGATATCTAATGGGGACAAATCAAATGTTACATTTATTCAAACATATTCATTTAGGCATGACAAGATCAGTTGCCGCATTGTTTCGAATCTTGATCTTGTAGTTAAAAGACATGATCGTATCAATACCAGATAAAAAACAAATGTGAATTACCGGTAGATACAAAATGATAACATACACAAAATAATAATCAAGGGATGAAAATTTATTGAATAAAACACGACTAAAATAGCCAAAGCTATGTAGATAATGCTGGTATGATTATCAGATAGGTAACATCAAATAGCCTAACTACTACAAAGCAACATGTAGGTTAACCCTTATAATCATTCACTTTATTAACTCGTCTCATTTTATCAACAGCTGTTCATATTATTGTAGTTACAAAACAAGTGTTCACCCCCCTCTTTTATACTTTTATTACAACAGCAAGTCACTCTCTACCTTTTATATCTAATTTTTTAGCTTAACTGAAGGCTGCGAGCTCATCAAGATGCATGCTCATGCTGTAGCAAGCTCATCTTGTTCATATATGAATTAAGCGTGTAATTTAATTTCATTCCTTTTCTAAACAATGTCATGTATTGCATGCATTGAATAAATTGTATCGAATGTAAATGAATCAAATGTAAATGTAATATTAATGCACATGAATATGTTTGTTTGAAAAGATGGTGAAAGGCTAATAAGTAAATAATAATAATAATAATAATAATAATAATAATAATACTTACTATTAATAAGTAAATCAATTATCAATAATAAATATAAAAATGCCTGTATTTCATACTGAACGGGAAACCAATAACATATTTCTTAAAATTCTACTTCAACTTATAATTCATAATTATAATTATAATCAATGTCGCCAAACCCTCATGACTGGAGCGTCTTGAAAGAGAAAGTTGTGACAAGCACACACGCATACGCCACTCAAGGATCATTTGCGTGGGCATGTCACAACTATCTCTTTCAATACGCTATGTTCATGACATGTAATGGTAGTATTATTTTACCTTCGCATGACTTTGTTTTGTTGACTGTATTATATCCATCCATGCAGTCACAAAAGTAGTTCCCATCTGTATTTACACATGTTGAAACTTCAGGGCAATCATTCTGAACTCCTTCCGAACATTCGTCAAAATCTGCATAAACATAAACAAATATTTGTTTCTAACTCCATGTAGGCATGTTTTAATAATAATTAGTGATAGTAATTTTTTTACAGTGCTCATGTCTGGCACATTGCCACTCCTGGCGCTCAATTATTATTACCTTGGGTTGAGCATGGATACCGTTAAAGCGCTCAAACATTATAAGGAATTATAAGATGATGAAGCGGATCCCAATCAAATAATTGGTTGAGGGTGTACACGTGACCAGGCATTTATTTTTACTAACATATAATTTTACTGATGACCGATCATTAGTAAAATAAAAACATCATCTTATAAAACAAATAAAACATAATCTTGTACAGTAAAACAAATAATACACATTATTTTGTTCGGGCATTGGTAAAACACCCTCGGGCTTGTTAGACTGTTCCAAAGGTACCTTGTGTGGGTAATTCTTACTAATTCCCTCACTGCTGTGTATCATTTGTATACCAATTCCTGCCAGGAAACCCATTTACCTCACCTTGATGGATTGTGGCAAATGTTGATTAAGGTCTTGCCAAAGGACATTAAAGCTGAGACAGGGCTTTGAAACCTAAACCTTATGAATAAACAGTCCAGAGAATTTATTCACTAGACCAAAACACCTACAGATTTTATCAAGCCTCCATTTCAAATAAAACATTAAATGCACGGATGCATGGTGCCTTATATGCTCACAGGTGAGAATACTGGACAGCGTATCATGAAACCCTTCATATGTGGATATCCCATTGAAAATTGTGTATTTAAGTTAAAACACTTTTCAATTAGATGTCTGTGAAGTTTTATATATGATGCTTCGTGAAACGCTGTCCGGTTCCCATCTTAAATCATGTCAAAACATACAATTTTACTCACATTTACGTAATATTTGGAGGTTATGGTACACTTATATGAAGGGAAAAAAAATGTTTTTGGATAGTTTTTAGATGTCCTACTTCAGATATTTTGCATCAGTTTTGCATGAATAAGGATTGGCTAAAGGTATTTCAATATCTTATTGTATGTCCCTAGATAGAAATCATGTTCGGATATGTTGGTTGCTGTCGTGTTTGTAATTTATGGTTTTATAACATGTGGATGATGAAGCAGGTATTTGCATGTATGTGATATATATATATATATAAAATATTACAATGTATATAACCTATGTATAAACATGTACTTCAAGAAATCTCACCTGAACATGTTCCATTATCAAACTCGTAACCAGGGTCACATGTACAATTCAGAGAACCAGTATTGTTCATTGCAGTAGGTGTACAACCTTCGTTGTCTGTTTCCAAAACAAAAAATATATATATGTTACAAAAACGATAACAAAATTGATTTCATCAGGATATGGAAGTAGCATACATATGTTTATGCTTCATAAAGATAGGAAGACGTTTGGCAACTTTTTATCAATTTTCTTTTCGCGGATAGCTTAAATCATGAACAATTTCCTGTGAATTCGAAATAGTGTATACATCATGCACATGAACATCAGTTAATGTTTGGCATGCTTATGATAATGTAATGATGATAATAACTATAAGTATACTACTAATACAATTAATAACAACAATTGAAACTTTTTATACTGTCACGTAATCATTCATTTATTTCAACTTGTTCTCTAATTTTCAAGTATTCCGAATCAGATCACTAGCAAATTCGTCATATAAATTTTGCATTTGTTATTGCCTATAGCCCTAGTTTCGACGGTCCTTCAACATTCTTACCTATACACGAGTGTGTATCCAGAGAAAGAGTAAATCCATCGTCGCAAGAACAGTAGTATTCATAGAGGATGTTGTGACAGGTGTGCTCACAGTCGTTGGTCGTGTTGCTTTCACATTCGTTGACATCTTAAAATCCGAAGGAGAAATCGTCATAATGATAATAAACTGTTCTTGAGTAGTGCCTATCATATTGATATTGAAATACCATTGCTATGTGCTTCCAAAGAAGTTTGGATGGTGGCTTTAGCTCTGGCAGCCGTAATGGCAATGAGTACTCCTGAGAGGTACCCATTTAACAATTGGGTTGAGAGTTGCAAATGTTGACTAATGAAATATATTCATATATGTTTTGCTAATATTTAGTTTTTACCAATAAAAATATGCAAGTTCACAATCTTATAAAGTGAAATGAAAGCTTACAGAGATCCAGTCACTAGCTATCATATTCTTCTTCCTACCATTTCCTCCTCCCCCTCCTCCCCCTCCTCCTCCTCTTCTTCTTTCTCTTCCGTTTCCTCCTCTTTTTCTTTTTCTTCTTCCTCTTCATCTTCCTCTTTCTCCCTCTTCTCTGATTTTGTTTCAGGCATATGTTCTAATTATTATTATCTTTTTTTTTTTGGGGGGGGGGAGGGAGCAATTTTTGTTTTAGTTGGTTCACCGTATCAAAATTAGAGCAAAGCTATAGTAACTTGGTATAACATACCATAGCATGTTTCTCCGTCACCCTGCAGGCCTGGCGGGCAGTCACCACACTGAAATTCAGGCGACTCCCCAGCGGGTTTGTCCATACATAGTACCGATTCGTAGCAGGGAGACCCTGCGCAGGCGTCGAATTCTACCTCACAATGGTCACCTGACCACCCGATGGTACAATTGCACGTGACAACCTGAATGTGTAACAAATGTAAATAAGTGTATACATTCCTACATTATTTGGTCTTCAAATTTGTATGTTACATGTGTAACAAATGATTTGTTACTTATGTTTTTTAGTAGAATTAATGAAACATAACATGAATTTGATTGGCGTCTTCGGGACTCTCCTTCCAAGAACTTACAAGGATCAACAATCTGGTGATACCTGAAATGGCTATTGTTAACATTTACAATTTTATGTGACAACCTTAAAAATTAACAAAATCTGGACAAGCTATTATGACGTTAGCTCACCGCGTATCCATTAGCATTGAGATTCTGGCCTACGGCTTGGGTCTGGAAGTCACATACGCCCTCGTTCATGCATTCACAGATCTTGACCTTAAAGGAGACCACTGTTTGCGCACCTCGGTCATCGCTGACCATGACCTCAATCCTTGATACATTGAGACTCGATGGTGTCCACTCAAAAGAGCCATCTGAAAGATAAGACGAGACAGTTGTTAATTACAACCATACTGTACTAGAAGCAATACTGTAAAATCCCCTCTGGCGCCATCTCTGGTCAGCTGTAGCAGTATGGTCCCTGTTAATTATTACTATCATTATTAAGTATCTGGTGTTACCTATGCCTTGAAGGCGAACAGCATACTGGATCACTGTAACCCTCTGGTCTCTCCTCCTGGTATAACTGATTGGGGATGTGCAGGTGGACCAGTTCACTGGTATACAAAATGTGCAGTGGGTTCCTAACATTCAAAGATGGTGACGCTCCTCTACACAGCACCCCCATTTAACATCATATCCAAAGAACGGAACAGAGCGTTTTACATTTAACATAGCCTGCGTCTATGAAACAGGGGAGAAGCATGCTAATTAACTCACAACACAGGCCTCATGCACCTGCCTGGGTTTGATTTGAAGCAATGATCTTTAGTTTGACAGGCAGATTGATGCTTTACCGATTGAGCCAACTCGCCTCCTCTAATTGGTTCTCGCATCAAGACCTCTGCTTGCGAAGTGGGAATTTAACATTAGGTTACTCACTGTCGGCAAGTTGACCATGAAATGGTACTGTGCAATAAACAGTATGCTAGGGCAATTTTTGTTTAGTTCAATATTTCTTCAAAGGGCAACCCAACTTTTGTAATAAGTTCATAAAACAGAATGCCAAATGAGTGCAATAAATCTGACCAATAATAAGCTGTTAAGAAAGTTAAAACGTTAGAAATTTGAGTTTACTATGATTTCTGTGAATCTCAAAGTGGCAAAATGGTCAGTGGATTAATTTTAACATAGCTATGGAGAACTCTCCTGTATGTGTACAATTTTTTTTTCTCTTAAGTTACTTATCCTTACAATTATTCAAAATATTTTGTATTTACCAGCACTGATAGTTGCACCATCTGGAACAGAGTCAGCTAAAGTAAAATTGACCATATCCCCGTCATTAGGATCTTCAGCCGTAAACATCAGCTGAACAGTTTCGTTAACTGTGACACATAGTACTTTCTCTTTTTCCTGAAGAACATTGTTGGTATCAGTGATCATAGTTACATTCGGCGGGAAATTTTCTGAGAAAGAATTAGGAAGATAACAAAGGAAGTGGACACTTTAATTCTTTACTGACTCCACCACCACGATCTTCCCCAAACTTGCTGCAAGCCAAAGATGATGGCATGTTCCCAAAATGTTCATATGGAATGTGGTGTGAAACTGTCCGATAGAAAGGACACAATGGGCACATGGAAAGGTTGGGTCTGGAAGATACAGTGGTAGAAGTGGAAAAGAGAAGTGGATTGATGAGATGGATGGGTCATGTGTTGAGAAGAAATGATGATGAACCTGTTAAAAAAGCATGGGATCTGAAAGTGGATGGCATAAGAGAGAGAGGCATGAGATGGAAAGGTAAAACCAAATTTATCACAGATGCGATGAAGAAAGAGAGCAGAATTAAAGGTTGGTCTAAATGAAGAGGATGCTTGAGACAAGAAGAAGTGGAGGGAAGGAGTGTTATCATGGCGTGAAAGTCAGAAATCCTTTGTAAGAAGGAACATGTTGATTTCAATAAATGATGATGATGATGATCGATGAATGATGACCCCTACGAATTATGTCAGGTACCATGCAACGAGGCGTCATTTTTCGTACGTAGGACTATATAGCCTACTATGAAAATTATATCATCGTGCAACAAATTATACAGAAATCGTTCTACTTGTAAAAAGGATATTAAACATCCTGCTGCTCACAGATCTATGTAATCATGTTAACCAAGACTTCAGCTCAACATTTATTGTATAAAATACCTTCTTGGCTATTCAATGGTTATAGTTATCGTTACTGAGGGATATTCCCGAATCTTAGAAGCTCGATCCCATAGGCTGCTGTGAACATGGCAGTTTACCGCGTTTGAAGGTTTTTGTTTTGTAATGTTTATAAAAGCGCATACTGCATTGTATTTGTATATTTCTTTGTACTACACACAGATACGCATTGGACGTTTGTTTTGTGAATCTACAAAATTGATTTATTCCCACGTGCAATTCATTATTTAGTACATAAAAATAAAACCTGCCGTGGCATACAGCAAATTATGGGAATGAGACGAAATGGAAGGCAAAGCTTAAAACAATACCTAGGTTGGCAAGGTTGTCATCAAATGTATTCCCGGCCTCCATTGTCATAGCTCCCAGTTCTGGGCTTACGGCAAGGTAGTCAAACAAGCACATTTCATCGTCACCGCATGTCTCCTTTGCAGCAGCTGTCCGCTCGGGGTCCTGAGCCAGAAGATCACTCAGGAAAATCGGTGTGTAGTTCGCGGGGTTGTAGTAGGTCCAGTTCCTCTCGCTGTAATCGAACAGGGACTCGACCTCGCTGACTTGCCCTGGAGTTTGCAATGAAGAAATAAGGTGATTTGGGATAGGTTATACAGGGCTATTTTGGCAATAGTTTGAGAGGTGATCATTGATCCATTGTAGTAGGACCCATGATGATAATATGACAACAGGGAAAAAGGTGAAATCATATAAATGATTAACAAAAAGTATGGTTAGGACAACAGGGATTAATCCTCGTTTATTTATACTGGGGTTTGCAAAAAGGAATAATGAGAGAACATTTTTTAAGGAAAGACAGATTTTCAACTCCCGTTTTAGTAATGATAACCATATGAATAATTATCAAAATGACAAGTTTTTATCGTCACTTATTTACCCTGGAGTATGGAATGATTCAAGAAAATATGCAAACATTGTTTGTTGCGCTGTTGCCAATTTGACATGTTGACAAAATTCCAGCGGTTAACCGCTCCTGCATGAGGCTTAAAGATCAACTTACATGACTGTCCAAAGCCAAATATCTCCTTGTCCGTGAGGTTTGTGGCTAGCGAATCCTCAAGAGTGGTGCCGTCTCGGAGCAAGAAATCATCTGAACTATCGCCATTCAAATTGCCTGGAGAAATGAAATGAAATTGACAATTTTCTTAATATTTAATAAAATTGAATGCTTTCGTCTTTGTCTTTTGCCTCTTTTTATAATTATTTCACTCACCTGTTACTAGAATGCATCGCCAGCGGATGAGTATATTATTATGTGTGAACAAAAGACCTAGGGCATTAGGAGTGACATCGTTCTCAAACTCGAATGTAACACTTTTAACATGCTTCGTGCAACATTGGTTTGGGATCCAGCATTAGATAAAGTTAGATAAACATGATTGTAAGAAACTTCAATAGCCAAAGGCATCACCCATCACCTGTTATATGCGAACAGCTCCTTCAATTATCACATGACCAGGCACGACACCCATATTAGAATGTTACTGTCTGCGAAAATACAACAATTTTATAGGCTGTTGGCATATTTTACCATCCGAAAAATGTCAAATTCTAGAATTTCAGTCGACTTGTTATGCATGTCTACAAATTGTTCTCCTCCCCCTACACCCAGTTCAAAATGGTTTGGCGACAGCTCTGTGTAAACGTTCTAGTTTTTAGAGTGAAAAAACTGACTACTTACCCAGAAGACCTCTGCCAGGTCCATCTTCTTCGTAATCCGGCGGTGCTTCGACGGTCGCGAGAAGAAACCCGCTAGAAAAGGTCACGGTGAAAGATGTAGCGGGCGTGTCACCAACCTGAAAGTAAGCATTGACCTTGATTTCGTCCGCAGTGGTTCCGTTCTCACGCGTCAATGAAAACGAAGAATCTGCAGAGGCATAGCCGTCTTTGTCACAACGGAGAGAATAATGGAGTGAGTATAATGAAAAATGTTTAAAGCTATTTAAACCCAAAATATTATTTTTTTCTTATTTTTGATAAGCACACAAAAAAAACTATGTTACTATTACTACTACTACTACTAATAATACAAATTATAAAAGTAATAATAATATAAGTAGCAGTAGTAGTAGAAGTACTACTAATTCTACTGATGCTACCACTACTACTACTATTTATGATAATAGTGATAATAATATTGATACTTGTCTTACTCCAATAATGAATCCCTTTGTGCTTTTCCTAGACAAGGAAGGATTTTTTTTAGATAGAAGGGGTGCCCAAATGACCTTAAACAAGAATGATAACAGACTTGGCCAAAATAACAATACTGATAATATTTATGACCTCCCCCCCTCGCCTTTGGAATGGTTAAGGGTACCACCCATCAATTATTCTGTTATATAAAATAAGGTTTTTGTTAGAGACCATCCTATTGGCTGAGAAGATAGCACATGACACCCAACATTTCGTTGTTTCACAAGCGTGCAATAAAACAATCTTTGTTTGCAAGGAGACACGTATAAAAGTGAATTGGATTGCACCTCTCTCACCTCCTTCTAACTCGGTCAAGTCGGTAATCTCGTCGGTTCTGTTAACGAGAATCCTCATGACAGTTCTGTTGTCATTTAGGGAAAACTCCACCTGTTTATTAAAGCATATACAAGAGAACACATTCAGCATGCACACACGTATTACCCCAAAAATAAATAAGAACAAATTTAAAAATGAAGTGTACATTTTCCGACATTAACAAGAATTATTTATCACAGGATTCTAAGAATAGGTCATTACCAAAAAAGTGTGAAAGTATTGTTTGACATACCAACAAAAAGATATTTTGATGTTTGATGGGCAAGATCAAGTAGAAGCTTGGAAAAAATAACGTCATTTTTTTTTGGTTGTGTTCATTGGCAAGTGCTAAAACAGAAGGGACTAAACTATAGCTAGGGTTCCTTGGCACAATGGAGGACCAACAGACATACTACGATTCGGTAGGGTATGTGTATTCTTAAATTAAGAGAATGGCCTTCCATTGTTTTATTTAATCTGGTCATCGATATGATTTGGAGTATCTTTCTCTTGTTTTTCGTTACTGCTGTAATAAAAAATACGGAATCAGAAAGCAACTTTTCGACACGTGCTTGCATACAATGCTCATGCATATTACGTGGACTTAGCACTCGCCACTGTACACCAGAAGTAAGATCTCCTGGAAATGGATCAAAATTACACCCAAGAGTTAGTCTACGTACATTAGAGCATTTGGAAGTATATTGGCGATAGCGAAAATTCATTGTCTCCCTCTCGTGGTCTGTATATAAACTTTCCACTGATTTCTGTTTCAAATACATACTAAAGGAACCTGACAATAAGGACCACCGGTCTACAGAGACTGCAATTCTAGTCTCGCTTGATGTAGTGTCTGTTTATAAAGTTTCTACTGATTTTTCTTTGAAATACATAAAAGAAACCTGTCAATAAAGATCACCTGTCTACAAATACTACTTTTGTTGTTTCTTTCTAGCAGTCTTTATAAACAGGTTTCACCTCAAAAGCTTGTTCAGATATGACACAGTAACCTACAGCATTTTGTCTATAATTTTAAATAAATGGCATCTGTATGTAACAAAAATCCTACGTGCACTCACTCGAGCTTTAAGTTATTACGATACAGAAACATGAAGCATACGTCATCATAAAAAAAAATTAAAAAACAACGCAGTTTACCGCTGCATTCTCTGAACAAGTGTTAACCAAGATTTACCACTGTAATGCCCTGTGTAGCAGCGAAACCGGTGAAAACAGTTCCTGTTTCGACAGGCTTGCTATTGTTGAAGGCTTTGCCAGTCCTGGCCTGCAGAACGAATGTATCGTTATCGTTGTATTTCAACATAATGTATTCCCCAAGACCATTGAAAGAATACATTCTTCCATCCAATGTGTTGATGTGGGGGTCGCCCCACGACCATGCTGTTCATATGACAAGGATAGAAGCAATCTTGCAGTAATTCTTATACAATCATCATCATCATCATCACTGATTATTATTAATGCCCATAACACCTGACATTTCTTTTTGACCTGGTTATTAATCATGCATGTTAAAGACATGGAGAATTCAACACCATTCGGGTGTTACCCAATAAGAGGTGCTGTCAGTCACCAGAATTAGCCTTCAGTTTTATGACAAGCAGGCCTTTATGTAACGTACTGCGTTCTCCACCCATTCCCCCACATGGTAAAGTCATTATCTCATTTTTCCCTCACCCGAAGACTCTCGATAGACGAGGGGGTATATTTCTTGATTGGCCTACGGGCTCGCTGTGTGCAGACCTAATACCTGTACACACATTAATGATTTTTATCCACCAAATCTGATGTCAGCGAATTATGGCCTTCTGCACAGAATAATAATAATAATAATAGTCTAATAGTCCACTCCAAATTTTATTAAACCGAAACGGAAATTCTTTCTACCCAATTGATCGTGAGCCTGGCAGCCACTGAGCAGCGCCAGATCGATGTTGCTCTATCCCTTACTGTTGAACGCCTAACAAGGTAGCAACAACTCCCATCTTTTAACGTCTTTTGGTATGACGCGGCCGGGGTTTGAACCCACGACCTCCCGGTTGTGAGGCGAACGCTCTACTGACTGAGCCAACACTCCGGTGGAAACTGACGAGTGACTCCCTTTCATCTAATCAACTCAGTCAATAGCGACTGCACTATTCATTTTGAGTTCCAATCTTCTACTATCTCTTATCATGGTCATGCCGCATCAACAACCACGGCAATTGCTGCCGTGATCCTACACCAGGCAAATGACATCTTGTGCAACATTAATATAACTTAAAGTATACAAATGGTGTATGCAATTGTGTTCACTATATACTATCTATCTGCACTCAAGTTGATGAAAGGTGTAAACAGCCTGAGCAAGTCTGGATAGAACAAATGAAAATATTCATCATTTGCTTTATTGAATTATTGAACCATTGAATCATCATCCAGATAGCAACACATCAACATTTACAACGTTATACAAAGAAAAACTAGATGGAATTTTGACTGCGCGCAGTCGAAAATGATGCCTCCGCCATAGAGCAATTTAAACAAGTTTGGAGTTTAAATCTCCATTGGTTCTTGAGATATCATGATAACAATCTCAATGTATGGAATTTCATAAGTTGACCTCTGTGACCCTTGACCTTTGACCTACGTGCTCCAAAATCTAATCAGATTGTCTTCCTATGGTGATACACACTATCATTAAGTTTGAAGTTTAAATCTCCAGTGGTTCTTGAGATATCATGATAACAATCTCAATGTATGGAATTTCATAAGTTGACCTCTATGACCCTTGACCTTTGACCTACGTGCTCCAAAATGTAATCAGATTGTTTTCCTATAGTGATACACACTATCACTAAGTTTGAAGTTTAAATCTCCAGTGGTTCTTGAGATATCATGATAACAATCTCAATGTATGGAATTTCATAAGTTGACCTCTGTGACCCTTGACCTTTGACATACGTGCTCCAAAATCTAATCAGATCGTCTTCCTATGGTGATACATACTATCCTTAAGTTTGAAGTTTAAATCTCAAATGGTTCTTGAGATATCATGATAACAATCTCAATGTATGGAATTTCATAAGTTGACCTCTGTGACCCTTGACCTTTGACATACGTGCTCCAAAATCTAATCAGATCGTCTTCCTATGGTGATACATACTATCCTTAAGTTTGAAGTTTAAATCTCAAATGGTTCTTGAGATATCGCGCTAACAAACTCAATACAAGGAATTTCATAAGTTGACCTCTGTGACCTGTGACCTTTGACCTACGTACTCCAAAATCTAATCAGATCGTCTTCCTATGGTGATAAATACTATTCCCGAGTCTTAAGTTTAAATCTTAAATGGTTCTTGAGATATTGTGATAACGGTCAAACGGGACGGACGTACGGACGGACGTACGGACGGACGGACGGACGTACGGACGGACGGACGGACGGACGTACGGACGGACAACCCGAAAACATGATGCCTCCGGCACCACCTTCGGTGGCGGAGGCATAAAAACACAATTACGATGTTATATTGCCGAGACTATATCTGATCAGATTTTCAGATACGTAAATGACAAAGATAGTAAGCTAAAATCAGTTGTTCTCGCCAATCGGTATTTTGTCCTTGCTTTCTAGCCGTTTTCTAGCTATTTTCTTGCCATTTATGACTATTATGGCAATCCCTGACTTAGACTCGTTGTTTATTTTGGCGTAAAAATCCCGTTTTATGGCTGTTTTGTAGATGCTTGAATTGGTGAATTTTGTGCACCTCTTATTTCCATACACTTTAGAAATTTTGTTAACCATGAAGCTTACTTACCAATTATTATTGTCAACATAAGACATATGAAATAAAATTAAAAAAAGCTTACCAGATCGCGGAGGTCTATATCGTGAGCATGTAGACGGAGGGCGTCTTTCCTCGTACAAATCACAGAAATCTCCACCAGCTACTTGGCAGCAGTGATACCTTGGGAGCACATCATTTGCTGTATGAACAAAATAAGATAAATGTTGATCAGAACTGCATATTCCTTTCAACATATATTATTCATCAAATCGTTGTATTTCGTTGTGTTGCTACATTGTTCCTATCAAATATAATGTCTCCGAAAACAATATACATGGGTAAAAATTTTGTCTCATTCTTGAACCCAAGCACCTATCAATGTGAGAGTTAAGGATAATTTTTCTTTTGAAAATTCCCTGCATCAACAAAATATGGTCATGAAACAAAATTGATGCAGTATGTGCAGAAATGTTGCCCTTTTCTTCCCATGCTCCTGGTATAAACTTTAGGGCTCTGAAGTTATGACACCAAACCAAGTAGTACGTAGTAGTAGCAGAATAGTCCTAGGAGTATAGTAGCAGTAGTAATTACAGTATTAGTATTATCATTAGTAGTAGTAGTAGTATTAGTAGTAGTAGTAGTAGAGTATTGGAAGTGGGCATAGTAGTAGGAGTATGGTAGTAATAAAAAGTAGTAGTAGACGGTCGTAGCAGTAGTAGTAGTAGTAGTAATAGTCTAATGCGTCATAGTAGTAGTAGTACAGTATTCTTCTAATTCCATTCTTACTAACATAGCATGAGCACGAGTGGTCCAGATATGAAGAGCTAACACAGGTTTGTTTAATGTAGTTTTAAAAATTTATTTCTTTTTCTTTTTTATTTGTATTTTTCACAACCTGGAAATAGTTATCTACAACTACATGTAGGGTATGCACGCATTCATTGAGCGACAAAATGCAAAGCTTATTTATGCTTACGTAATTAATACTGCCTCATATCTGAACGAGGTTACTTTCTTTTGAAAACATATAAAATACAACTATGTGATTCGTCCTTACCAAGCCACCGTTGATACGAGTATGTATACGCCTCATAATGAGAACTCCACCATATGTCGATTATGTAGCCAGGTAGAAGCCCAAAGAAGTACGTACATCGGTAGCTACCCCCGAAAGGCAGCCATCGGCTTTGTTGGCAGTATGGGATGAAGAGACCTTGATGAAGATAAAGTGTAGTTCCGATCATGCAATAATAATTATGATAATAATAGTTATGACAATAGTTTAAGTAGTAGTAGTATCAATATCAATGATAGAAATACTGAAAATAACAATAATAATATCACTGAACGACAATAATAAAAATTGTGAAAATAATGACAATGTATAATAATAGTACCTCTAGGTCCGAATATCAATTTCAATAATAATAATGTAAAAGTAATAATAACAATAATTATAATAACAATAATGATGCTCGGTACCTAGCTCGAAAAAGATGTTGGCCAAGCCTAACAATGCTTATATGAATGTGTATTTAAGTTAAAGTTTTAATTGAAAATCTTGTATTTGTTATCGATGTATCGGTGAAGTTTGAAACAGTTTGAATACGCCGGTTTCAAAGTGTTATGTGCGAGTGACGCAAGGAGATGTCAAACTGCGCCTCTGGTAGTAATATTGAAAGTAAGTTATTTTTGAAGTGGACTTGCCCTTTAATACAATGGTTCAAAGTGTTTTTTGTGAGTGGCGTGACAATATTGCACCACTGATAGCAAATGGACAGTAAACTCGAAGACGTGCGCAAACTTACCAAGGAAAATACTATTCTGCACAGACAGGTCTGATTGGTCAAATAAATAATTGCAGGAACCATATCTTCGATCAAATATGGCCTGCCAAACAGAACACGGACATGGAGGTGTAAAGAAAAATCGGAACCACAAGGGTGGCCAGAGGGTGGCTTGGTCTTCCAGGTACCAGTTAGAGCAAAACAGACCTGAGTTAATGAACGTGCTTGGGTTGTTGTCGAGTCTGTAAATCAGTATTCCCTGCAATTACAAAGGAGAAAGAAATTGGATATGTATACAGGCTCATTCAGATATTACGATTTTAATCGGCACCAATAAAAAGAGACAAAAACAAACTAGAAATTTAATTCGTCATGGGGACGAATTAGGTGGTCTGTCTTCAATTTTAATGATCACCGACAAGTCAAAAAGTAAAAAAATTGAAGAAAAAAAAATTGTTGGACACGCCCGGACTCGATCCAGGGACCTCGAGGTCGGAAGTCAAGTGCGTTACCGATATACCAAAAAATGTCCCTTAGAGATTACACGTAAACGGAAAATGGAATTCTCAAATCCCACTTTGTAAGTGAAATATGAGCATGATCCCGGCATCTGATCGAAAAATATAGGGCACACTAGTGATAGCTTATTGTCTCAGCTACAACATACTCAAAGCTCACTGTAAACAAAGATAAAACGACAGAGATATTGCTCGCGAAAGACGAGAATGTAGAATCCAGTTTTGAGAAAAAGTCATGTCCCTTAGAGAATACACGCAAAATGTGAAAAATTGACATGCCTCCTTTAATCGCAAAAATACGCCATGATACCATTGTCAAAATGAATTATTGTGACGACTACATTTGTAGAGAATATTCTATGGTAGAACATATCAAAATTTGAAAGAAAATTGATTAATATTTACAGAGATACAATCAATTTTCCAAAAATCTGCTGACGTCATAATATTCAAATTGAAATTTTGAGTTCGGAGGCCACTATGAAGACGTCATGAGTTAATTAAGGGTCAAATGAGACATGAAATCATATCTCCAACTGCTTTTTCTAACCATGAAAAAAAAGTTTTGGTCAATGGACTATCTGAAGAGCTATTTTGATTTTTAAAATGGCATGCCATGTTTTTGATCAAATTTGCATTATATTGCCCATAGCAGCACGCGCGGATTTTGAAATTTGACGCGCGCTCACGGCCTTATTAAAGGTCAAGGGTGACTGAAATTAATGTAAATTGTCATTTACGGTAAGAGGAATCTAAATCATGTAAAAAATTTGAATTTGACCCTTTCCGCGCGCTGTGAGCGCGCGCAACGCGCGCGGGGACACGTACGGACGGAAAATTTTGAAATGCTTAAAATGACCTGATTCGTACTCTCGTTTAATTGTTAAGTGATTTTGAGCTTTTTGAAATTTTGACGCACACGTACCCGCGCGTCATGACCTTCATGTGACCTTTGATGACATGACCTGTTGACCCTTGACCTAAAGTATACGTGATATGAATATGAATGACCTTTGCTTATGCATCATGAAGATATGATGGATAACGTGATTTCACAAAATGGCGCCTGGATGACGTCACGATAACCTATTGACCTTGAAAATGTTCCTGTCACGTCTCATGACAATGACCTATAATTGTGCAGAAATTTAATGAAATTAACTAAACCAAACTTGAGTTATCCGGGGCACAAAAAACGGGAAGAAATGAAAATAAAGAATAATAATAAATAAATAAAGAAAATTCTGACGAAAACAATAGGTGATCTGTCGAAAACGACAGACCACCTAATTAAACAACCCCTGTCCCCGCAAATCAATAAAACAAAAAACAGCCACAATATTTTCATTGGTTTTAAGGGGGAAGGTATAAAATGAGAAACATAAGGTCCTATGCATACTAACTTTAATAGCTGTGGGCTATGATATACAGAAATATGAAGCATAGCCATATAGGCCTGTCGTGTGTAATTCTACTGTATTCATGTTCGTGTGTACATTGACTGTACATTCAACAATGATGTGTAATCGTCTATGACCTAGCATCGTTTATCCATCCATGAATGAACCTACATTCAATCAGCAGATGTATGAGATTTATTGTATTATTACCAATGCTCCTTCTCTCCCCTCTTCTTTTCTTCTCTGCAAGTCACTCTTTTTTTTTGTTTTTTTTTGTTGTATCTAAGTTGGGGGCTGCGGGCACGTCAAGCTACTTTGCATATTTCTGTAGCCCTCCTGCATCTAATGTACCGGTATGTTAATTATGCATTCAATATATTTGTTTAATTTTGTTGATTATCTATATACAATTATATGCCTTTAAAATATTGTATCAAACCATATTATGTTCATGAAAATGTATGATGAAAAAAAGAAAAAAAATGCAGAAATCAAATCAAACCAAATCAAGGGTCACTTTAAACTTATGTTTATGGCAAACCATTTTCTGTATATAAAATGTCATTATCATACATCTAAAATCATAAGATTGTAACGGTAAGTATGTTGATGTATATTGAGTAAATAGATATAGATATCAAATCAAATCCAATTGATGCACGTGCACAAAACCTATATAAGCTAGGCCAAAATATATTTTGCCCTCTGGTTTTAATGTCAATACAAAAACAGAGGAATGTGATGGGCAAAATTGAGAAACTAGACTACATACAATGATAATGATAATATTGAATGACCCTCTTTTGTGAGCTTTAATAAATATGCTTATCAGCTTGTGAGATTTACCCTGGACCAACTGAAGGCCTTTCAATATCATATAATTGATGTATATACCTGAGTCCCTGACTGTGATCCAATAGACTGGTCTGGTTTGTAGCTTGCGTTAAGATCGGATTCTAGTAACCGGTTCGCCCACGTATACTTAGAATTGTAACCAATCCTAACTGGAACCGCCTTCGATTGGGGATCCCAGCTGAAACTACCTTGCTCATAGAACATCAGTACGCCTGTTCTTGCTCCGTTAGTAAATACTATTGCCTGGTACGTCGCCACCTGCAATGCCGAGTGAATTGGAAGGAGGTAGCCAGAATAGAGAGAGAAAAATAGGTCATTGGGTCAATAAATAAAAATCAATTTTTCTCAATGTCACCTACATTCTATTTACCGTTAAACGTATTTCACGCAATAACACAGAAGTGATATGTGTAAGATGAAAAGTTGTTTCAGAAAAATGGAGTGTAGTGGGAGTGTCGTGGTCGAGTGGTTTAAGGCGCTTGACTCGAGATGCGAAGGTCGAGGGTTCGAATCCCGACACGGCACTAATATCCTTTGGCAAGATATTTACATGCACTTGCTACTCTCCACCCAGGTGTTAAATGGGTACCCGGTAGGATGCGAAAGTCCATATGGTTGAATGAGCAAGTGTGCGCTTGTAAAATGGCAACTGGCTGGAATGCTCCCAAGGGAGTGGAAAATGTGCATACATTGTGTGTGGGTAAGCCTGAATCCGATGACCGGGGTAATAATATATCTGTAAAGCGCTTAGGCACTTCGTTGGATCAATGAATTGAGCACTATATAAACACAGATTAATATTATTATTAAAAAAAAAGATCAACTTGTATGAACTTAAACCTTTGTATGGACTTTGCATGGAATTTGTAACATTAAGTTTGACTCATGATCGAATTATCATACCTCTTCCCCAGAAATTGAACCGTGAGGTTGAAAGTCCTTCCATGTAAACATCACAGCAGTGCTAAGCGTATTAATAACATCATTGTTATCCGCGCCCCATGGACTTGCCTCTAATGTTCTCAGTCTGTTCCTCAGGAGTGAGAAAAATACTGCGTCGGTGCTGCTTTCGAACACCTTGAAAAACATGACAACTTACGTTAACAAACAGACTAGGTTTTTTCAATCACACTTTGCTCCACCTGAAAATAGGTATAATTTATGCCAATAAATGTTTATAAACAAGCTTTCTAAATATCTAACAATATATATGCTGCCTCAGTAATGTTAAGATTTTGTACAGGATCTCCAATTTACTTAATACAAAAACAAAAAAACTAATCCGAAGCGGAAAGAAAAAATAAAACTCATCTCATTTTTGTTTCAATAATGTCATACATAAAATTGAATCAATTTGGCATTGTAGGTATCATTACCAATAGTAATTTGTTGGTACTCAACATTTTGTAATAATCAGTGATGTGCAGCTGTTTGAGACTAAGTATTGTTCATGTTTTGGTAAAATTTCAAAATGGCAAAAATCACTTAGCACATATAGTGTTGAAACTGGGGTCGCAAGGTGTGCTTTCTTCACCTCATCTACACATTTGCTCGTTTGCCACACGTGAAATTTCGCATATTTAATGGTTTTGCAATTCCATAACGACAGTTGAATAATCTGGAAGCCTTTTGGTACGACTGTCCCATGAATGAAGAGAGATTATTTGTGTGGCACAAAGAGTAACCTGATAAGAGATAACTGATATTATATTTTCGGGCTGCATGTATACATACCTCATGATAAATACTCGTGTTGCATACATACCTAAATATATATAATAGTGCTGCATATATACCTCATGATATATAATTGTGCTGCATACATACCTCATGATATATACTCGTGCTGCATACATACCTCATGATATATACTTGTGCTGCATACATACCTCATGATATATACTTGTGCTGCATACATACCTCATGATATATACTCGTGCTGCATACATACCTCATGATATATACTCGTGCTGCATACATACCTCATGATATATACTCGTGCTGCATACATACCTCATGATATATACTCGTGCTGCATACATACCTCATGATATATACTTGTGCTGCATACATACCTCATGATATATACTTGTGCTGCATACATACCTCATGATATATACTCGGGCTGCATACATACCTCATGATATATACTCGTGCTGCATAAATACCTCATAATGTATACTCGTGCCGCATACATACCTCATGATATATACTCGAGCTGCATACATACCTCATGATATTTGCTCGTGCCGCATACATACCTCATGATATATACTCGGGCCGCATACATACCTCATGATATATACTCGGGCTGCATACATACCTCATGATATAAACTCGGGCTGCATACATATCTCATGATTTATACTCGGGCTGCATACATACCTCATGATTCATACTCGGGCCGCATACATACCTCATGATATATACTCGTGCTGCATACATACCTCATGATATATACTCGTGCCGCATACATACCTCATGATATATACTCAGGCTGCATACATACCTCATGATATATACTTGTGCTGCATACATACCTCATGATATAAACTCGTGCCGCATACATACCTCATGATTTATACTCGGGCTGCATACATACCTCATGATATAAACTCGGGCTGCATACATACCTCATGATATAAACTCGGGCTGCATACATACCTCATGATATATACTCGGGCTGCATACATACCTCATGATATAAACTCGGGCTGCATACATACCTCATGATATAAACTCGGGCTGCATACATACCTCATGATATATACTCGGGCTGCATACATACCTCATGATATAAACTCGGGCTGCATACATACCTCATGATATATACTCGGGCTGCATACATACCTCATGATATATACTCGAGCTGCATACATACCTCATGATATATACTCGTGCTGCATACATACCTCATGATATTTGCTCGTGCCGCATACATACCTCATGATATATACTCGTGCTGCATACATACCTCATGATATATACTCGGGCTGCATACATACCTCATGATATAAACTCGGGCTGCCAATATAAGCGTTGACAGGTGCCCCAAACACGGCAACAGCAGGATCTGATACGTATAGATCTATTAACTCGAATCTTGAAGGATTTGTGAATTGAGTGAGCATCATTCTTGTAGGACGTTGCTTAGAAAACTGGATAACTCCTGTTGTTGTGGCCTGAAATTATCAACAACAAAAAAATGAAAGACATATTGCATTTCAGATATTGGAAATTGGATGTTAGTTAATAAATTGAAGTTGAATGACTCGAAGACAGAATTCTTTGTAGTAGCCTCTCCTCACAGTTTACGTAATCTACCAGATCTTAAGTTAACAGTTGGTGATGTATTCATGAGCCCTTCAGTCATTGTAAAGAATCTAAGTGTACTCTTGGATAGAGAAATGTCAATGTCAGATCGCGTCTCTCAAATATGTACTATTGCAACTTTTCATTTAAGGAACGTTTCTCGAATTAGAACTGTCTTCTGAAGACGGACAGTCAACTTGTCCGAAACGTTGAGTCTACTCTCCTGCTCCTGCTCTGCAACTCTACTCGCTGACTCAAGCCAGCTTCTCTCATCTACTCAACTCTCCAACTCAATCCAGTCTTCTACTCAAACCTCTCATCCTGTCTACAACTTTCTGGTTTACAGTCCTTTTCAGGACTATACTCACTTCCGTAAGATACTCTTCCTTCCAACCTCCACTTTCTCGCCTTTCCATTTCACTTCTATTTCTATCCACTTTCCTTAGTCCTTCTAGGACTTTACACATGGTGTACCGTAAACCTCTTCCGCGATAACGTCTTTACATTACCAAGTAAAGACTCGTTCATATATGGTGAGGTAACTCGTGCAAAAGAAATTGCTGCGTAAAAAAATGTATACTGTAACCTGTAAAAGAATGACAACAATGGTCATGAAGGAATTTACTTAGCCATGAGTCAGACTTCACATAAGTTTAAAGCGCGGGTCACACCGTACATGCGTCATCACAACCGCTTCATATTCGAACGAGGCTTGATTGAAGAGGAATGAGAAGTTGAGCTTACCGTCACGAAGGAGTACAATGAATTCTCGCCTATAGGTATTCCAGTTTCTATTTCCACAGTCATGAAATCGAGTGCAGCTGTCTGGAAAACTGTTTGCTGGATAGAATCTCCATATGGGAAATAGAGTTTTGGTGGAGGAGTGGTTGGTGTGGTTTCCGGTATTTTTCCTGAGAGATAAAAATAAATGTTATATTCGATACTAAAGAGCCTATACAGATTTATTCAAGATTTATACGCATATTTGTACATGGTTATCAATTGCTGTTTGGCATTTGTGTTGTTCCAGGTGTTGTAGTTGTTGTACTTCCAGGTGTTGTTTCAGGTGTTGATCCTAAAGTTGTTCCTGATGAAAAAATTAAATGTAATATGTATTAATACAGAACTAAATACCTGTATTCAAAATTTCTACGCTTAGTTTACTTAATTATCAGTTGCTGTGTGGCTTTGGAAATGACATATATTAAGTGTGACACATTCTCAAAGCTGCTTACATAGGCAATATGGCAACGAATACTACTACTACTACTACGCTGTTAGAGCGATCGTACAAACCAAATCAGAAGTAATTTTAAAAACTCAAGTTTGAAAATAATCCATCTGTAGGTTTGAAAACTAATGTGTTCAAAGGCTATTTTTGCATACATAATGAGCCCCATGACCTTTGACATTTGGCCTCATGACCCCAAAATGTATTCACTTCATAACCTCTGCAAGATTTATAAATGACCCAAGTTTGGCTAGAATCCATCAATTGTTTCTTGAGAATTTCTGATCATCAGAACAGGACACACAGATGGACAAACGGAAGGACGGACAACCTGCATCAAAATGTAGCATTTCAGAAATCTGGTTCCAGCTCTCACTAAAGGATAGAAAACTGTTTTTCAGGGGATAAAGCATTAGACGAGCACTTACCAGATACAATTACAAAGAAGGTGCATGTTTCTGTATTTCCTGCATCATCGATTGCATTGTAGGTTACTGTGTTGTTTCCGATTGTAAAGTTTTCCCCAGAATTGTGAGTGGATGTCAGTGTATGAATACCAGAGTTATCTGTTGCTGTAGGTGGCATCCAGGTTACTACAGCTGTAGCATCACCGCTGTCTGTGGTGGCAGTCTGATCACTTGGGCATTCATCGATGACTGGTTTCTCATCATCTGTAAGCAAGATTATATAAGAAATACAAATGTTGCATTTGTAAAATCTGGTTCCAGCTCTCACTAGACAATACAAAACTGTTTTTTCAGAGGATAAAACTTACGATGAGCACTTACCAGACACAATTACAAAGAAGGTGTGCATGTTTCTATATGTAATGAAAATGAATCCCCATGAAAATGTATAGACTACTACTACTTCAATATTTTTGTTTAAATTCAATATATGTGTTTAATATCGTTTATTATCTGTATAAAAATTATATACACTTGAAATATTGTATCAAGCCATATTATGTTCATGAAAATGTATGATGAAAAAAAGAAAAAAGATGCAGAAACCAATAAATCAAATCAAATCAAATCAAATCAAACTATTAATACATGGCACATCAATGAGAAATAAATAAGTTGAGATAAGTGGGATAGAAAATGCCGCTAAAGTTGTCAAAATAATTGTGCAGAATGAGAAAACCAACAGATTGCTCCATTCTTACTGCCTCCGGCTACTTCGTTTCTGGCATAAAAATGTAGCATTTTTAAAATCCTTTTCCAGCTCTTACTAGAAAATCAAAAACTGTTTTAAGGGGATGAAAAATGAGATGAACCCCTACCAGATACAATTACTAGGTATGTTACAAAAAAATTAAAATCTCAGAATTCAAGCTTTTGCTTTATGCATTATCTTTCAAGAGAATCTACCGCCACTGATCATCTCTTGTATCGACAAAGCAAGATGAAAGAAACACATGATCGACATGCAGGTCCAGATCTTCCACCTATCCACGATCGACAACCAGTCAGAGTCCTACATCCCAAAGATCATACTTGGATACCAGCCAAAGTATCCAAAGAAAGTCTGCGACGAGCCTAGGTCGTATGAAGTATCAACACCAAACGGAGGAATCCTGAGACGAAACCGATCTCACCTGAGGGAGATTACGTCAACAAACCCAACTCCAAAGCGCGTTCGGTTCGACGAAGACTACACTTCATCTACTCAAGCAGAAACACCACAACAGAATGGCAACAACCATCAAGCATGTCCAACACCAGAAACTCAGAACATTCAATCTGAAGAAACAACAATGACCAGAAGCAAATGACCAAAACTTGCATACTAGCAAAAGTATTGTTTTCAAAGCAATATGTTTATTAATCGTCGATCAGTGAGGTTCACTGATTCCCATCTTTCCAGAGGAAGGGGGATGTTACGATATGCGATATCCGGTATACGTTGTAGTTGAATAAACAACATGTCTGCCATAACATACCTGACTGCCGACTCTATTTTTCCTGAGTTAGCTACCCAATACTAAGACCCTCAAACTCATCAATGACAAGATATTTTTGCATACATAATGAGCCCTCTAAATTTCGACCTTGAGACCCCAAAATCTAATCTGTTCATTATTAGCTTTGCAATATACATACATGACCCAAATGTGGAAGGAATCTATTATATCAATTCTTGAGATAAGGCGATCAAGATAACTGGACGTAGATGTAGGCCTACGGACAACCCAAAAACAAAATGCCTCCGGCTAATTTGCAACAGAGGCATAAAAATGTTGTATTTCTGAATCTGGTTCCAGCTCTCACTACTAGACCCTGAAGAGAATACAAAACGGTTTTTAAGGGGTTAATTAAGCTTAAGACGAGCACTTACCAGAAACAACTACACGGAAGGTGCATGTTTCAGTATTTTCTGCAATATCGGTTGCGGTGTAGGTTACTGTGTTGCTTCCAATTGGAAAGTTATCTCCAGAATTGTGAGTGGATGTCAGTGTCTGAACACCAGAGTTATCCGTTGCTGTAGGTGGCGTCCAGGTTACTACAGCTGTAGCGTCACCGCTGTCTGTGGTGGCACTCTGATCACTTGGGCATTCATCGATGACTGGTTTCTCATCATCTGTAAGCAAGATTATATAAGATATAAAAATGTTGCATTTGTAAAATCTGGTTCCAGCTCTCACTAGACAATACAAAACTGTTTTTTCAGAGGATAAAACTTAAGATGAGCACTTACCAGATACAATTACAAAGAAGGTGTGCATGTTTCTGTATGTAATGAAAATGAATCCCATGAAAATGTATAGACTACTACTATTCATACATGGCACATCAACGATTAATAAATAAGTTGAGATAAGTGGGATAGAAAATGCCGCTAATGTTGTCAAAATAATTATGCAGAATGAGAAAACTAACAGATTGCTCCATTCTCACTGCCTCCGGCTACTTCCTTGCGGGCATAAAAATGTAGCATTTTTAAACTCTGTTTCCAGCTCTTACTAGAAAATCCAAAACTGTTTTAAGGGGATGAAACTTGTGATGAGCCCCTACCAGATACAATTACTAGGTATGTTACAACAAAATTAAATCTCAGAATTCAAGCTCTTGCTTTATGCATTATCTTTCAAAAGAATCTACCGCCACTAATCATTTCTTGAATCGACAAAGCAAGATGAAAAGAAACGCATGATCGACATGAGGGTCCAGATCTTCCACCATTCCACGTAGGACAACCCGTCAGAGTCAAACATCCCAAAGATCATACTTGGATACCAGCCAAAGTATCCAAAGAAAGTCTGCGACGAGCCTAGGTCGTATGAAGTATCAACACCCAACGGAGGAATCCTGAGACGAAACCGATCTCACCTGAGGGAGATTACGTCAGCAAACCCGACTCCAAAGCGTGTTAGGTTCAACGAAGACTACACTTCATCTACTCAAGCAGAAACACCACAACAGAATGGCAACAACCATCAAGCATCTCCAACACCAGAAACTCAGAACATTCAATCTGAAGAAACAACAATGACCAGAAGCAAATGACCAAAACTTGCATACTAGCAAAAGTATTGTTTTCAAAGCAATATGTTTATTAATCGTCGATCAGTGATGTTCACTGATTCCCATCTTTCCAAAGGGGGATGTTACGATATGCGATATCCGGTATACGTTGTAGTTGAATAAACAACATGTCTGCCATAACAAACCTGACTGCCGACTCTATTTTTCCTGAGTTAGCTACCCAATACTAAGACCCTCAAACTCATCAATGACAAGCTATTTTTGCATACATAATGAGCCCTCTAAATTTCGACCTTGTGACCCCAAAATCTAATCTGTTCGTTATTAGATTTGCAATATACATACATGACCCAAATGTGGAAGGAATCTATTATATCAATTCTTGAGATAAGGCGATCAAGATAACTGGACGTAGATGTAGGCCTACGGACAACCTGAAAACAAAATGCCTCCTGCTACTTTGCAACAGAGGCATAAAAATGTTGTATTTCTGAATCTGGTTCCAGCTCTCACTACTAGACCCTGAAGAGAATACAAAACGGTTTTTAAGGGATTAATTAAGCTTAAGACGAGCACTTACCAGAAACAACTACAAGGAAGGTGCATGTTTCAGTATTCTCTGCAATATCGGTTGCGGTGTAGGTCACTGTGTTGCTTCCAATTGGAAAGTTATCTCCAGAATTGTGAGTGGATGTCAGTGTCTGAACTCCGGAGTTATCTGTTGCTGTAGGTGGCATCCAGGTTACTACAGCTGTAGCATCACCGCTGTCTGTGGTGGCACTCTGATCACTTGGGCATTCATCGATGACTGGTTTCTCATCATCTGTAAGCAAGATTATATAAGATATAAAAATGTTGCATTTGTAAAATCTGGTTCCAGCTCTCACTAGACAATACAAAACTGTTTTTTCAGAGGATACAACTTAAGATGAGCACTTACCAGATACAATTACAAAGAAGGTGCGCATGTTTCTGTATGTAATGAAAATGAATCCCATGAAAATGTATAGACTTCTACTATTAATACATGGCACATTAACGATAAATAAATAAGTTGAGATAAGTGGGATAGAAAATGCCGCTAATGTTGTCAAAATAATTATGCAGAATGAGAAAATCAACAGATTGCTCCATTCTCACTGCCTCCGGCTACTTCCTTGCGGGCATAAAAATGTAGCATTTTTAAACTCTGTTTCCAGCTCTTACTAGAAAATCCAAAACTGTTTTAAGGGGATGAAACTTGTGATGAGCCCCTACCAGATACAATTACTAGGTATGTTACAACAAAATTAAATCTCAGAATTCAAGCTCTTGCTTTATGCATTATCTTTCAAAAGAATCTACAGCAACTGATCATCTCTTGAATCGACAAAGCAAGATGAAAGAAACACATTATCGACATGCGGGTCCAGATCTTCCACCACTCCACGTAGGACAAACCGTCAGAGTCCTACATCCCGAAGATCATACTTGGATACCAGCCACAATATCTAAAGTCTGCGACGAGCCTAGTTTGTATGAAGTATCATCACCCAACGGAGGAATCCTGAGACGAAACCGATCTCACCTGAGGAAGATTACGTTAGCAAACCCAACTCCAAAGCGTTTTAGGTTCGACAAAGACTACACTTCATCTACTCAAGCAGAAACACCACAACAGAATGGCAACAACCATCAAGCAACTCCAACACCAGAAACTCAGAACATTTCAATCTGAAGAAACAACAACAAACTTGCAAACCACAACTAGATAGGGACAAAACATCCGCACACCAGCGGGATACATGTTTGAAGATTGAAAATGAACTCTTAAATGTCTTTAAAGAGAGAAGATAAAGAAGAACACAGAAGACTTGTAGTTTAATGTAGTCTTAAGATCCTCCCTTTCTCTCACATGGTGCACCCGCAAGCCTACTGTTTATAAGAAGTTTATTGTTTATATAATCACTGTACAGTATTTTTGGTATGACAAGCATAATGTTGACAATTCAAGAAAAAGATGCCACCCCAAACAATTTTTTTATTTGGAAATTCATTTTTTATAACGGAATCAAGTTATATCAATACTATGTTCAATCTCGCAGATAACCTGTGAAGTTGAAAGCGTAACGATATAATTTTATTATATGACCAGGATTTTTTCATATAATTCAAGTTATGAAATCAAGCAAAAACTCCTCAAAATGATTAATTTTTAGAACACATCAAAATTCATCAGGATTTATCTTTCACAAGAAATTAAATATATCGAAGTCCGAAGCTAGATCGGTGACAGAATTTTCAGATATAAAGAATAATCATATTCACACCTGTTACTGTGACAAAGAGAAGACAAGTGCCAGTGTTTCCTGCACCATCTGTAGACGAGCAGTTCACAGTGGTGTCCCCTAGTAGAAATATATCTGGGAATAAATGGGAGCAATTCACATCTAGTTCAAAATCCACATTATCTGTTGCAGTTGATTCCAGCATAACAGTAGATGATGAATTGAGTCCCTGATCCGTAGTAGAAGATATATTTGGGCAGTTCAAAACAGGTGCTTCCTCATCTGTAATATAACAGAAATTCAGAAAAATTACATCAATAGATATGTTAAGAGAATGCTATTATGTATGCTTCTTTTCAGGTGATAATATCTTAAAAAAGAAGAGATATAGAGTCGAGAGAATAATTGTTAGATACATTTCATTTCATGACCAGGTAGTCTTTCCATGATTCTAAATGTTAAATCAAGCAAAAACTCCAGAAAACTATGAATTTTAGAAAACATTTTAATTCATTACGATTTATCTTTCAGAAGAATTAAAATATCCAAAAATCAAAAGCTTGTTCAGTGACAGAACTTTTAGATATAAAGAATAATCAGATTAAAACCTGTTATTGTGACAACGAGAAGACAAGTGCCAGTGTTTCCTGCAACATCTGTAGACGAGCAGTTCACAGTGGTGTCCCCTATCAGGAATGTATCCCCGGATAAATGGGAGCAAATCACATCTAGAGGATTATCTACATTATCAGTTGCAGTTGATTCCAGCATAACAGTAGATGATGAATCAAGTCCCTCATCCGTGGGAGAAGATATATTTGCGCAGTTTAGAATAGGTGCTTCATCATCTGCAATATAACAAAAATTCTGAGTAATTACATAAATGTATATTTTACGAGAATGGTATCATGTTTGTCAACTTCGTGGTTATAATATCTTGAAAAAGAACAAATATCGAGTGAAGAAATTAATTGTTAGATACATTTTATCTCATGACCAGGATCTACTGCTCTCCTGACCCCGATCAGTGAAAGAACTTTTAGATTTAGAATTAATCATATTCACACCTGTTACTGTGACAACAAGAAGACAAGTGCCAGTGTTTCCTGCATCATCTGTAGATGAGCAGTTCACAGTGGTGTCCCCTATCGGGTATGTATCTTGGGATGAATGGGAGCAAATCACAACTAGATGAAAATCCTTATCATTGGTTGCAGTTGAATTCAGCAGAACATTAGATGATGAATTGAGTCCCTCATCCGTAGTAGAAAATATATTCGGGCAGTTCAGAATAGGTGCTTCAGCATCTGCAGATATAAAAATTCAGACTAATTACCTCAATGCATATTTTCAAGAATTGTATCATGTTTGTCAACTTAAAGGTGATGATATCAAGAAAAGGAACAGATATCGAGTCGAGAAAATTAAGAGTAAGAAACATTTGATTTCATGACCACAATTTTTGTCACATGATTCAAAATGTTAAATCAAGCAAAAACTCCTAGAAATTAAGAAATGTAGAACACATATACATTCATCTTTCAAAAGAAATTAAATATCCCAAAATCTTTAGCCCGATCAGTGACAGAAGTTTTAGATATAGAAATAATCATATTCACACCTGTTACTGTGACAACAAGAAGACAAGTGCCAGTGTTTCCTGCATCATCTGTAGATGAGCAGTTCACAGTGGTGTCCCCTAGCGGGTATGTATCTTGGGATGAATGGGAGCAAGTCACATCTAGATGTAAATCCACATTATCAGTTGCAGTTGATTCCAGCATAACAGTAGATGATGAATGGAGTCCCTCATCCGTAGTAGAAGATATATTTGGGCAGTTAAGAATAGGTGCTTCATCATCTGCAATATAACAGAAATTCACATCAATATACATTTCACGAGAATGGTATCATGTTTGTCAACTTCATGGTTTCAATATCTTTAAAAAGAAGAGATATAGAGTGAAGAAATAAATTGTTAGATGCATTTTATCTTATGACCAGGATTTTCTTCACATGTTTCGAAATGTTAAATCAAGCAAAAAGTCCTCGGAATAATATTTCGTAGAAAACATACCAATTCATGAGGATTCATCATTCAAAAACAAATACATATACCCAAATCCTAAGCCCAATCAGTAAAAGAAATTTTAGATTTAGAATTGATCAAATTCACACCTGTTACTGTGACAACGAGAAGACAAGTGCCAGTGTTTCCTGCACCATCTGTAGACGAGCAGTTCACAGTGGTGTCCCCTATCAGGAATGTATCCTCGGATAAATGGGAGCAAATCACATGTACAGGATTATCCACATTATCAGTTGCAGTTGATTCCAGCATAACAGTAGATGATGAATTGAGTCCCTCATCCGTAGTAGAAGATATATTTGGGCAGTTCAGAACAGGTGCTTCATCATCTGCAATATAACAGAAATTCACATCAATATATTTTACGAGAATGGTATCATGTTTGTCAACTTCATGGTTTCAATATCTTGAAAAAGAAAAGATATCGAGTGAAGAAATTAATTGTTAGATGCATTTCATCTTATGACCAAGATTTTCTTCACATGTTTCGAAATGTTAAATCAAGCAAAAACTCCTCGGAATAATATTTTGTAGAATGCATACAAATTCATGGGGATTCATCATTCAAAAACAAATACATATACCCAAATCCTAAGCCAAATCAGTAAAAGAAATTTTAGATTTAGAATTGATAAAATTCACACCTGTTACTGTGACAACGAGAAGACAAGTGCCAGTGTTTCCTGCATCATCTGTAGATGAGCAGTTCACAGTGGTGTCCCCTATCGGGTATGTATCTTGGGATGAATGGGAGCAATTCACATCGAGATGAAAATCCTTATCATTAGTTGCAGTTGAATTCAGCAGAACAGTAGATGATGAATTGCGTCCCTCATCCGTGGTAGAAAATATATTTGGGCAGTACAGAATAGGTGCTTCAGCATCTGCAGATAAACAAAATTCAGACCAATTACATCAATGCATATTTTCAAGAACTGATCATGTTCGTCAACTGAAAGGTGATGATATCGAGAAAAGGAACAGATATCGAGTAAGGAAAATAATAGTAGGAAACATTTGATTTTATGACCACAATTTTGTTCACATGATTCAAAATGTTAAATCAAGCAAAAACTCCTCGAAGTAAAGAAATGTAGAACACCTATACATTCATGACGATTCATCTTTCAAAAGAACTTAAATATCCCAAAATCTTTGGCCCGATCGGGGACAGAACTTTTAGATCTAGAAAAATCTTATTCGCACCTGTTACTGTGACAACAAGAAGACAAGTGCCAGTGTTTCCTGCATCATCTGTAGATGAGCAGTTCACAGTGGTGTCCCCTATCGGGTATGTATCTTGGGATGAATGGGAGCAATTCACATCGAGATGAAAATCCACATTATCAGTTGCAGTTGAATTCAGCAGAACAGTAGATGATGAATGGAGTCCCTCATCCGTAGGAGAAGATATATTTGGGCAGTTCAAAATAGGTGCTTCGTCATCTGCAATATAACAGAAATTCAGAAAAATTACATCAATAGATATGTTAAGAGAATGTTATTATGTTTGCCTCTTTTGCGGTGATAATATCTAGAAAAAAAAGAGATATAGAGTCGAGAAAATAATTGTTAGATACATTTCATTTGATGACCAAGTAGTCTTTCCATGATTCTAAATGTTACATCAAGCACAGACTCCAGAAAACCATGAATTTTAGAACACATTCTAAATCATTACGATTTATCTTTCAGAAGAATTGAAATATCAAAAAATCAAAAGCTTGTCCGGTGAAAGAACCTTTAGATAAAAGAATAATCAGATTCAAACCTGTTACTGTGACAACGAGAAGACAAGTGCCAGTGTTTCCTGCACCATCTGTAGACGAGCAGTTCACAGTGGTGTCCCCTATCAGGAATGTATCCTCGGATAAATGGGAGCAAATCACATCTAAAGGATTATCCACATTATCAGTTGCAGTTGATTCCAGCATAACAGTAGATGATGAATTGAGTCCCTCATCCGTAGTAGAAGATATATTTGGGCAGTTCAGAACAGGTGCTTCATCATCTGCAATATAAAAGAAATTTACATCAATTTATATTTTACGAGATGGTATCGTGTTTGTCAACTTCATGGTTTTAATATCTTGAAAAAGAAAAGATATCGAGTGAAGAAATTAATTGTTAGATGCATTTTATCTTATGACCAGGATTTTCTTCACATGTTTCGAAATGTTAAATCAAGCAAAAACTTCTCAGAATAATATTTTGTAGAAAACATACAAATTCATGAGGATTCATCATTCAAAAACAAATACATATACCCAAATCCTAAGCCCAATCAGTAAAAGAAATTTAAGATTTCGAATTGATCAAATTCACACCTGTTACTGTGACAACGAGAAGACAAGTGCCAGTGTTTCCTGCTTCATCTGTAGATGAGCAGTTCACAGTGGTGTACCCTATCGGGTATGTATCTTGGGATGAATGGGAGCAATTCACATCGAGATGAAAATCCACATTATCAGTTGCAGTTGAATTCAGCAGAACAGTAGATGATGAATGGAGTCCCTCATCCGTAGGAGAAGATATATTTGGGCAGTTCAAAATAGGTGCTTCGTCATCTGCAATATAACAGAAATTCAGAAAAATTACATCAATAGATATGTTAAGAGAATGCTATTATGTTAGCCTCTTTTGCGGTGATAATATCTAGAAAAAGAAGAGATAGAGTCGAGAAATAATTGTTAGATACATTTCATTTTATGACCAAGTAGTCTTTCCATGATTCTTAATGTTACATCAAGCAAAGACTCTAGAAAACCATGAATTTTCGAACACATTCTAAATCATTACGATTTATCTTACAGAAGAATTGAAATATCCAAAAATCAAAAGCTTGTCCGGTGAAAGGACTTTTAGACAAAGGAATGATCAGATACAAACCTGTTACTGTGACAACGAGAAGACAAGTGCCAGTGTTTCCTGCACCATCTGTAGACGAGCAGTTCACAGTGGTGTCACCTATCAGGAATGTATCCTCGGATAAATGGGAGCAAATCACATCTAGAGGATTATCCACATTATCAGTTGCAGTTGATTCCAGCATAAAAGTAGAGGATGAATTGAGTCCCTCATCCGTAGTAGAAGATATATTTGGGCAGTTCAGAACAGGTGCTTCATCATCTGGAATATAACAGAAATTCACATCAATATATTTTACGAGAATGGTATCATGTTTGTCAACCTCATGGTTTTAATATCTTGAAAAAGAAAAGATATCGAGTGAAGAAATTAATTGTTAGATGCATTTCATCTTATGACCAAGATTTTCTTCACATGTTTCGAAATGTTAAATCAAGCAAAAACTCCTCGGAATAATATTTTGTAGAATGCATACAAATTCATGAGGATTCATCATTCAAAAACAAATACATATACCCAAATCCTAAGCCCAACCAGTAAAAGAAATTTTAGATTTAGAATTGATCAAATTCACACCTGTAACTGTGACAACGAAAAGACAAGTGCCAGTGTTTCCTGCATCATCTGTAGATGAGCAGTTCACAGTGGTGTCCCCTATCGGGTATGTATCTTGGGATGAATGGGAGCAATTCACACCGAGATGAAAATCCTTATCATTAGTTGCAGTTGAATTCAGCAGAACAGTAGATGATGAATTGCGTCCCTCATCCGTGGTAGAAAATATATTGGGGCAGTACAGAATAGGTGCTTCAGCATCTGCAGATAAACAAAATTCAGACCAATTACATCAATGCATATTTTCAAGAACTGATCATGTTCCGCAACTGAAAGGTGATGATATCGAGAAAAGGAACAGATATCGAGTAAGGAAAATAATAGTAGGAAACATTTGATTTCATGACCACAATATTGTTCACATAATTCAAAAAGTTAAATCAAGCAAAAACTCCTCGAAGTTAAGAAATGTACAACACATATACATTCATGACGATTCATCTTTCAAAAGAACTTAAATATCCCAAAATCTTTGGCCCGATCGGGGACAAAACTTTTAGATCTAGAAAAATCTTATTCGCACCTGTTACTGTGACAACAAGAAGACAAGTGCCAGTGTTTCCTGCATCATCTGTAGATGAGCAGTTCACAGTGGTGTCCCCTATCGGGTATGTATCTTGGGATGAATGGGAGCAATTCACATCGAGATGAAAATCCACATTATCAGTTGCAGTATAATTCAGGAGAACAGTAGATGATGAATGGAGTCCCTCATCCGTAGTAGAAAATATATTGCGGCAGTACAGAATAGGTGCTTCAGCATCTGCAGATAAACAAAATTCAGACTAATTACATCAATGCATATTTTCAAGAACCGATCATGTTCGTCAAATTAAAGGTGATGATATCGAGAAAAGGAGCAGATATCGAGTCGAGAAAATAATAGTAGGAAACATTTGATTTCATGACCACAATTATGTTTACATCATTCCAAATGTTAAATCAAGCAAAAACTCCTCAAAGTTAAGAAAAGTAGAACACATACAAATTCATGACGATTCATCTTTCAAAAGAAATTAAATATCCCAAAATCTTTGGCCCGATCGGTGACGGAACTTTTAGATATAGAAATAATCATATTCACACCTGTTACAGTGACAACAAGAAGACAAGTGCCAGTGTTTCCAGCTTCATCTGTAGATGAGCAGTTCACAGTGGTGTCCCCTATCGGGTAAGTATCTTGGGATGAATGGGAGCAATTCACATCGAGATGAAAATCCACATTATCAGTTGCAGTTGAATTCAGCAGAGCAGTAGATGATGAATGGAGTCCCTCATCCGTAGTAGAAGATATATTTGGGCAGTTCAAAATAGGTGCTTCGTCATCTGCAATATTACAACAATCCTGACTAATTACACCAATACATATTTCCAAGAATTGTATCATGTTTTTCAACTAAGAGGCGATGATATCATGAAAAGGAGCAGATATAGAGTTGAGAAAATAATTGTTAGTTACATTTCGTTTCATGACCAGAATTTTTTCATATAATTCAAAATATAAAATCAAGCAAAAACTCCTCAAAATTATGAATTTTAGAGCACATGCAAAGTCATGAGGATTTATTTTTCACAAGAATATAAATATCTCAAAATTCCAAGCTAGATCGGTGACAGAACTTTTAGATATAAAGAATAACCACATTCACACCTGTTACTGTGACAAAGAGAAGACAAGTGCCAGTGTTTCCTGCATCATCTGTAGATGAGCAGTTCACAGTGGTGTCCCCTATCGGGAATATATCTTTGGATGAATGGGAGCAATTCACATCTAGATGAAAATCCACATTATCAGTTGCAGTAGAATCCAGCAGAACAGTAGACGATGAGTCGAGTCCCTCATCCGTAGTAGAAGATATATTTGCGCAGTTCAGAATAGGTGCTTTACCATCTGCATTATAACAGAAATTCACATCAATATATATTTTACAAGAATGGTATCATGTTTGTCAACTTCATGGTTTTAATATTTTGAAAAAGTTAAAGATATCGAGTGAAGAAATTAATTGTTAGATGCATTTTATCTGATGACCAGGATTTTTACATGTTTTGAAATGTTAAATCAAGCAAAAACTCCTCGGAAAAATAAAATGTAGAATACATACAAATTCATGAGGATTCATCATTCAAAAACAAATACATATATCCAAATCCTAAGCCTGGTCAGTGAAAGAACTTTTAGATTTAGAATTAATCATATTCACACCTGTTACTGTGACAACGAAAAGACAAGTGCCAGTGTTTCCTGCATCATCTGTAGATGAGCAGTTCACAGTGGTGTCCCCTATCGGGTATGTATCTTGGGATGAATGGGAGCAATTCACATCGAGATGAAAATCCTTATCATTAGTTGCAGTTGAATTCAGCAGAACAGTAGATGATGAATTGCGTCCCTCATCCGTGGTAGAAGATATATTTGGGCAGTACAGAATAGGTGCTTCAGCATCTGCAGATAAACAAAATTCAGACTAATTACATCAATGCATATTTTCAAGAACCGATCATGTTCGTCAAATTAAAGGTGATGATATCGAGAAAAGGAACAGATATCGAGTTGAGAAAATAATAGTAGGAAACATTTGATTTCAAGACCACAATTTTGTTTACATCATTCCAAATGTTAAATCAAGCAAAAACTCCTCAAAGTTAAGAAATGTAGAACACAAACACATTCATGACGATTCATCTTTCAAAAGAAATTAAATATCCCAAAATTTTTGGCACGATCGGTGGCAAACTTTTAGATTTAGAATTAATCATATTCACACCTATTACAGTGACAACAAGAAGACAAGTGCCAGTGTTTCCAGCTTCATCTGTAGATGAGCAGTTCACAGTGGTGTCCCCTATCGGGTATGTATCTTGGGATGAATGGGAGCAATTCACATCGAGTTGAAAATCCACATTATCAGTTGCAGTTGAATTCAGCAGAACAGTAGATGATGAATGGAGTCCCTCATCCGTAGTAGAAGATATATTTGGGCAGTTCAAAATAGGTGTTTCGTCATCTGCAATATTACAACAATTCTGATTAATTACACCAATACATATTTCCAAGAATTGTATCATGTTTTTCAACTAAGAGGCGATGATATCATGAAAAGGAGCAGATATAGAGTTGAGAAAATAATTGTTAGTTACATTTCGTTTCATGACCAGAATTTCTTTCATTTAATTCAAAATATAAAATCAAGCAAAAACTCCTCAAAATTATGAATTTTAGAACACATGCAAAGTCATGAGGATTTATCTTTCACAAGAATTTAAATATCTCAAAATTCCAAGCTAGATCGGTGACAGAACTTTTAGATATAAAGAATAACCACATTCACACCTGTTACTGTGACAAAGAGAAGACAAGTGCCAGTGTTTCCTGCATCATCTGTAGATGAGCAGTTCACAGTGGTGTCCCCTATCGGGAATATATCTTTGGATGAATGGGAGCAATTCACATCGAGATGAAAATCCACATTATCAGTTGCAGTAGAATCCAGCAGAACAGTAGACGATGAGTCGAGTCCCTCATCCGTAGTAGAAGATATCTTTGCACAGTTCAGAATAGGTGCTTCACCATCTGTATTATAACAGAAATTCACATCAATATATATTTAACAAGAATGGTATCATGTTTGTCAACTTCATGGTTTTAATATCTTGAAAAAGAAAAGATATCGAGTGAAGAAATTAATTGTTAGATGCATTTTATCTTATGACCGCGATTTTTACATGTTTTGAAATGTTAAATCAAGCAAAAACTCCTCGGAAAAACAAAATGTAGAATACATACAAATTCATGAGGATTCATCATTCAAAAACAAATACATATATCCAAATCCTAAGCCTGGTCAGTGAAAGAACTTTTAGATTTAGAATTAATCATATTCACACCTGTTACTGTGACAACGAAAAGACAAGTGCCAGTGTTTCCTGCATCATCTGTAGATGAGCAGTTCACAGTGGTGTCCCCTATAGGGTATGTATCTTGGGATGAATAGGAGCAATTCACATCGAGATGAAAATCCTTATCATTAGTTGCAGTTGAATTCAGCAGAACAGTAGATGATGAATTGCGTCCCTCATCCGTGGTAGAAGATATATTTGGGCAGTACAGAATAGGTGCTTCAGCATCTGCAGATAAACAAAATTCAGACTAATTACATCAATGCATATTTTCAAGGACCGATCATGTTCGTCAACTTAAAGGTGATGATATCAGGAAAAGGAACAGATATCAAGTCGAGAAAATAATAATAGGAAACATTTGATTTCATGACCACAATTTTGTTTACATCATTCCAAATGTTAAATCAAGCAAAAACTCCTCAAAGTTAAGAAATGTAGAACACATACACATTCATGACGATTCATCTTTCAAAAGAAATTAAATGTCCTAAAATCTTTGGCACGATCGGTGGCAAACTTTTAGATTTAGAATTAATCATATTCACACCTATTACAGTGACAACAAGAAGACAAGTGCCAGTGTTTCCAGCTTCATCTGTAGATGAGCAGTTCACAGTGGTGTCCCCTATCGGGTATGTATCTTGGGATGAATGGGAGCAATTCACATCGAGTTGAAAATCCACATTATCAGTTGCAGTTGAATTCAGCAGAACAGTAGATGATGAATGGAGTCCCTCATCCGTAGTAGAAGATATATTTGGGCAGTTCAAAATAGGTGCTTCGTCATCTGCAATATTACAACAATTCTGATTAATTACACCAATACATATTTCCAAGAATTGTATCATGTTTTTCAACTAAGATGCGATTATATCAAGAAAAGGAGCAGATATAGAGTTGAGAAAATAATTGTTAGTTACATTTCGTTTCATGACCAGAATTTCTTTCATTTAATTCAAAATATAAAATCAAGCAAAAACTCCTCAAAATTATGAATTTTAGAACACATGCAAAGTCATGAGGATTTATCTTTCACAAGGATTTAAATATCTCAAAATTCCAAGCTAGATCGGTGACAGAACTTTTAGATATAAAGAATAACCACATTCACACCTGTTACTGTGACAAAGAGAAGACAAGTGCCAGTGTTTCCTGCATCATCTGTAGATGAGCAGTTCACAGTGGTGTCCCCTATCGGGAATATATCTTTGGATGAATGGGAGCAATTCACATCTAGATGAAAATCCACATTATCAGTTGCAGTAGAATCCAGCAGAACAGTAGACGATGAGTCGAGTCCCTCATCCGTAGTAGAAGATATATTTGCACAGTTCAGAATAGGTGCTTCACCATCTGCATTATAACAGAAATTCACATCAATATATATTTAACAAGAATGGTATCATGTTTGTCAACTTCATGGTTTTAATATCTTGAAAAAGAAAAGATATCGAGTGAAGAAATTAATTGTTAGATGCATTTTATCTTATGACCACGATTTTTACATGTTTTGAAATGTTAAATCAAGCAAAAACTCCTCGGAAAAATAAAATCTAGAATACATACAAATTCATGAGGATTCATCATTCAAAAACAAATACATATATCCAAATCCTAAGCCTGGTCAGTGAAAGAACTTTTAGATTTAGAATTAATCATATTCACACCTGTTACTGTGACAACGAAAAGACAAGTGCCAGTGTTTCCTGCATCATCTGTAGATGAGCAGTTCACAGTGGTGTCCCCTATAGGGTATGTATCTTGGGATGAATGGGAGCAATTCACATCGAGATGAAAATCCTTATCATTAGTTGCAGTTGAATTCAGCAGAACAGTAGATGATGAATTGCGTCCCTCATCCGTGGTAGAAGATATATTTGGGCAGTACAGAATAGGTGCTTCAGCATCTGCAGATAAACAAAATTCAGACTAATTACATCAATGCATATTTTCAAGGACCGATCATGTTCGTCAACTTAAAGGTGATGATATCAGGAAAAGGAACAGATATCAAGTGGAGAAAATAATAGTAGGAAACATTTGATTTCATGACCACAATTTAGCTTACACGTGATTCAAAATGTTAAATCAAGCAAAATTCCTCAAAGTTAAGAAATGTAGAACACATATACATTCATGACGATTCACCTTTCAAAAGAAATTAAATATCCCAAAATCTTTGGCCCGATCGGTGACAGAACTTTTAGATATATAAATAATCATATTCACACCTGTTACTGTGACAAAGAGAAGACAAGTGCCTGTGTTTCCTGCATCATCTGTAGATGAGCAGTTCACAGTGGTGTCCCCAATCGGGTATGTATCTTGGGATGAATGGGAGCAATTCACATCGAGATGAAAATCCACATTATCAGTTGCAGTTGAATTCAGCAGAACAGTAGATGATGAATGGAGTCCCTCATCCGTAGTAGAAGATATATTTTGGCAGTTCAAAATAGGTGCTTCGTCATCTGCAATATTACAACAATCCTGACTAATTACACCAATACATATTTCCAAGAATTGTATCATGTTTTTTCAACTAAGAGGCGATGATATCATTAAAAGGAGCAGATATAAATTTGAGAAAATAATTGTTAGTTACATTTCGTTTCATGACCAGGATTTCTTTCATATAATTCAAAATATAAAATCAAGCAAAAACTCCTCAAAATTATGAATTTTAGAACACATGCATCATGAGGATTTATCTTTCACAAGAATTTAAATATCTCAAAATCCCAAGCTAGATCGGTGACAGAACTTTTAGATATAAAGAATAACCACATTCACACCTGTTACTGTGACAAAGAGAAGACAAGTGCCAGTGTTTCCTGCATCATCTGTAGATGAGCAGTTCACAGTGGTGTCCCCTATCGGGAATATATCTTCGGATGAATGGGAGCAATTCACATCTAGATGAAAATCCACATTATCAGTTGCAGTAGAATCTAGCAGAAAAGTTGACGATGAGTTGAGTCCCTCATCCGTAGAAGAAGATATATTTGCGCAGTTCAGAATAGGTGCTTCATCATCTGCAATATAACAGAAATTCATATCAATATATATTTTACAAGAATGGTATCATTTTTGTCAACTTCATGGTTTAAATATCTTGAAAAAGAAAAGATATTGAGTGAAGAAATTAATTGTAAGAGGCACTGATAATTGATATTATTAGTGTGTTTGTCAATCCAGTGTACGTTTGTTGTACGCGTTACGTACATACAAGCAGTCTAGTCATTACGTCACGATCACATCACCATGGTACCAGCAGGCGCACACCTAGCTGTGCGCGTTAATTTATTTATCCAGTGCGCGCACACATGCGCATTGGGTCTATCGTCAGAATTTAAAGGCTATTTTTCCAAACATAATGAGCCCTGTGAACTGTAACCTCTGACCCTAAAATCTAATCATTTCAATGGTTTGGCAAGATACATACACTGTACATGACACATGTTTGGAGGGAATCCATCAAATGGTTCTTGAGAATAGGCAATCTAGTGAACAGAAAGTATAGACGGATATACGGACGGATAGACGGATGGACAAAACAAACGTACAATCTGAAAATAAAATTCTTCCAGCTACTTCGTTGCAGAGGCATAAACATGCAGCATATCTGAAATCTGACTCAAGCTCTCACTAGAGAATACAAAACTGTTTAACGTGGGGATAAAGCATTAGACGAAAACTTACCAGATACAAATATAAAGAAGGTGCATGTTTCTGTATTTCCTGCATCATCGGTTGCGGTGTAGGTTACTGTGTTGTTTCCAATTGTAAAGTTTTCCCCAGAATTGTGAGTGGATGTCAATGTATGAATACCAGAGTTATCTGTTGCTGTAGGTTGCGTCCAGTTTACCACAGCTGTAGGATAACCAATGTCTGTTGTGACATCCTGGTCACCAGGGCATAGATCGAAGACTGGTTTCTCATTGTCTGTGGGAAAGATTATATGAGAAATAAACTAGATGGCTCTTCAACTGCACACAGCCGCAAATGGTGCATCAGCCATAGAGCGATTGTACAAACCAAATCAGAAGACATTTTAAAAACTCAAGTTTGAAAGTTATTCATCCTTAGGGTCCAAGGATAATGTGTTCAAAGTCTATATTTGCATACATAATAAGCCCCATGACCTTTGACATTTTGCCTCATGGCCCAAAATGTATTCACTTCATTAGCTCTGCAAGATTTTATAAATGACCCGAAATTGGCTGGAATCCATCAATTGTTTCTTGAGAATATCTGATTATGAGAATATGACATACAGATGTATGAACGGACGGACAACCCACATCAAAATGTAGCATTTCTGAAATCTGGTTCCAGCTCTCACTAAATGATAGAAAACTGTTTTACAGGGGATTAGGCATTAGCAAACACTTACCAGATACAATTAAAAAGAAGGTGCAGGTTTCTGTATTTCCTGCATCATCGGTTGCATTGAAGGTGACTGTGTTGTTTCCAATTGTAAAGTTTTCCCCAGAATTGTGAGTGGATGTCAATGTATGAATACCAGAATTATCTGTTGCTGTAGGTTGCGTCCAGTTTACCACAGCTGTAGGATAACCAACGTCTGTGGTGACATCCTGGTCACCAGGGCATAGATCGAAGACTGGTTTCTCATTGTCTGTGGGAAAGATATATGAGATATAAACTAGATGGCTCTTCAACTGCACACATCTGTAAATGGTGCATCTGCCAATTGAGCGATTGTACAAACCAAATCAGAAGACATTTAAAAAACTCAACTTTGAAAGTTATTTATCCATTGGTTCCAAGGATGTGTTCAAGGACTGTATTTGCATACATAAAGAGCCCCATGACCTTGGAAATTTTGCCTCATGACCCAAAGATGTATTCACTTAATTGGCTCTGTAAGATTCATAAATGACCCAAGTTTGGCTGGAATCCATCAATTGTTTCTTGAGAATTTCTGACCATGAGAACAGGACATACAGATGGACAAACGGACGGACAAACGGACAGACACAGCATCAAAATGAAGCATTTTCTGAAATCTGGTTCCAGCTTTTACTAAAGGATAGAAAACTTTTTAACAGGGGATAGAGCATTAGCAAGCACTTACCAGATACAATTACAAAGAAGGTGCATGTTTCTGTATTTCCTGCATCATCGGTTGCGTTGTAGGTGACTGTGTTGTTTCCAATTGTAAATTTTTGTCCAGAATTGTGAGTGGACGTCAGTGTCTGAATACCAACGTTATCTGTTGCTGTAGGTGACGTCCAGTTTACCACAGCTGTGGGATAACCAATGTCTGTGGTGACATCCTGGTCAATAGGGCATAGATCGAAGACTGGTTTCTCATTGTCTGTGGGAAAGATTATATGAGATCTCAACTAGATGGCTCTTCAACTGCACACATCTGTAAATGGTGCATCTGCCAATTGAGCGATTGTACAAACCAAATCAGAAGACATTTTAAAAACTCAAGTTTGAAAGTAATCCATCCGTAGGTTCTAAGGATAATCTGTTCGAAGGCTTTAATTGCATACATAATGAGAGCCATGACCTTTGACATTTGGCCTCATGACCCCAAAATGTATTAACTTCATTAGCTCTGCAAGATTCATAAATGACCCAAGTTTGGCTGGAATCCATCAAATGTTTCTTGAGAATATTGAAAAGGAGAACAGGACATACAGATGGACAAACGGACGGACAAACGGATGGACAACCTGCATCAAAATGTAGCATTTCTGAAATCTGGTTCCAGCTCTCACTAGAGAATAGAAAACTGTTTTTCAGGGTATAAAGCATAAGCAAGCACTTACCAGATACTATTACAAAGAAGGTGCATGTTTCTGTATTTCCTGCATCATCGGTTGCGTTGTAGGTGACTGTGCTGTTTCCAATTGTAAAGTTTTCTCCAGAATTGTGAGTGGACGTCAGTGTCTGAATACCAACGTTATCTGTTGCTGTAGGTGACGTCCAGTTTACCACAGCTGTAGGATAACCAATGTCTGTGGTGACATCCTGGTCACTAGGGCATAGATCGAAGACTGGTTTCTCATTGTCTGTAGGAAAGATTATATGAGATCTCAACTATATGGCTCTTCAACTGCACACACCCGGAAATGGTGCATCAGCCATAGAGCGATTGTACAAACCAAATCATAATCAATTTTAAAAACTCAAGTTTGAAAGTAATCCATCCATAGGTTCTAAGGATAATGTGTTCAAAGGCTATATTTGCATATATAATGAGCCCTATGACCTTTGACATTTGGCCTGATGACCCCAAAATGTATTCACTTCATTAGCTCTGCATGATTCATGAATGACCCAAGTTTGGCTGGAATCCATCAAATGTTTCTTATGAATATTTGTTAATGAGAACAAGACATACAGATGGACGAACGGACGGACAAACGGACGGACGACCCGCATCAAAATGTAGCATTTCTGAAATCTGGTTCCAGCTCTCACTAAAGGATAGAAAACTGTTTAACAGGGGATAGAGCATTAGCAAGCACTTACCAAATACAATTACAAAGAAGGTGCATGTTTCTGTATTTCCTGCATCATCGGTTGCGTTGTAGGTGACTGTGTTGTTTCCAATTGTAAAGTTTTCTCCAGAATTGTCAGTGGACGTCAATGTATGAATACCAGAGTTATCTGTTGCTGTAGGTTGCGTCCAGTTTACCACAGCTGTAGGATAACCAATGTCTGTAATGACATCCTGGTCACCAGGGCATAGATCGAAGACTGGTTTCTCATTGTCTGTGGGAAAGATTATATGATATATAAACTAGATGGCTTTTCAACGGCACACAGCCGCAAATGGTTCATCTGCCATAGAGCAATTGTACAAACCAAATCAGACTTAATTTTAAAAACTCAACTTTGAAATTTATTCATACGTAGGCTCTAAGGATAATGTGTTCAAAGGCTATATTTGTATACAAAATGAGCCCCAAGACCTGTGACATTTGGCATCACGACCCCAAAATGTATTCACTTCATTGGCTCTGCAAGATTCATAAATGACCCAAGTTTGGCTGAAATCCATCAATCGTTTCTTGAGAATATCTGATCATGAGAACAGGACATACAGATGGACGAACGGACGGACAAACGGACGGACACAGCATCAAAATGAAGCATTTTCTGAAATCTGGTTCCAGCTTTCACTAAAGGATAGAAAACTGTTTCACAGGGGATAAAGCATTAGCAAGAACTTACCGGATACAATTACAAAGAAGGTGCATGTTTCTGTATTTCCTGCATCATCGGTTGCGTTGTAGATGACTGTATTGTTTCCAACTGTAAAGTTTTCCCCAGAATTGTAAGTGGATGTCAGTGTAGGAATACCAGAGTTATCTGTTGCTGTAGGTAGAGTCCAGTTTACCACAGCTGTAGGATAACCAATGTCTGTGGTGACATCCTGGTCACTAGGGCATAGATCGAAGACTGGTTTCTCATTGTCTGTGGGAAAGATTATATGAGATATAAACAAAATAGCTCTACAGCTGCACACAGCAGCAATTGGTGCATCAGCCATAGAGCGATTGTACAAACCAAATCAGAAGTCATTTTAAAAACTCAAGTTTGAAAGTTAATCATCCGTAAGTTCTAAGGATAATCTGTTCGAAGGCTATAATTGCATACATAATGTGCCCCATGACCTCTGACATTTGGCCTCATGACCCCAAAATGTATTAACTTCATTAGCTCTGCAAGATTTATGAATGACCCAAGTTTGGCTGGAATCCATCAATTGTTTCCTGAGAATATCTGATCATTAGAATAGGACATACAGATGGACCAAAGGACGGACAAACGGATGGACAACCTGCATCAAAATGTAGCATTTCTGCAATCTAGGTCCAGCTCTCACTAGAGGATAGAAAACTGTTTAACAGGGTATAAAGCATAAGCAAGCACTTACCAGATACAATTATAAAGAAGGTGCATGTTTCTGTATTTCCTGCATCATCGGTTGCGTTGTAGGTGACTGTGTTGTTTCCAATCGTAAAGTTTTCTCCAGAATTGTGAGTGGACGTCAGTGTCTCAATACCAACGTTATCTGATGCTGTAGGTGACGTCCAGTTTACCACAGCTGTGGGATAACCAATGTCTGTATTGACATCCTGGTCACCAGGGCATAGATCGAAGACTGGTTTCTCATTGTCTGTGGAAAAGATTATATGAGATATTAACAAAATAGCTCTTCAGCTGCACACAGCAGCATATGGTGCATCTGCCATAGAGCGATTGTACAAACTAAATCAGAAGCCATTTTAAAAACACAAGTTTGAAAGTTAATCATCTGTAGGTCCTAAGGATAATCTGTTTGAAGGCTTTAATTGCATACATAATGAGCCCCATGACCTTTGACATTTGGCCTCATGACCCCAAAATGTATTAACTTCATTAGCTCTGCAAGATTCATAAATGACCCAAGTTTGGCTGGAATCCATCAAATGTTTCTTGAGAATATCTGCTAAGGAGAACAGGACATACAGATGGACGAACGGACGGACAAACGGATGGCAACCTGCATCTAAATGTAGCATTTCTGAAATCTGGTTCCAGCTCTCACTAGACAATAGAAAACTGTTTTTTAGGGTATAAAGCATAAGCAAGCACTTACCAGATACTATTACAAAGAAGGTGCATGTTTCTGTATTTCCTGCATCATCGGTTGCATTGTAGGTGACTGTGCTGTTTCCAATTGTAAAGTTTTCTCCAGAATTGTGAGTGGACGTCAGTGTCTGAATACCAACGTTATCTGTTGCTGTAGGTGACGTCCAGTTTACCACAGCTGTAGGATAACCAATGTCTGTGGTGACATCCTGGTCACTAGGGCATAGATCGAAGACTGGTTTCTCATTGTCTGTAGGAAAGATTATATGAGATCTCAACTATATGGCTCTTCAACTGCACACACCCGGAAATGGTGCATCAGCCATAGAGCGATTGTACAAACCAAATCATAAGCAATTTTAAAAACTCAAGTTTGAAAGTAATCCATCCATAGGTTCTAAGGATAATGTGTTCAAAGGCTATATTTGCGTACATAATGAGCCCTATGACCTTTGACATTTGGCCTGATGACCCCAAAATGTATTCACTTCATTAGCTCTGCATGATTCATAAATGACCCAAGTTTGGCTGGAATCCATCAAATGTTTCTTGAGAATATTTGTTAATGAGAACAAGACATACAGATGGACGAACGGACGGACAAACGGACGGACGACCCGCATCAAAATGTAGCATTTCTGAAATCTGGTTCCAGCTCTCACTAAAGGATAGAAAACTGTTTAACAGGGGATAAAGCATTAGCAAGCACTTACCAGATACAATTACAAAGAAGGTGCATGTTTCTGTATTTCCTGCATCATCGGTTGCGTTGTAGGTGACTGTGTTGTTTCCAATTGTAAAGTTTTCTCCAGAATTGTCAGTGGACGTCAATGTATGAATACCAGAGTTATCTGTTGCTGTAGGTTGCGTCCAGTTTACCACAGCTGTAGGATAACCAATGTCTGTAATGACATCCTGGTCACCAGGGCATAGATCGAAGACTGGTTTCTCATTGTCTGTGGGAAAGATTATATGATATATAAACTAGATGGCTTTTCAACGGCACACAGCCGCAAATGGTTCATCTGCCATGGAGCAATTGTACAAACCAAATCAGACTTAATTTTAAAAACTCAACTTTGAAATTTATTCATACGTAGGCTCTAAGGATAATGTGTTCAAAGGCTATATTTGTATACAAAATGAGCCCCAAGACCTGTGACATTTGGCATCACGACCCCAAAATGTATTCACTTCATTGGCTCTGCAAGATTCATAAATGACCCAAGTTTGGCTGAAATCCATCAATCGTTTCTTGACAATATCTGATCATGAGAACAGGACATACAGATGGACAAACGGACGGACAAACGGACGGACACAGCATCAAAATGAAGCATTTTCTGAAATCTGGTTCCAGCTTTCACTAAAGGATAGAAAACTGTTTCACAGGGGATAAAGCATTAGCAAGAACTTACCGGATACAATTACAAAGAAGGTGCATGTTTCTGTATTTCCTGCATCATCGGTTGCGTTGTAGATGACTGTATTGTTTCCAACTGTAAAGTTTTCCCCAGAATTGTAAGTGGATGTCAGTGTAGGAATACCAGAGTTATCTGTTGCTGTAGGTAGAGTCCAGTTTACCACAGCTGTAGGATAACCAATGTCTGTGGTGACATCCTGGTCACTAGGGCATAGATCGAAGACTGGTTTCTCATTGTCTGTGGGAAAGATTATATGAGATATAAACAAAATAGCTCTACAGCTGCACACAGCAGCAATTGGTGCATCAGCCATAGAGCGATTGTACAAACCAAATCAGAAGTCATTTTAAAAACTCAAGTTTGAAAGTTAATCATCCGTAAGTTCTAAGGATAATCTGTTCGAAGGCTATAATTGCATACATAATGTGCCCCATGACCTCTGACATTTGGCCTCATGACCCCAAAATGTATTAACTTCATTAGCTCTGCAAGATTTATGAATGACCCAAGTTTGGCTGGAATCCATCAATTGTTTCCTGAGAATATCTGATCATTAGAATAGGACATACAGATGGACCAAAGGACGGACAAACGGATGGACAACCTGCATCAAAATGTAGCATTTCTGCAATCTAGGTCCAGCTCTCACTAGAGGATAGAAAACTGTTTAACAGGGTATAAAGCATAAGCAAGCACTTACCAGATACAATTATAAAGAAGGTGCATGTTTCTGTATTTCCTGCATCATCGGTTGCGTTGTAGGTGACTGTGTTGTTTCCAATCGTAAAGTTTTCTCCAGAATTGTGAGTGGACGTCAGTGTCTCAATACCAACGTTATCTGATGCTGTAGGTGACGTCCAGTTTACCACAGCTGTGGGATAACCAATGTCTGTATTGACATCCTGGTCACCAGGGCATAGATCGAAGACTGGTTTCTCGTTGTCTGTGGAAAAGATTATATGAGATATTAACAAAATAGCTCTTCAGCTGCACACAGCAGCATATGGTGCATCTGCCATAGAGCGATTGTACAAACTAAATCAGAAGCCATTTTAAAAACACAAGTTTGAAAGTTAATCATCTGTAGGTCCTAAGGATAATCTGTTTGAAGGCTTTAATTGCATACATAATGAGCCCCATGACCTTTGACATTTGGCCTCATGACCCCAAAATGTATTAACTTCATTAGCTCTGCAAGATTCATAAATGACCCAAGTTTGGCTGGAATCCATCAAATGTTTCTTGAGAATATCTGCTAAGGAGAACAGGACATACAGATGGACGAACGGACGGACAAACGGATGGCAACCTGCATCTAAATGTAGCATTTCTGAAATCTGGTTCCAGCTCTCACTAGACAATAGAAAACTGTTTTTTAGGGTATAAAGCATAAGCAAGCACTTACCAGATACTATTACAAAGAAGGTGCATGTTTCTGTATTTCCTGCATCATCGGTTGCATTGTAGGTGACTGTGCTGTTTCCAATTGTAAAGTTTTCTCCAGAATTGTGAGTGGACGTCAGTGTCTGAATACCAACGTTATCTGTTGCTGTAGGTGACGTCCAGTTTACCACAGCTGTAGGATAACCAATGTCTGTGGTGACATCCTGGTCACTAGGGCATAGATCGAAGACTGGTTTCTCATTGTCTGTAGGAAAGATTATATGAGATCTCAACTATATGGCTCTTCAACTGCACACACCCGGAAATGGTGCATCAGCCATAGAGCGATTGTACAAACCAAATCATAAGCAATTTTAAAAACTCAAGTTTGAAAGTAATCCATCCATAGGTTCTAAGGATAATGTGTTCAAAGGCTATATTTGCGTACATAATGAGCCCTATGACCTTTGACATTTGGCCTGATGACCCCAAAATGTATTCACTTCATTAGCTCTGCATGATTCATAAATGACCCAAGTTTGGCTGGAATCCATCAAATGTTTCTTGAGAATATTTGTTAATGAGAACAAGACATACAGATGGACGAACGGACGGACAAACGGACGGACGACCCGCATCAAAATGTAGCATTTCTGAAATCTGGTTCCAGCTCTCACTAAAGGATAGAAAACTGTTTAACAGGGGATAGAGCATTAGCAAGCACTTACCAAATACAATTACAAAGAAGGTGCATGTTTCTGTATTTCCTGCATCATCGGTTGCGTTGTAGGTGACTGTGTTGTTTCCAATTGTAAAGTTTTCTCCAGAATTGTCAGTGGACGTCAATGTATGAATACCAGAGTTATCTGTTGCTGTAGGTTGCGTCCAGTTTACCACAGCTGTAGGATAACCAATGTCTGTAATGACATCCTGGTCACCAGGGCATAGATCGAAGACTGGTTTCTCATTGTCTGTGGGAAAGATTATATGATATATAAACTAGATGGCTTTTCAACGGCACACAGCCGCAAATGGTTCATCTGCCATAGAGCAATTGTACAAACCAAATCAGACTTAATTTTAAAAACTCAACTTTGAAATTTATTCATACGTAGGCTCTAAGGATAATGTGTTCAAAGGCTATATTTGTATACAAAATGAGCCCCAAGACCTGTGACATTTGGCATCACGACCCCAAAATGTATTCACTTCATTGGCTCTGCAAGATTCATAAATGACCCAAGTTTGGCTGAAATCCATCAATCGTTTCTTGAGAATATCTGATCATGAGAACAGGACATACAGATGGACGAACGGACGGACAAACGGACGGACACAGCATCAAAATGAAGCATTTTCTGAAATCTGGTTCCAGCTTTCACTAAAGGATAGAAAACTGTTTCACAGGGGATAAAGCATTAGCAAGAACTTACCGGATACAATTACAAAGAAGGTGCATGTTTCTGTATTTCCTGCATCATCGGTTGCGTTGTAGATGACTGTATTGTTTCCAACTGTAAAGTTTTCCCCAGAATTGTAAGTGGATGTCAGTGTAGGAATACCAGAGTTATCTGTTGCTGTAGGTAGAGTCCAGTTTACCACAGCTGTAGGATAACCAATGTCTGTGGTGACATCCTGGTCACTAGGGCATAGATCGAAGACTGGTTTCTCATTGTCTGTGGGAAAGATTATATGAGATATAAACAAAATAGCTCTACAGCTGCACACAGCAGCAATTGGTGCATCAGCCATAGAGCGATTGTACAAACCAAATCAGAAGTCATTTTAAAAACTCAAGTTTGAAAGTTAATCATCCGTAAGTTCTAAGGATAATCTGTTCGAAGGCTATAATTGCATACATAATGTGCCCCATGACCTCTGACATTTGGCCTCATGACCCCAAAATGTATTAACTTCATTAGCTCTGCAAGATTTATGAATGACCCAAGTTTGGCTGGAATCCATCAATTGTTTCCTGAGAATATCTGATCATTAGAATAGGACATACAGATGGACCAAAGGACGGACAAACGGATGGACAACCTGCATCAAAATGTAGCATTTCTGCAATCTAGGTCCAGCTCTCACTAGAGGATAGAAAACTGTTTAACAGGGTATAAAGCATAAGCAAGCACTTACCAGATACAATTATAAAGAAGGTGCATGTTTCTGTATTTCCTGCATCATCGGTTGCGTTGTAGGTGACTGTGTTGTTTCCAATCGTAAAGTTTTCTCCAGAATTGTGAGTGGACGTCAGTGTCTCAATACCAACGTTATCTGATGCTGTAGGTGACGTCCAGTTTACCACAGCTGTGGGATAACCAATGTCTGTATTGACATCCTGGTCACCAGGGCATAGATCGAAGACTGGTTTCTCATTGTCTGTGGAAAAGATTATATGAGATATTAACAAAATAGCTCTTCAGCTGCACACAGCAGCATATGGTGCATCTGCCATAGAGCGATTGTACAAACTAAATCAGAAGCCATTTTAAAAACACAAGTTTGAAAGTTAATCATCTGTAGGTCCTAAGGATAATCTGTTTGAAGGCTTTAATTGCATACATAATGAGCCCCATGACCTTTGACATTTGGCCTCATGACCCCAAAATGTATTAACTTCATTAGCTCTGCAAGATTCATAAATGACCCAAGTTTGGCTGGAATCCATCAAATGTTTCTTGAGAATATCTGCTAAGGAGAACAGGACATACAGATGGACGAACGGACGGACAAACGGATGGCAACCTGCATCTAAATGTAGCATTTCTGAAATCTGGTTCCAGCTCTCACTAGACAATAGAAAACTGTTTTTTAGGGTATAAAGCATAAGCAAGCACTTACCAGATACTATTACAAAGAAGGTGCATGTTTCTGTATTTCCTGCATCATCGGTTGCATTGTAGGTGACTGTGCTGTTTCCAATTGTAAAGTTTTCTCCAGAATTGTGAGTGGACGTCAGTGTCTGAATACCAACGTTATCTGTTGCTGTAGGTGACGTCCAGTTTACCACAGCTGTAGGATAACCAATGTCTGTGGTGACATCCTGGTCACTAGGGCATAGATCGAAGACTGGTTTCTCATTGTCTGTAGGAAAGATTATATGAGATCTCAACTATATGGCTCTTCAACTGCACACACCCGGAAATGGTGCATCAGCCATAGAGCGATTGTACAAACCAAATCATAAGCAATTTTAAAAACTCAAGTTTGAAAGTAATCCATCCATAGGTTCTAAGGATAATGTGTTCAAAGGCTATATTTGCGTACATAATGAGCCCTATGACCTTTGACATTTGGCCTGATGACCCCAAAATGTATTCACTTCATTAGCTCTGCATGATTCATAAATGACCCAAGTTTGGCTGGAATCCATCAAATGTTTCTTGAGAATATTTGTTAATGAGAACAAGACATACAGATGGACGAACGGACGGACAAACGGACGGACGACCCGCATCAAAATGTAGCATTTCTGAAATCTGGTTCCAGCTCTCACTAAAGGATAGAAAACTGTTTAACAGGGGATAAAGCATTAGCAAGCACTTACCAGATACAATTACAAAGAAGGTGCATGTTTCTGTATTTCCTGCATCATCGGTTGCGTTGTAGGTGACTGTGTTGTTTCCAATTGTAAAGTTTTCTCCAGAATTGTCAGTGGACGTCAATGTATGAATACCAGAGTTATCTGTTGCTGTAGGTTGCGTCCAGTTTACCACAGCTGTAGGATAACCAATGTCTGTAATGACATCCTGGTCACCAGGGCATAGATCGAAGACTGGTTTCTCATTGTCTGTGGGAAAGATTATATGATATATAAACTAGATGGCTTTTCAACGGCACACAGCCGCAAATGGTTCATCTGCCATGGAGCAATTGTACAAACCAAATCAGACTTAATTTTAAAAACTCAACTTTGAAATTTATTCATACGTAGGCTCTAAGGATAATGTGTTCAAAGGCTATATTTGTATACAAAATGAGCCCCAAGACCTGTGACATTTGGCATCACGACCCCAAAATGTATTCACTTCATTGGCTCTGCAAGATTCATAAATGACCCAAGTTTGGCTGAAATCCATCAATCGTTTCTTGACAATATCTGATCATGAGAACAGGACATACAGATGGACAAACGGACGGACAAACGGACGGACACAGCATCAAAATGAAGCATTTTCTGAAATCTGGTTCCAGCTTTCACTAAAGGATAGAAAACTGTTTCACAGGGGATAAAGCATTAGCAAGAACTTACCGGATACAATTACAAAGAAGGTGCATGTTTCTGTATTTCCTGCATCATCGGTTGCGTTGTAGATGACTGTATTGTTTCCAACTGTAAAGTTTTCCCCAGAATTGTAAGTGGATGTCAGTGTAGGAATACCAGAGTTATCTGTTGCTGTAGGTAGAGTCCAGTTTACCACAGCTGTAGGATAACCAATGTCTGTGGTGACATCCTGGTCACTAGGGCATAGATCGAAGACTGGTTTCTCATTGTCTGTGGGAAAGATTATATGAGATATAAACAAAATAGCTCTACAGCTGCACACAGCAGCAATTGGTGCATCAGCCATAGAGCGATTGTACAAACCAAATCAGAAGTCATTTTAAAAACTCAAGTTTGAAAGTTAATCATCCGTAAGTTCTAAGGATAATCTGTTCGAAGGCTATAATTGCATACATAATGTGCCCCATGACCTCTGACATTTGGCCTCATGACCCCAAAATGTATTAACTTCATTAGCTCTGCAAGATTTATGAATGACCCAAGTTTGGCTGGAATCCATCAATTGTTTCCTGAGAATATCTGATCATTAGAATAGGACATACAGATGGACCAAAGGACGGACAAACGGATGGACAACCTGCATCAAAATGTAGCATTTCTGCAATCTAGGTCCAGCTCTCACTAGAGGATAGAAAACTGTTTAACAGGGTATAAAGCATAAGCAAGCACTTACCAGATACAATTATAAAGAAGGTGCATGTTTCTGTATTTCCTGCATCATCGGTTGCGTTGTAGGTGACTGTGTTGTTTCCAATCGTAAAGTTTTCTCCAGAATTGTGAGTGGACGTCAGTGTCTCAATACCAACGTTATCTGATGCTGTAGGTGACGTCCAGTTTACCACAGCTGTGGGATAACCAATGTCTGTATTGACATCCTGGTCACCAGGGCATAGATCGAAGACTGGTTTCTCGTTGTCTGTGGAAAAGATTATATGAGATATTAACAAAATAGCTCTTCAGCTGCACACAGCAGCATATGGTGCATCTGCCATAGAGCGATTGTACAAACTAAATCAGAAGCCATTTTAAAAACACAAGTTTGAAAGTTAATCATCTGTAGGTCCTAAGGATAATCTGTTTGAAGGCTTTAATTGCATACATAATGAGCCCCATGACCTTTGACATTTGGCCTCATGACCCCAAAATGTATTAACTTCATTAGCTCTGCAAGATTCATAAATGACCCAAGTTTGGCTGGAATCCATCAAATGTTTCTTGAGAATATCTGCTAAGGAGAACAGGACATACAGATGGACGAACGGACGGACAAACGGATGGCAACCTGCATCTAAATGTAGCATTTCTGAAATCTGGTTCCAGCTCTCACTAGACAATAGAAAACTGTTTTTTAGGGTATAAAGCATAAGCAAGCACTTACCAGATACTATTACAAAGAAGGTGCATGTTTCTGTATTTCCTGCATCATCGGTTGCATTGTAGGTGACTGTGCTGTTTCCAATTGTAAAGTTTTCTCCAGAATTGTGAGTGGACGTCAGTGTCTGAATACCAACGTTATCTGTTGCTGTAGGTGACGTCCAGTTTACCACAGCTGTAGGATAACCAATGTCTGTGGTGACATCCTGGTCACTAGGGCATAGATCGAAGACTGGTTTCTCATTGTCTGTAGGAAAGATTATATGAGATCTCAACTATATGGCTCTTCAACTGCACACACCCGGAAATGGTGCATCAGCCATAGAGCGATTGTACAAACCAAATCATAAGCAATTTTAAAAACTCAAGTTTGAAAGTAATCCATCCATAGGTTCTAAGGATAATGTGTTCAAAGGCTATATTTGCGTACATAATGAGCCCTATGACCTTTGACATTTGGCCTGATGACCCCAAAATGTATTCACTTCATTAGCTCTGCATGATTCATAAATGACCCAAGTTTGGCTGGAATCCATCAAATGTTTCTTGAGAATATTTGTTAATGAGAACAAGACATACAGATGGACGAACGGACGGACAAACGGACGGACGACCCGCATCAAAATGTAGCATTTCTGAAATCTGGTTCCAGCTCTCACTAGAGGATAGAAAACTGTTTAACAGGGGATAAAGCATTAGCAAGCACTTACCAGATACAATTACAAAGAAGGTGCATGTTTCTGTATTTCCTGCATCATCGGTTGCGTTGTAGGTGACTGTGTTGTTTCCAATTGTAAAGTTTTCTCCAGAATTGTCAGTGGACGTCAATGTATGAATACCAGAGTTATCTGTTGCTGTAGGTTGCGTCCAGTTTACCACAGCTGTAGGATAACCAATGTCTGTAATGACATCCTGGTCACCAGGGCATAGATCGAAGACTGGTTTCTCATTGTCTGTGGGAAAGATTATATGATATATAAACTAGATGGCTTTTCAACGGCACACAGCCGCAAATGGTTCATCTGCCATGGAGCAATTGTACAAACCAAATCAGACTTAATTTTAAAAACTCAACTTTGAAATTTATTCATACGTAGGCTCTAAGGATAATGTGTTCAAAGGCTATATTTGTATACAAAATGAGCCCCAAGACCTGTGACATTTGGCATCACGACCCCAAAATGTATTCACTTCATTGGCTCTGCAAGATTCATAAATGACCCAAGTTTGGCTGAAATCCATCAATCGTTTCTTGACAATATCTGATCATGAGAACAGGACATACAGATGGACAAACGGACGGACAAACGGACGGACACAGCATCAAAATGAAGCATTTTCTGAAATCTGGTTCCAGCTTTCACTAAAGGATAGAAAACTGTTTCACAGGGGATAAAGCATTAGCAAGAACTTACCGGATACAATTACAAAGAAGGTGCATGTTTCTGTATTTCCTGCATCATCGGTTGCGTTGTAGATGACTGTATTGTTTCCAACTGTAAAGTTTTCCCCAGAATTGTAAGTGGATGTCAGTGTAGGAATACCAGAGTTATCTGTTGCTGTAGGTAGAGTCCAGTTTACCACAGCTGTAGGATAACCAATGTCTGTGGTGACATCCTGGTCACTAGGGCATAGATCGAAGACTGGTTTCTCATTGTCTGTGGGAAAGATTATATGAGATATAAACAAAATAGCTCTACAGCTGCACACAGCAGCAATTGGTGCATCAGCCATAGAGCGATTGTACAAACCAAATCAGAAGTCATTTTAAAAACTCAAGTTTGAAAGTTAATCATCCGTAAGTTCTAAGGATAATCTGTTCGAAGGCTATAATTGCATACATAATGTGCCCCATGACCTCTGACATTTGGCCTCATGACCCCAAAATGTATTAACTTCATTAGCTCTGCAAGATTTATGAATGACCCAAGTTTGGCTGGAATCCATCAATTGTTTCCTGAGAATATCTGATCATTAGAATAGGACATACAGATGGACCAAAGGACGGACAAACGGATGGACAACCTGCATCAAAATGTAGCATTTCTGCAATCTAGGTCCAGCTCTCACTAGAGGATAGAAAACTGTTTAACAGGGTATAAAGCATAAGCAAGCACTTACCAGATACAATTATAAAGAAGGTGCATGTTTCTGTATTTCCTGCATCATCGGTTGCGTTGTAGGTGACTGTGTTGTTTCCAATCGTAAAGTTTTCTCCAGAATTGTGAGTGGACGTCAGTGTCTCAATACCAACGTTATCTGATGCTGTAGGTGACGTCCAGTTTACCACAGCTGTGGGATAACCAATGTCTGTATTGACATCCTGGTCACCAGGGCATAGATCGAAGACTGGTTTCTCGTTGTCTGTGGAAAAGATTATATGAGATATTAACAAAATAGCTCTTCAGCTGCACACAGCAGCATATGGTGCATCTGCCATAGAGCGATTGTACAAACTAAATCAGAAGCCATTTTAAAAACACAAGTTTGAAAGTTAATCATCTGTAGGTCCTAAGGATAATCTGTTTGAAGGCTTTAATTGCATACATAATGAGCCCCATGACCTTTGACATTTGGCCTCATGACCCCAAAATGTATTAACTTCATTAGCTCTGCAAGATTCATAAATGACCCAAGTTTGGCTGGAATCCATCAAATGTTTCTTGAGAATATCTGCTAAGGAGAACAGGACATACAGATGGACGAACGGACGGACAAACGGATGGCAACCTGCATCTAAATGTAGCATTTCTGAAATCTGGTTCCAGCTCTCACTAGACAATAGAAAACTGTTTTTTAGGGTATAAAGCATAAGCAAGCACTTACCAGATACTATTACAAAGAAGGTGCATGTTTCTGTATTTCCTGCATCATCGGTTGCATTGTAGGTGACTGTGCTGTTTCCAATTGTAAAGTTTTCTCCAGAATTGTGAGTGGACGTCAGTGTCTGAATACCAATGTTATCTGTTGCTGTAGGTGACGTCCAGTTTACCACAGCTGTAGGATAACCAATGTCTGTGGTGACATCCTGGTCACTAGGGCATAGATCGAAGACTGGTTTCTCATTGTCTGTAGGAAAGATTATATGAGATCTCAACTATATGGCTCTTCAACTGCACACACCCGGAAATGGTGCATCAGCCATAGAGCGATTGTACAAACCAAATCATAAGCAATTTTAAAAACTCAAGTTTGAAAGTAATCCATCCATAGGTTCTAAGGATAATGTGTTCAAAGGCTATATTTGCGTACATAATGAGCCCTATGACCTTTGACATTTGGCCTGATGACCCCAAAATGTATTCACTTCATTAGCTCTGCATGATTCATAAATGACCCAAGTTTGGCTGGAATCCATCAAATGTTTCTTGAGAATATTTGTTAATGAGAACAAGACATACAGATGGACGAACGGACGGACAAACGGACGGACGACCCGCATCAAAATGTAGCATTTCTGAAATCTGGTTCCAGCTCTCACTAAAGGATAGAAAACTGTTTAACAGGGGATAAAGCATTAGCAAGCACTTACCAGATACAATTACAAAGAAGGTGCATGTTTCTGTATTTCCTGCATCATCGGTTGCGTTGTAGGTGACTGTGTTGTTTCCAATTGTAAAGTTTTCTCCAGAATTGTGAGTGGACGTCAATGTATGAATACCAGAGTTATCTGTTGCTGTAGGTTGCGTCCAGTTTACCACAGCTGTAGGATAACCAATGTCTGTAGTGACATCCTGGTCACCAGGGCATAGATCGAAGACTGGTTTCTCATTGTCTGTGGGAAAGATTATGATATATAAACTAGATGGCTTTTCAACGGCACACAGCCGCAAATGGTTCATCTGCCATGGAGCAATTGTACAAACCAAATCAGACTTAATTTTAAAAACTCAACTTTGAAATTTATTCATACGTAGGCTCTAAGGATAATGTGTTCAAAGGCTATATTTGTATACAAAATGAGCCCCAAGACCTGTGACATTTGGCATCACGACCCCAAAATGTATTCACTTCATTGGCTCTGCAAGATTCATAAATGACCCAAGTTTGGCTGAAATCCATCAATCGTTTCTTGAGAATATCTGATCATGAGAACAGGACATACAGATGGACGAACGGACGGACAAACGGACGGACACAGCATCAAAATGAAGCATTTTCTGAAATCTGGTTCCAGCTTTCACTAAAGGATAGAAAACTGTTTCACAGGGGATAAAGCATTAGCAAGAACTTACCGGATACAATTACAAAGAAGGTGCATGTTTCTGTATTTCCTGCATCATCGGTTGCGTTGTAGGTTACTGTGTTGTTTCCAATCGTAAAGTTTTGCCCAGAATTGTGAGTGGATGTCAATGTATGAATACCAGAGTTATCTGTTGCTGTAGGTTGCGTCCAGTTTACCACAGCTGTAGGATAACCAATGTCTGTGGTGACATCCTGGTCACCAGGGCATAGATCGAAGACTGGTTTCTCATTGTCTGTGGGAAAGATTATATGAGATATAAACAAGATGGCTCTTCAACTGCACACAGCCGCAAATGGTGCATTTGCCATAGAATGACAAACCAAACCAGAAGTAATTTTAAAAACTCAAGTTTGAAAGTTATTCATCCGTAGGTTCCAAGGATAATGTGTTCAAAGGCAATATTTTTCATACATAATGAGCCCCATGACCCCTGCTTAACTCTCACTCACCCCCCTCTTCACTCTCACTTCTAGTGAGAGGAAGAAAAAACCAGTATCCTCCTATCACTTGTGATAGGAGGATACGAGACAGGAGACCGTCCCTGGAAGCACTCAGTGTGAGGGGACGACCGACTTGTGTGGATACAGGTAAACGTCCTGGTTTCACCTTTTTGCCGGTGGGGGTGACTAGCTGACAACCAAATTTGTCAGCTACGAACGAACCAGGTTGGCTAGGAGAGGACCGACTCACCCGCCTAGCTAGTTTTGAGTGAAACTACTTCATGATGAAAAGCCATAAAAGCACCAGGGTTAAAGCCCCTGCCTCTACTAATTTGCCACTTCTTTCCGGGGGCCTACAGAGAGTAGTGCAACATGACGTGCCAACTCCAAAGCCAATTGGAAGAGATGGTGTTGATAAACCACGGAAAAGAGATGCTTTACTAACAACAAAAAAGACAATTGGAATAGGAACCTGGAATGTGAGAACGCTACATCAACCAGGGAACCTCGAAATCCTACTTCACCAACTAAACAACTTTAAATGGGAGATAGTAGGTGTATCAGAAACACATTGGACTGACAAGGGAGAGTTTACCTCTGAAGGGTACAAAATACTATGCTCAGGAAATGAAACTCTACACAGAGGGGGTGTAGCACTGATTCTGAACAAAACAGCCCAGAACTCACTCCTAGGATATCATCCTATTTCATCCAGATTGATCACTGCCAGATTCCAGACTCAAGCAGGTGCCGTTACAGTGATCCAAGTTTATGCCCCAAATACAGCTGATAATGAAGAACTAGTAGACGAATTTTATGACCAACTTCAAGAAGCAATCAATTCTGCACCAAAGAAAGACATTCTGATAGTGATGGGGGATCTAAATGCAAAAGTGGGAGACAGTTACTCACAATGGAAACAAGTTCTAGGCCAACATGGGTTTGGAAAGGCAAATGCCAGAGGAGAGAAACTACTCAATTTTTGTGCAGCGAATGATCTTGTTATCACCAATACCATGTTTAAACAAGCCAAAACAAGTAGAAAATGGACATGGGAATCACCTGATCAAAAGACTCACAACAAGATAGACTTCATAATGATTAACAGCAAATGGAAAAGCTCAATCAACAACTCCAGGAGTTTCCCCAGTGCTGACATAGGCTCAGATCACCAGTTAGTCATTGCAAACTTAAGACTGAGATTTAAAGTTAGAGGAAAACCCAAGTTTCTAAAACTCAAAGAAGCAGACGTCCGCTCAAATTATGAAATAGAAATTGGAGGAAGGTTTGGCCCACTTCTAGATGATGAAAACACAGATGTGGAAAATCTATGGGAAGGCATCAAGTCAGCATACAGCGAGACATCGACCAAACTTCTCGGAAACAGAAAGAGTCAACCTCAGGCCCCTTGGATAAGCGAGGAGGTGCTCCAACTAAGTGACCAAAGGAAAAGGGTTAAGCAGGAGAAGTTAAGTGATACTACAAAGAGAGCCCACTATAATTTCCTAAACAGGGAAATAAAGAGAAAGACAAAAGGATGTAAGGACAGATGGATTCAAGATCTATGTAAAAAGGTTGATAAGGCACACCAAGCAGCTAAGTCCAAAGAAGTCTACTCAACAATCAAGAAACTCACTAGGAAACCAAATATCAAGATGCAAACAGTAAAGAGCAAAGATGGACAAGTACTGACAGAGATAGAGGATGTAAAAAGGAGATGGAAAGAAAGTTACGACGAACTTTATAACAACCAGAATCCCATCAACAAGGATGTAACTGAGGGAATTGCACAGATGACTAGTATGGAGGAAGAGCCTGAAATACTTAAAGAGGAGGTCATTAGTGCTATCAAAAGGATGTCAGATGGAAAGGCCCCAGGCTATGATAGTATAACAGCAGAGGAGTTAAAAGCATCCGGAGAGAGTGGCACTGACATCCTTCACAAACTCTGCAACCTAATCTGGAGAAAAGAATCTTTCCCAACTGACTGGGGCAGAGCCATTATAACACCTATATTCAAGAAGAAGGATAAGCTTGATTGCGGAAACTACCAGGGAATCAGCTTACTTAGCCATGCAGGAAAGATATTTGCATCAATCCTTCAACGAAGAATCTTGAAGAAGACAGAGGAAATTTTATCAGAGTCCCAGGCAGGTTTACGACCAGGGAGATCAACCATAGACCAACTGTTTACGCTAAGACAAATTGCAGAAAAGCACCTTGAAAAGAACAGAAGTCTGTTTTGCTGTTATATAGACTTCGAGAAGGCATTCGATTCAATATGGCAGGAAGGACTTTGGAAAGCTATGAGATTCTTTGGCTACTCCAATAAGACAATCTGTCTCCTAAAAGCACTATACAAAATCTCAGCTAGTGCAGTCAGGGTAAATGGCGAACTTACAGACTGGTTCCCAACAATTGTGGGTGTACGCCAGGGCTGTGTATTATCACCACAGCTATTCAACATCATCCTCGAAATGGTTATGTTACATGCCACCTATGACACCCCTATTGGAATAAACATCCAAGGCCATCTGATCAACAACCTCCGCTTCGCAGACGACATAGTTATTCTTGCATGCAACGAAATAGATCTCCAGTCCATTGTAGATTGTATACAACAGTGGAGCTCAAACTTTGGCCTCAAAATCAATATTGCCAAGACAGAGGTCCAGGTCATCAGTAAACAGCAGCAAGTCATTAACATCAGCATAGGTGGAACCAAACTACTACAGGTGGAAAAGTTTGTTTACCTGGGAGGTACCATCACTCAATCAGGAAAATGCACAGAGGACATAAAGAATAGAATTGGAAAAGCCCTGGGTGCTGTTCAAAGTCTTCACAGCATATTGACAGCCAAAGACATTAGAGATGTTACAAAACTTCAACTATATAAGGTACTCATCCTATCCATCCTTATGTATGGATCAGAAACATGGACACTGAAAAAAGAAGACGAGAACAGGCTCCTTACCTTCGAAATGATCTGCCTCCGAAAAATCTTGGGGGTAACCAGACTAGACAGAATAAGGAATACAACAATTCGGAAGACTCTAGAACTGGATGAAACCATTCTGGACAAAATAGCCAAAAAACGGCTACGATTCTTTGGCCACGTTAACAGGATGAGACCATCACGATACCCAAAGATACTCCTAACTTCTGATATCCATGGTGATAGACCCCGGGGCAGACCAGCCAAGAAATGGATAGATTATGTAAAGGCCGATTGTGCTACTAGATGTCTGGGATCCCTCACAGAAGCGACCAGAACGTCACAAGACAGGAAATCTGGCTTGACGTCATGAAGCAGAAGCCATCACACATCTTCCAGATGGTGCGGAATGCTAAGGTCAAGGTAGGTCAACGACCTTTGACATTTTGCCTCATAACCCCAAAATCTATTCGCTTCATTAGCTCTGCAAGATGAGCCAAGTTTGGTGGCAATCCATCATTTAGTTCTTGAGTTTTCACAATCATAACCTGACGACGGATACTGGTAGTCAACCTGTTCGAAACTTTGAGCCACTCCCGTCACCTATCCTCTCCAACCGGCACTTTAGGTCTCCTTAGAACTATAACCTAAAAAAAGGATTAACAGTTTCTTTCAAGACTACACCAACAGTTCTTTTCAAAACTACACACACTGAATAAAGAAAGATTATCAAGAGTCCTTTTCAGGAATTACCAATCCTCCCTCTCTTTCACATGGTGCAACCGCAAACCTACTGTATGAGATACATACATGACCCAAGTTTGGCAGATATCCATCTCTTAGTTCTTGGGATAACGAGATCACTAGAATACATTATGCTTCCAGCTATTTTGAAAGATAACATAAGTTCAGAGTAATGTTGAAATGTTAAATCAAGCAAAAACTCCTCAAAATTATGAATTTTAGAACACATGCATAGTCATGAGGATTTATCTTTCACAAGAATTTAAATATCTCAAAATCCCAAGCTAGATCGGTGACAAAACTTTTAGATATAAAGAATAACAACATTCACACCTGTTACTGTGACAAAGAGAAGACAAGTGCCAGTGTTTCCTGCATCATCTGTAGATGAGCAGTTCACAGTGGTGTCCCCTATCAGGAATATATTTTCGGATGAATGGGAGCAATTCACATCTAGATGAAAATCCACATTATCAGTTGCAGTAGAATCTAGCAGAACAGTTGACGATGAGTTGAGTCCCTCATCCGTAGAAGAAGATATATTTGCGCAGTTCAGAATAGGTTCTTCATCATCTGCAATATAACAGAAATTCACATCAATATACATTTTACAAGAATGGTATCATTTTTGTCAACTTCATGGTTTAAATATCTTGAAAAAGAAAAGATATTGAGTGAAGAAATTAATTGTAAGAGGCACTGATAAGTGATATTATTAGTGTGTTTGTCAATCCAGTGTACGTTTGTTGTACGCGTTACTTACATACATGCAGTCTGGTCATTATGTCAAAATCACATCACCATGGTACCAGCAGGCGCACACCTAGCTGTGCACGTTAATTTATTTATCAAGTGCGCGCACACATGCGCATTGGGTCTATCGTGAGAATTTAAAGGCTATTTTTCCAAACATAATGAGCCCTGTTACCTGTAACCTCTGACCCTAAAATCTAATCATTTCGATGGTTTGGCAAGATACATACACTGTACATGACACATGTTTGGAGGGAATCCATCAAATGGTTCTTGAGAATAGGCGATCTAGTGAACAGAAAGTATAGACGGATATACGGACGGATAGACGGACGGACAAAACAAACGTACAATCTGAAAATAAAATTCTTCCAGCTACTTCGTTGCAGAGGCATAAACATGCAGCATATCTGAAATCTGACTCAAGCTCTCACTAGAGAATACAAAACTGTTTAACGTGGGGATAAAGCATTAGACGAGGACTTACCAGATACAAATATCAAGAAGGTGCATGTTTCTGTATTTCCTGCATCATCGGTTGCAGTGTATGTTACTGTGTTGTTTCCAATTGTAAAGTTTTCCCCAGAATTGTGAGAGGATGTCAATGTATGAATACCAGAGTTATCTGTTGCTGTAGGTTGCGTCCAGTTTACAACAGCTGTATGATAACCAATGTCTGTGGTGACATTCTGGTCACCAGGGCATAGATCGAAGACTGGTTTCTCATTGTCTGTGGGAAAGATTATATGAGAAATAAACTAGATGGCTCTTCAACTGCACACAGCCGCAAATGGTGCATCAGCCATAGAGCGATTGAACAAACCAAATCAGAAGACATTTTAAAAACTCAAGTTTGAAAGTTATTCACCCTTAGGGTCCAAGGATAATGTGTTCAAAGTCTATATTTGCATACATAATAAGCCCCATGACCTTTGACATTTTGCCTCATGGCCCAATAAGTATTCACTTCATTAGCTCTGCAAGATTTTATAAATGACCCGAAATTGGCTGGAATCCTTCAATTGTTTCTTGAGAATATCTGATTATTAGAACAGGACATACAGATGTATGAACGGACGGATAACCCACATCAAAATGTAGCATTTGTGAAATCTGGTTCCAGCTCTCACTAAATGATAGAAAACTGTTTTACATGGGATAAAGCATTAGCAAGCACTTACCAGATACAATTAAAAAGAAGGTGCAGGTTTCTGTATTTCCTGCATCATCGGTTGCGTTGTAGGTGACTGTGTTGTTTCCAATTGTAAAGTTTTCCCCAGAATTGTGAGTGGATGTCAATGTATGAATACCAGAGTTATCTGTTGCTGTAGGTTGCGTCCAATTTACCACAGCTGTATGATAACCAATGTCTGTGGTGACATCCTGGTCACCAGGACATAGATCGAAGACTGGTTTCTCATTGTCTGTGGGAAAGATTTCATGAGATATAAAATAGATGGCTCTTTAACTGCACACATCTGAAAATGGTGCATCTGCCATTGAGCGATTGTACAAACCAAATCAGAAGACATTTAAAAAATTCAACTTTGAAAGTTATTTATCCGTTGGTTCCAAGGATGTGTTCAAGGACTATATTTGCATACATAAAGAGCCCCATGACCTTGGAAATTTTGCCTCATGACACCAAAATGTATTCACTTCATTGGCTCTGCAAGATTCATAAATGACCCAAGTTTGGCTGGAATCCATCAATTGTTTCTTGAGAATATCTGATCTTGAGAATATCTGATCATGAGAACAGGACATACAGATGGACGAACGGACGGACAAAAGGACATACACAGCATTAAAATGAAGCATTTTCTGAAATCTGGTTCCAGCTTTTACTAAAGGATAGACAACTGTTTAACAGGGGATAAAGCATTAGCAAGCACTTACCAGATACAATTATAAAGAAGATGCATGTATCTGTATTTCCTGCATCATCGGTTGCATTGTAGGTGACTGTGTTGTTTCCAATTGTAAAGTTTTCTCCAGAATTGTGAGTGGACGTCAGTGTCTGAATACCAACGTTATCTGTTGCTGTAGGTGACGTCCAGTTTACCACAGCGGTGGGATAACCAATGTCTGTATTGACATCCTGGTCACTAGGGCATAGATTGAAGACTGGTTTCTCATTGTCTGTGGGAAAGATTATATGAGATATAAACAAAATAGCTCTTCAGCAGCACACAGCAGCAAATGGTGCATATGCCATAGAGCGATTGTACAAACAGAATCAGAAATCATTTTAAAAACTCAAGTTTGAAAGTTAATCATCCGTAGGTTCTAAGGATAATCTGTTCGAAGGCTTTAATTAAATACATAATGAGCCCAATGACGTTTGACATTTGGCCTCATTACCCCAAAATGTATTAACTTCATTATCTCTGCAACATTCATGAATGACCCAAGTTTGGCTAAAATCCATCAATTGTTTCTTGAGAATATCTGCTAAGGAGAACAGGACATACAGATGGACGAACAGACGGACAAACGGATGGACAACCTGCATCAAAATGTAGCATTTCTGAAATCTGGTTCCAGCTCTCACTAGAGAATAGAAAACTGTTTTTCAGGGTCTAAAGCATAAGCAAGCACTTACCAGATACAATTACAAAGAAGGTGCAGGTTTCTGTATTTCCTGCATCATCGGTTGCGTTGTAGGTGACTGTGTTGTTTCCAATTGTAAAGTTTTCTCCAGAATTGTGAGTGGACGTCAGTGTCTGAATACCAACGTTATCTGTTGCTGTAGGTGACGTCCAGTTTACCACAGCTGTGGGATAACCAATGTCTGTATTGACATCCTGGTCACCAGGGCATAGACCGAAGACTGGTTTCTCATTGTCTGTGGGAAAGATTATATGAGATCTGAACTAGATGGCTCTTCAACTGCACACAGGCGGAAATCGTGCATCAGCCATAGAGCGATTGTACAAATCAAATCATAAGCAATTTAAAAAACTCAAGTTTGATAGTAATCCATCCGTAGGTTCTAAGGATAATGTGTTCAAAGGCTATATTTGCATACATAATGAACACCATGACCTTTGACATTTGGCCTCATGACCCCAAAATGTATTCACTTCATTACCTCTGCAAGATTAAAAAATGACCCAAGTTTGGCTGGAATCCATCAATTGTTTCTTGAGAAAATTTGTAAGGAGAACAGGACATACAGATGGACGAACGGACGGACAAACGGATGGCAACCTGCATCTAAATGTAGCATTTCTGCAATCTGGTTCCAGCTCTCACTAGAGGCTAGAAAATTGTTTCACAGGGGATAGAGCATTAGCAAGCACTTACCAGATACAATTATAAAGAAGGTACATGTTTCTGTATTTCCTGCATCATCAGTTGCGTTGTAGGTGACTCTGTTGTTTCCAATTGTAAAGTTTTCCCCAGAATTGTGAGTGGATGTCAGTGTAGGAATACCAGAGTTATCTGTTGCTGTAGGTAGAGTCCAGTTTACCACAGCTGTAGGATAACCAATGTCTGTGGTGACATCCTGGTCACTAGGGCATAGATCGAAGACTGGTCTCTCATTGTCTGTGGGAAAGATTATATGAGATATAAACAAAATAGCTCTTCAGCTGCACGCAGCAAATGGTGCATCTGCCATAGAGCGATTGTACAAACCAAATCAGAAGTCATCTTAAAAATTCAAGTTTGAAAGTAAATCATCCGAAGATTCTGCGGATAATCTGTTCAAAGGCTATGATTGCATACATAATGAGCCTAATGACCTTTAACATTTGACCTCATGACCCCAAAATGTATTAACTTCATTAGCTCTGCAAGATTCATAAATGACCCAAGTTTGGCTGGAATCCATCAATTGTTTCTTGAGAATATCTGATCATGAGAACAGGACATACAGATGGACGAACGGACGGACAAACAGACGGAGGACCTGCATCAAAATGTATAATTTCTGAAATCTGGTTCCAGCTCTCACTAAAGGATAGAAAACTGTTTTTTTAGGGTCTAAAGCATAAGCAAGCACTTACCAGATACAATTACAAAGAAGGTGCATGTTTCTGTATTTCCTGCATCATCGGTTGCGTAGTAGGTGACTGTATTGTTTCCAACTGTAAAGTTTTCCCCAGAATTGTGAGTGGATGTCAGTGTAGGAATACCAGAGTTATCTGTTGCTGTAGGTAGAGTCCAGTTTACCACAGCTGTAGGATAACCAATGTCTGTGGTGACATCCTGGTCACTAGGGCATAGATCGAAGACTGGTTTCTCATTGTCTGTGGAAAAGATTATATGAGATATAAACAAAATAGCTCTTCAGCTGCACACAGCAGCAAATCGTGCATCTGCCATAGAGCGATTGTACAAACCAAATCAGAAGTCATTTTAAAAACTCAAGTTTGAAAGTTAATCTTCTGTAGGTTCTAAGGATCATCTGTTCGAAGGCTATAATTGCATACATAATGAGCCCCATGACCTTTGACATTTGGCCTAATGACCCCAAAATGTATTAACTTCATTAGCTCTGTAAGATTAATAAATGGCCCAAGTTTGGCTGGAATCCATCAATTGTTTCTTGACAATATCTGATCATGAGAACAGGACATACAGATGGACCAAGGGACGGACAAACGGATGGCAACCTGCATCAAAATGTAGCATTTCTGAAATCTGGTTCCAGCTCTCACTAGAGAATAGAAAACTGTTTTTCAGGGTCTAAAGCATATGCAAGCACTTACCAGATACAATTACAAAGAAGGTGCATGTTTCTGTATTTCCTGCATCATCGGTTGCGTTGTAGGTGACTGTGTTGTTTCCAATTGTAAAGTTTTCTCCAGAATTGTGAGTGGACGTCAGTGTCTGAATACCAACGTTATCTGATGCTGTAGGTGACGTCCAGTTTACCACAGCTGTGGGATAACCAATGTCTGTGGTGACATCCTGGTCACCAGGGCATAGATCGAAGACTGGTTTCTCATTGTCTGTGGGAAAGATTATATGAGAAATAAACTAGATGGCTCTTCAACTGCACACAGCCGCAAATGGTGCATCAGCCATGGAGCGATTGTATAAACCAAATCAGAAGACATTTTAAAAACTCAACTTTGAAAGTTAATCATCTGTAGGTCCTAAGGATAATCTGTTCGAAGGCTTTAATTGCATACATAATGAGCCCAATGACCTTTGACATTTGGCCTCATGGCCACAAAATGTATTAACTTCATAAGCTCTGCAAGATTCATAAATGACCCAAGTTTGGCTGGAATCCATCAATTGTTTCTTGAGAATATCTGCTAAGGAGAATAGGACATACAGATGGACGAACGGACGGACAAACGGATGGCAACCCGCATCAAAATGTAGCATTTCTGAAATCTGGTTCCAGCTCTCACTAGAGGATAGAAAACTGTTTTTCAGGGTCTAAAGCATAAGCAAGCACTTACCAGATACAATTACAAAGAAGGTGCATGTTTCTGTATTTCCTGCATCATCGGTTGCGTTGTAGGTGACTGTGTTGTTTCCAATCGTAAAGTTTTCTCCAGAATTGTGAGTGGACGTCAGTGTCTGAATACCAACGTTATCTGATGCTGTAGGTGACGTCCAGTTTACCACAGCTGTAGGATAACCAATGTCTGTGGTGACATCCTGGTCACCAGGGCATAGATCGAAGACTGGTTTCTCATTGTCTGTGGGAAAGATTATATGAGATCTCAACTAGATGGCTCTTCAAATGCACACAGCCGGAAATGGTGCATCAGCAATAGAGCGATTGTACAAACCAAATCATAAGCACTTTTAAAAACTCAAGTTTGAAAGTAATCCATCCATAGGTTCTAAGGATAATGTGTTCAAAGGCTATATTTGCATACATAATGAGCCCTTAGCCTATAATCTAGGCGGAGTGCCGAGCTTTTTTCTTTGCTGCTAGACTAACCCTAAGCAGAACGTCTGATACGGCGAGACTACGAACCGTGAGTCGCGAAGCGGCTCACCGCTTATAATCACTGGTCTAGCTAATCAATATTCATATATATTCAAAATGGCGGATCTATGAATCATTCAACAGCCCTACCAAATAAGGTACACCTATGTTACGTTCGACCAATCAGATATAAGAAACCGCAACGAAAAAAGATTGCACTCTTTCCAAAACCAGTAGGTAATGCAACAAAAATATCCCTGCCGGCTTCAATAACGCTACGAATAGCAGATTCCTGCAGTTCTCTGAATTTTCCATTAGGAATGCCTAGTTTGTTGGCCGCATATGATAAACTTTCTCGCAGAAGATCGTCGTCGCATGAACTACCCGCCATCTTGGATGAAGAAAATGACGTAATGTCACGTGATTTATAATATGCATATGCATAGACTCTCCATACGTGTTTCTGATTGGTTGAGTTCATTTCGTATTCATAAGGTTTTTTCGTACGAAAAACTGCCACGGATTCATGGTCGATAATAAAAAAACAACGACTAAAGCTAGACCAGTGATTATAGGCGGTGAGCCGCTTCGCGACTCACGGTTCGCAGTCTCGCCGTATCAGACGTTCTGCTTAGGGTTAGTCTAGCAGCAAAGGAAAAAGCTCGGCAATCCGCCTAGATTATAGGCTAAATGAGCCCTATGACCTTTGACATTTGGCCTCATGACCCTAAAATGTATTCACTTCATTAGCTCTGCAAGATTCATAAATGACCCAAGTTTGGCTGGAATCCATCAATTGTTTCTTGAGAATATCTGTTAATGAGAACAGGACATACAGATGGACGAACGGACGGAAAAACGGACGGACGACCCGCATCAAAATGTAGCATTTCTGAAATCTGGTTCCAGCTCTCACTAAAGGATAGAAAACTGTTTAACAGGGGATAAAGCATTAGCAAGCACTTACCAGATACAATTACAAAGAAGGTGCATGTTTCTGTATTTCCTGCATCATCGGCTGCATTATAGGTGACTGTGTTGTTTCCAATTGTAAAGTTTTCCCCAGAATTGTGAGTGGACGTCAATGTATGAATACCAGAGTTATCTGTTACTGTAGGTTGCGTCCAGTTTACCACAGCTGTAGGAAAACCAATGTCTGTAGTGACATCCTGGTCACCAGGGCAAAGATCGAACACTGGTTTCTCATTGTCTGTGGGAAAGATTATATGATATATAAACTAGATGGCTTTTCAACTGCACACAGCCGCAAACGGTGCATCTGCCATAGAGCAATTGTACAAACCAAACCAAATCAGAATTAATTTTAAAAACTCAATTTTGAAATTTATTCATCTATAGGCTCTAAGGATAATGTGTTCAAAGGCTATATTTGTATACAAAATGAGCCCCAAGACCTGTGACATTTGGCATCACGACCCCAAAATGTATTCACTTCAGTGGCTCTGCAAGATTCATAAATGACCCAAGTTTGGCTGAAATCCATCAATCGTTTCTTGAGAATATCTGTTCATGAGAACAGGACATACAGATGGACGAACGGACGGACAAACGGACGGACACAGCATCAAAATGAAGCATTTTCTGAAATCTGGTTCCAGCTTTCACTAAAGGATAGAAAACTGTTTCACAGGGGATAAAGCATTAGCAAGCACTTACCAGATACAATTACAAAGAAGGTGCATGTTTCTGTATTTCCTGCATCATCGGTTGCGTTGTAGGTGACTGTGTTGTTTCCAATTGTAAAGTTTTCGCCAGAATTGTGAGTGGATGTCAATGTATGAATACCAGAGTTATCTGTTGCTGTAGGTTGCGTCCAGTTTACCACAGCTGTAGGATAACCAATGTCTGTGGTGACATCCTGGTCACCAGGGCATAGATCGAACACTGGTTTCTCATTGTCTGTGGGAAAGATTATATGAGATATAAACAAGATGGCTCTTCAACTGCATACAGCCGCAGATGGTGCATTTGCCATAGAATGACAAACCAAATCAGAAGTAATTTTAAAAACTCAAGTTTGAAAGTAATTCATCCGTAGGTTTCAAGGATAATGTGTTAAAAGGCAATATTTTGCATACATAATGAGCCCCATGACCTCTTGACATTTTGCCTCATAACCCCAAAATCTATTCGCTTCATTAGCTCTGAAAGATAATGAGCCAAGTTTGGTGGCAATCCATCATTTAGTTTTTGAGTTTTGACAATCATAAGGTGACGACAGATACTGGTAGTGAATCTGTTCGAAAATTTGAGCCACTCCCGTCACCTATCCTCTCCAACGGGCACTTTAGTTCTCCTTAGAACTATAACCTAAGAAAGATAATTAACAGTCTCTTTCAAGACTACACCAACAGTTCTTTCCAGAACTACACACACTCAATAAGGAAAGATTATCAAGAGTCCTTTTCAGGAATTACCAATCCTCCCTCTCTTTCACATGGTGCAACCGCAAGCCTACTGTATGAGATACATACATGACTCAAGTTTGGCAGAAATCCATCTCTTAGTTCTTAGGATAACGAGATGACTAGAATACATTATGCCTCCAGCTATTTTGAAAGATAACATAAGTTCAGAGTAATGTTAAAATGTTAAATCAAGCAAAAACTCCTCAAAATTATGAATTTTAGAACACATGCATAGTCATGAGGATTTATCTTTCACAAGAATTTAAATATCTCAAAATCCCAAGCTAGATCGAAGACAGAACTTTTAGATACAAAGTATAACCACATTCACACCTGTTACTGTGACAAAGAGAAGACAAGTGCCAGTGTTTCCTGCATCATCTGTAGATGAGCAGTTCACAGTGGTGTCCCCTATCAGGAATATATCTTCGGATGAATGGGAGCAATTCACATCTAGATGAAAATCCACATTATCAGTTGCAGTAGAATCTAGCAGAAAAGTTGACGATGAGTTGAGTCCCTCATCCGTAGTAGAAGATATATTTGCGCAGTTCAGAATAGGTGCTTCATTATCTGCAATATAACAGAAATTCACATCAATATATATTTTACAAGAATGGTATCATTTTTGTCAACTTCATGGTTTAAATATCTTGAAAAAGAAAAGATATTGAGTGAAGAAATTAATTGTAAGAGGCACTGATAAGTGATATTATTAGTGTATTTGTCAATCCAGTGTACGTTTGTTGTATGCGTTTCGTACATACATGCAGTCTAGTCATTACGTCACGATCACATCACCATGGTATCAGCAGGCGCACACCTAGCTGTGCGCGTTAATTTATTTATCCAGTGCGCGCACACATGCGCATTGGGTCTATCGTCAGAATTTAAAGGCTATTTTTCCAAACATAATGAGCCCTGTTACCTGTAACCTCTGACCCTAAAATCTAATCATTTCAATGGTTTGGCAAGATACATACACTGTACATGACACATGTTTGGAGGGAATCCATCAAATGGTTCTTGAGAATAAGCCATCTAGTGAACAGAAAGTATAGACGGATATACAGACGGATAGACGGATGGACAAAACAAACGTACAATCTCAAAATAAAATTCTTCCAGCTACTTCGTTGCAGAGGCATACACATGCAGCATATCTGAAATCTGACTCAAGCTCTCACTAGAGAATACAAAACTGTTTAACGTGGGGATAAAGCATTAGACGAGGACTTACCAGATACAAATATAAAGAAGGTGCATGTTTCTGTATTTCCTGCATCATCGGTTGCGGTGTAGGTTACTGTGTTGTTTCCAATTGTAAAGTTTTCCCCAGAATTGTGAGGGGATGTCAATGTATGAATACCAGAGTTATCTGTTGCTGTAGGTTGCGTCCAGTTTACCACAGCTGTAGGATAACCAATGTCTGTGGTGACATCCTGGTCACCAGGGCATAGATCGAAGACTGGTTTCTCATTGTCTGTGGGAAAGATTATATGAGAAATAAACTAGATGGCTCTTCAACTGCACACAGCCGCAAATGGTGCATCAGCCATGGAGCGATTGTATAAACCAAATCAGAAGACATTTTAAAAACTCAACTTTGAAAGTTATTCATCCTTAGGGTCCAAGGATAATGTGTTCAAAGTCTATATTTGCATACATAATAAGCCCCATGACCTTTGACATTTTGCCTCATGGCCCAAAATGTATTCACTTCATTAGCTCTGCAAGATTTTACGAATGACCCGAAATTGGCTGGAATCCATCAATTGTTTCTTGAGAATATCTGATCATGAGAACAGGACATACAGATGTATGAACGGACGGACAACCCACATCAAAATGTAGCATTTCTGAAATCTGGTTCCAGCTCTCACTAAATGATAGAAAACTGTTTTACAGGGGATAAAGCATTAGCAAGCACTTACCAGATACAATTACAAAGAAGGTGCAGGTTTCTGTATTTCCTGCATCATCGGTTGCGTTGTAGGTGACTGTGTTGTTTCCAATTGTAAAGTTTTCCCCAGAATTGTGAGTGGATGTCAATAAATTAATACCAGAGTTATCTGTTGCTGTAGGTTGCGTCCAATTTACCACAGCTGTAGGATAACCAATGTCTGTGGTGACATCCTGGTCACCAGGGCATAGATCGAAGACTGGTTTCTCATTGTCTGTGGGAAAGATTTTATGAGATATAAACTAGATGGCTCTTCAACTGCACACATCTGTAAATGGTGCATCTGCCATTGAGCGATTGTACAAACCAAATCAGAATTAATTTTAAAAACTCAACTTTGAAAGTTATTTATCCGTTGGTTCCAAGGATGTGTTCAAGGACTATATTTGCATACATGAAGAGCCCAATGACCTTGGAAATTTTGCCTCATGACCCTAAAATGTATTCACTTCATTGGCTCTGCAAGATTCATAAATGACCCAAGTTTGGCTGGAATCCATCAATTGTTTCTTGAGAATATCTGATCATGAGAACAGGACATACAGATAGACGAACGACGGACAAACGACAGACACAGCATCAAAATGAAGCATTTTCTGAAATCTGGTTCCAGCTTTCACTAAATGATAGAAAACTGTTTTACAGGGGATAAAGCATTAGCAAGCACTTACCAGATACAATTACAAGGAAGGTGCAGGTTTCTGTATTTCCTGCATCATCAGTTGCGTTGTAGGTGACTGTGTTGTTTCCAATTGTAAAGTTTTCCCCAGAATTGTGAGTGGATGTCAAAGTATGAATACCAGAGTTATCTGTTGCTGTAGGTTGCGTCCAGTTTACCATAGCTGTAGGATAACCAATGTCTGTGGTGACATCCCGGTCACCAGGGCATAAATCGAAGACTGGTTTCTCATTGTCTGTGGAAAAGATTATATGAGATATAAACTAGATGGCTCTTCAACTGCACACAGCCGAAAATGGTGCATCAGCCATAGAGCGATTGTACAAACCAAATCAGAAGACATTTTAAAAACTCAAGTTTAAAATTTATTTATCCGTTGGTTCCAACGATAATGTGTTCAAAAGCTATATTTGCATACACAATGAGCCGCATGACGTTGGACATTTTGCCTCATGACCCCAAAATGTATTCACATCATTGGCTCTGCAAGATTTTTATAAATGACCCAAAATTGGCTGGAATCCATCAATTGTTTCTTGAGAATATCTGATTATGAGAACAGGACAAACAGATGGACATACAGATGTATAAACGGACGGACAACCCACATAAAAATGAAGTATTTCTGAAACCTGGTTCCAGCTTTCACTAGAGAATACAAAACTATTTTACAGGGGATAAAGCATTAGCAAGCACTTACCAGATACAATTACAAAGAAGGTGCAGGTTTCTGTATTTCCTGCATCATCGGTTGCGTTGTAGGTGACTGTGTTGTTTCCAATTGTAAAGTTTTCCCCAGAATTTTGAGTGGATGTCAATGTATGAATACCAGAGTTATCTGTTGCTGTAGGTTGCGTCCAATTTACCACAGCTGTAGGATAACCAATGTCTGTGGTGACATCCTGGTCACCAGGGCATAAATCGAAGACTGGTTTCTCATTGTCTGTGGGAAAGATTATATGAGATATAAACTAGATAGCTCTTCAACTGCACACAGCCGCAAATGGTGCATCAGCCATAGAGCGATTGTACAAACCAAATCAGAATTAATTTTAAAAACTCAAGTTTGAAAGTTATTCATCCGTAGGGTCCAAGGATAATGTGTTCAAAGTCTATATTTGCATACATAATGAGCCCCATGACCTTTGACATTTTGCCTCATGACCCCAAAATGTTTTCCCTTAATTAGCTCTGCGAGATTCACAAATGACCCAAGTTTGGCTGGAATCCATCAATTGTTTCTTGAGAATATCTGATCATGAGAACAGGACAAACAGATAGACGAACAGACGGACAAACGGACAGACAAAGCATCAAAATGAAGCATGTTCTGAAATCTGGTTCCAGCTCTCACTAAAGGATATAAAACTGTTTAACAGGGGATAAAGCATTAGCAAGCACTTACCAGATACTATTACAAAGAAGGTGCAGGTTTCTGTATTTCCTGCATCATCGGTTGCATTATAGGTGACTGTGTTGTTTCCAATTTTAAAGTTTTCCCCAGAAATGTGAGTGGACGTCAATGTATGAATACCAGAGTTATCTGTTGCTGTAGGTTGCGTCCAGTTTACCACAGCTGTAGGATAACCAATGTCTGTAGTGACATCCTGGTCACCAGGGCATAGATCGAAGACTGGTTTCTCATTGTCTGTGGGAAAAATTATATGATATATAAACTAGATGGCTTTTCAACTGCACACAGTCGCAAATGGTGCATCTGCCATAGAGCAATTGTACAAACCAAATCAGAATTAATTTTAAAAACTCAACTTTGAAATTTATTCATCCGTAGGCTCTAAGGATAATGTGTTCAAAGGCTATATTTGTATACAAAATGAGCCCCAAGACCTGTGACATATGGCATCAGGACCCCAAAATGTATTCACTTCAATGGCTCTGCAAGATTCATAAATGACCCAAGTTTAGCTGAAATCCATCAATCGTTTCTTGAGAATATCTGATCATGAGAACAGGACATACAGATGGACGAACAGACGGACAAACGGACGGACACAGCATCAAAATGAAGCATTTTCTGAAATCTGGTTCCAGCTTTCACTAAAGGATAGAAAACTGTTTCACAGGGGATAAAGCATTAGCAAGCACTTACCAGATACAATTACAAAGAAGGTGCAGGTTTCTGTATTTCCTGCATCATCGGTTGCGTTGTAGGTGACTGTGTTGTTTCCAATTGTAAAGTTTTCCCCAGAATTGTGAGTGGATGTCAATGTATGAATACCAGAGTTATCTGTTGCTGTAGGTTGCGTCCAGTTTACCACAGCTGTAGGATAACCAATGTCTGTGGTGACATCCTGGTCACCAGGGCATAGATCGAAGACTGGTTTCTCATTGTCTGTGGAAGAGATTATATGAGATATAAACAAGATGGCTCTTCAACTGCACACAGCCGCAAATGGTGCATTTGCCATAGAATGACAAACCAAATCAGAAGTAATTTTAAAAACTCAAGTTTGAAAGTTATTCATCC